ACAGAGAGGCGCTCTCGCGTGTCTTCCTTGTCTGTTGGCTGTAAAGCTTGCCCATGGTTTCCGCACATGTGTAAGCAGACTGACAGCCGTATGTGTATTCAGTCCAACGGCGTGCTAACTAGCCCAGCCGTCACAAGAAGCCTCTGACGTGGGACTCTTGTAATTTCTTCCGCTTAAGTTGGATCTAAGGTCGGTTGTGTAATCGCACACTTCATGAAGTAGTATGCTTCAAACCGATTCTTCTATGTCCACCCGTCAAAACTGGCAAGGCGTTTCCGGACAAAGATTGATTGCGTGCGTCTCAATGCAGATGAATAGATTGTGTTAGGACATGCAAAACTCATGGACGCGTGCATGAAATTCGCCTGTATATAACATGACCATTGCAAGGAGTCCTTTGCATGGCGCTATGAGTCAGTAGGACCCAACTTAAGTCGTGGTCAGCAATAAGAACATGCAAAACACTAGGACCAATCACACACAAGTTGCTGTTCTCACACATGTCCTACATGCATTAGGTGCTAAATTTGTCTAGCTAGCTGCAAACGAGATTTGGTGAATTTTGTCAACTAGGATACACCCTTTGGCTACTGTCCATACTCGAGAGCTGCCTATTGATCTTCATTACAAGATGTCAGTATGCATCTACTGCTGCCTTTTTCGATGAGCTAACCAAATCCTCTTTGCTCTCAAATAACAGTCGGAGCCCTTCTTCCTCCCACCGTTTCGGTTTTTCTCTGATACCCTTGGGTACTGAATAGCCAGCCGCGTCGTGGCCTTCTCTTGGCTCGTTTTCGAGAATGTGTACGCGCGCGCTAGCTAGCGCGCGGCAGCCGCAGCCCCCTTAAGACATCGTGCATCCTGCCGCATGACTCATTTTCACATGGCGAGTAGCATGCACGGTGCCCATTCCATGCCTCGCTCCAAGTGGTAGGGTGCAGGCCATCCCATGCGGCCCTCATCTGCCTGGCGGCCCTAGCAGGGGGCATCTCGCCAGCCCCCGTGCATAAGGCAGTGCAGGCTATCGTGTCTATGCGATGTGGCCGGTTTCGTATGGCTGTCAATGCTGCATGTAGTGCCAGATAAGCATTTAAGGTGTGAGAAACGGGCTCCGGAACACGCATGGTAGGCGCATATGCTACGCACTTGACTGGTGCAGCTGCGGGGGCATCTACAATCATGCAAGAGCCGACTGGGAGTTCGCCAAGGTGACCTTCTCGTATGGCGGCTTTGACCTTTTCCGAGAAGCGTGGCTCCATCGGTGAGTAGCTGGACATCCGGGCATTGATCGCCCTGTCGGCGCCGCCGTCAGCGAATGCAAAGCTGTTCCCGGGGGCTATGATGCAGTCAGCTCTGGCAGAGCAGATGCTTCTCGTATGTACGGTCATCGAATCGACACCCGCAAACGCTGCATGTATAGAGCTTCGAAAACGTCCTGGTCGCGTGCATACACTGACAACCGTAGCATCGAAAGGCATGCTTCTCTTGAGTGAATATATAATCAAGATTTCATCTTACGCGGAGGCCTCAGAAACGAGAATGGGATAATCAGCCGTACCGACTCCTGCGGCCATCGAGTCCCAAAACCCTGTCACATAGCTCATGATCATCTTAGAGGCCGCATTCTCCAGCCAGTCTCTGTCTCCTTTGTATGCTGGAATTCTCCGTGCCGTCTCGATGTAACCGTCCCCCCTGCGTCACGCGAACATTGGGAGTTCGTCTTCTCGAGCCACGAAAGTCATTGATCATTAAAGGCAAACATGCCAGGATAGGGGAAAGAGGCATGGGTGCATTGCATGAGCTATCAAATTTCGTTCGCCAGATCGATAAGTTGCGCATGGCCGCCTATAATATGTTGGATTCAATTCAACAAAAAATATCAGTACTGATTCGATCACAGTGTAGCTCGCCATGCATGCAGCATTCTGTCCTATCGCCAGGGCTGACATTCATGCAACCACGCAATCACTTATAAGACCACATCCATGGTCACCAGTACATCATGCATCTCATGTGCATGGCGGCCGCCTGCCGCAGTAGCTAGAGCTTATGGCACTACTCGCTGCACTGAGTGTATCCGAAATCAGACCCGGCATCTTTGACGAATGAAACATCATCAGTTAAGCCTGGAACCATGGGGATGGTCGTGCGGATGTTTGAGATGACATACAAAGATGTTCAGCGTTACATCGTCGATGAGAGCAATATACCTTGTCAACGACGCGACAATTGTTCGGCCGCCCCTGTGGTAAGTGTATGTCCATTGGCGTCACCGGAAGCTGCCTGACTAGGATACAACGAACCGCTACCACCCGGTCCACCACCTCATCGCCCGGTAGACTCATTCCTCCGGCCGCCTCAGCCGCCGCACTTGGCTGGGCGACGCTTCCGCAGCCTCCGGTTGCACGTCCCGAGGCCTCCTCCGTTGCCCCCCCAGCGCCCTCACTAACGAATCTACCAGCGAGTAACTCTGCCGGTGCGCAGCGGCGGGCGGTCTCGTAAGACCTTCCCTTTCTCGGGCTAACCCGACCTCTTGCCCCCCCCCCTCAGCATCAGCGCCATGTTGCGCAGGTGTCTCGCCGTTCGGCTCATGGAGCCTTCTCAAGGTACCCCCGCCCTCGGCCGTGACGTCAGCAGCGGTGAGGGTGACGTCAGCAGAATATCCATGGCTTACTGGAGGCCCCGTGCCACCCAAAGAGGCGTTTGCAGAGCCACCTCCACCGGCGGGCGGTGAGTCCGTCTGCATGTCTTGCAGCGTGCGCCGGCTATCGAACTGTGTCGCATACCCCGCCAGAAGCTCCTGCTCGATCGATCCTACCGCCGCAAAAGGTGCCCCCCCGGAAGCCGCTTCCCTCTCCGTAGCGCTCTGCTGTAATTCCCGAGCGATTACGGGTCGGGACCTCTCAACGGACACTGTCGTCTGTGCCCCCAAAGACGGCGAATCTTCATTTCGAGCCCCCCCGCCAAAGCTCGGGTGTTCGGCGGCCGTCGAAGCGAGCGTCAGCATCAGCAGCCCGGCGCGCCGTTCCAGGGGGGACGCCGACAGTGCGCGGCGGCGGGGGGGAAGCGGGGGCAGCCCGTCCATCGACCGGCGCCTCCGGGGGCCGGGGGAGTCCCCGAGCCCCCCTCCCGTCTCCCAGGCGCTTCGGGACCGAATCATCGAGTCGGACGGGTACACTTGCACGCGGCGAATCTGCGGCCGGGGGGGTTCCCACGAGAGCGGGTCTTCCTCCGAGGAATTGTCGGGAGACGCCGACAAAGTGCCCGCGTCCACTACCCGCCGTTCCCGTTCCCTGGCGACGTCACCTTCCGGCTGCTGCACCGAAGTGACGTCCGGCTCGTCCATCTCGACCTCCTCGGCTGCTGACGTCACCTCGGCTGCGGGCGGTTCCGGCAGCGGAAAGGGAAGCACGTGCCGCCGGCCGAAGCTCCGCCGCAGCCGTCTCTCCCCGAAACGGGGGGGTCGGACTTCCTGGCCTTCAACCCCCCCTTCGTGGACGTCGTGCCACTCCCCCCGGATAGATTCTCCATCAGAACCGGTACCAGAGTCGTTACCGCTCTGGTGCCCGTCTGCACTAGAACCCTCCCCGCGACTTCCCGGCCGCGACTCCGCCCCCGATCTAGTTTCTCTGGCAAACTGGTTCATCAGCCGGTTGTGCATCTCAAGAGCGCTCGTCCTCTCATCGCCGTCCCTCGCCACAACGTCACCGTTCCTTAGTCTGACGTCACCGTGCCTCGCTCTGACGTCGCCCCCCCTCGCGCCGTGCCTGGCGGCCCTCTGCGGTTCCGGGTAGTCCGGCGGCATGGTTTCCAACCAGGCGCTTAACCTTCCTGCCCGCGGATCCGACAAGAACCCCCCGTCTACCCTCCTCAAGGCGCCCGGTTGGTTTGAACCGGGCCCACCCAAACGGCCAAGCCCTGACCCACCCCGGCCAGAAACCCCACCCAGTCTCGGGTCTCGCCCAACTCTTCTTGTCCAGACACCTAGACCGCCCGGTGAATTGGATCTTTCGCTTGGGGGAGTTGCGTCGTTCGCTGGGGCGCCATCCGAGTCCCCCCCATGATGCCGCACTGCTTGAGACTCCCCCCCACGAGGAGAGCCCGGGAGTCGGAGCGAGCGCCCGATGCGGTGTCGGGCGACCGGAGAGTCGTATCCGAGACTGTCGAAGTCGCCGTCGAAGTAAGAGGGGTGATACTCGGTGCTGCGCGCGGTCGCCCGGAAGCCGCGTTCGGATGGCGGGTCGGACGGGGGGCCATAGCCGGGGTCTGAAGGAAAGCTCTGTGGGCTGTATAACGGAAAAACACAGCGTCAACATATAAGGAAGGCCTGACAAGGAAAGGACGCACATCCGCACAGCGAGTCCGGCCTGTTCGACCAGAAGTTCCCACCTGACCGATAAATCTGCATCCACCAAGTCTCCCAACAGGCGATCGATCTCACGGTTTCCGAGACCCAAACTTCACAAGAATAACGGCCAGGACACTTGACAGTCTTTACAACCTTGAAGCTGTGAATACAGAGGGTCACCTGTCAGGCAGAACTGTGTCGGGCGATACCTCAGCAAAACACCAAGCCCACGGCTCCTCCTTAACCGTAAAACCGGAAGAGCAATACAAGATTCCAGAAAGAAGAATTACCTGTCCGGCAGATCCGCGTCTTCCAGCTCCCCTAGGAGGAACTCGAGCTCCCCGTCCCCGTGCATCTCGTCGCGCATGCGCTGCACCGCCTGGTATGGCAGCTCGGGATTGGTGAACAGCACGCGGTACGGGTCGATGCCGAAGTGGCGTGACGTCAGCGCGGCGAGCGGGGGGATCTTGACGACCCGATGCTGCAAAAGAGCGAATATACGGGTTTAGTAAGCATGATGATCTCGATCGAGAATTTTTGAAGGGGCAAGGACTTCGGCGGACTCGAGAGAGGCAGTCTGACTCGGGGTACCTGGACAATGGAAAGAGATTGGTAAAGAGAGAGGAGACCAGCTTGCGGATAAGGCCTGGTGTCAAGTGGCGCCTCGTCATTGCAGTACGGGCGGAATTCAACCATGCGGTGTCAACGAGTCGAGGCAAATGGAATCGGTCTGAGGGGAGCGATTGTCTCACAACATGAAGCAAGATCCACAACGGAACAGGTGAGCAAGTTCAGTGCGCACTGGCCCTAGTACGGGCACGCGGTGCAAGTCCGACTACACATTGCTGTGGAAGATCGTAAGAAGACTTGTGCAGGAAAGGAGGACAATATGTAAAGTAAAGCGGGATTAGGAGCATTGAAAGCCAAGACTCCATCAGTTCCAATCTGAGGGGAGCAACAGCGAGGGCGGGGGCTTTGACAAGAGTGCCTGATTGTGCGCAGGCAGGGGCATCAAAAGAGAAACAGTTGCTGAGCTCGAAATGCTCACAGCGTTCCTTCATCATAGCCAAAGTCCTTCCAGTCTTTGAGCAAAACACACCGCCGAAACACGCCTATAAACGCACCCCGAGGAGCAGACGCTTCAACTTAACCGGTAGAGCTGGCATGCACTGTTGAAACATCTGAGAAAGAGAAGTGAGCCAAATTGGCCTCAATTTCAAAGTCTTTGGACACAAGTGGGCGCAAGAGTGCCCGTCGGTTGGAAACCATCATCGCCAACTTTGTAAGAAGCAAGCGAGAGTCCACACCGAATCTCTCCAGACTAAATGAAGAACATGAAACTATGGCGTTTGAGCATGTAGCGGGGGAACCGGAACGGAAGCTCTCCCAGTGGAGAGTATATGGCCACGTATAGGGCCGATGAATGAGACAAACTTAAGCCTGTGAAAGGGGCCGCACTTCTGCCAATGGAACGTGCCCAGATGCTCAACGAAAAGGGGACAGCCACCCAAAAAGGTCTTCGAGGCAGCAACAATCTCAATAAAGGTAAAACGCAACAGGTGCGAAGACCTCTGCAACGAAGTAGATGACTGAAGGACAATCGGCCCTCAAGGTCGCAAAGAACGATGGAGGCGGCTGTTCACAAAACAAAATGTTGAAGATTGCTCAAAAGAGTGCGACCGCATACAGCCGGTTGTTAAACAGTTCCTACATCAAAAGGCGCCCGGACTCTGGTCGACTGGAGCTCTGAGCGAGAGATAACGTGCCCATGCCGCTTGGCTATCACTTCAGGTAAATTTGACAACAAACAAATCTGCGAGACCCTCCGAGGCCAACTGGCAGTGATGTCACGTCACAACATGAACGACAGGACTGGTCGAGGAACGGAATCGTTTCCTGCTTTTTGCATTTGCGCGAGACGACTGACAACTGTCGATAATCTCGGCGCGAGGCAGCTGCAACAACCTCCACCACAGTTTATCAGGTAACCAAACTTTTTCGCAGTGAGGAAGCAGTTGGCGACCTTTGAGAGATTGCAACAGGTATAAGAAAAGACCAAACGCTGGTCTCTCCTTTCAAAGTTGCGGAGGCCCTTTCGCCGAGGACCTGTTTTGAGAGGCTTCCAAGCTAGCAGATACTAGTTAGGCCAATTGACCCTCGGGAATTATCGTCTGTCCGCTGAGTTCGTCAGACTTTGCAACGTCGCACTGACACCTTCAAGACACTTTCTGCATGCGCTCCTGGACTGCCCCATTTGTGCGTCCGATGAGTATCGCCAGAGAAGTATCTTCATTGGCACTTCCTGCTGTCATAGCGCCTTATGCAGATATTGTACAACGTCGGACTCAGCCTCCAAACTATACAATTACCTCCGCCCAGTGCACAGACAAATCCGCTCAGGTATAATTCCCGCTTTCATACCAGAGCTTGAAAAGAAGTTCAGCACAGGCGTGAATGCACCGGACAACCTCAGTACCTTTTCGACATCCTGTGAAAGTACGGGCGTGCAAGAAGGCCACGGAAGCACGCTCCGGCATGAAGCCTTGTAACTTCGAGTACGAAGATTGAGACTGGAGGATCACACTCTCTTTATGAACCTGAGATCCGTCAGTGGCAGCAAGGTCCTCATTTCCAAATGAATCATGACCACAATTAACGGTATCAAAACGACGTGCCTTCGTCTGTCTTCAACTTTACAATTGCAGCAGAAGGCGGCTTGGCTTTCATGAAAAATGAATACCTCAAAGGTTGCTGTTGACAAGGTGGACCCGAAGTAGATTGGGCCTAACGGATGGCTTCATGAAAGACGCGCACCGCTGCGTCCTCCTACTTGCGTTGCATTGGACAAGCCGCACCTTCATCATGGCCATCGGCGTCGTTTACGACGGTATCTTTCTCTCAACGACATTCTCTGCAAGGCATATGCTTTGGCCACGTTGGCTCAAGGCGAATCTTTGTTGGGGCTTAATGCCTATGCGCCAATGGTAGCTGCCGTCATCCTCGCCAATTTGGGCCCCTTTAACAAGTGCAAACTGAAATGTCCCGGAGAAAATTTAAGCCCGGGAACTGAAGACGTCACCAGAAGCTGAAGGGGCAAGTAAGAGAACGCGCTTCTTGGAACCAAGTAACAAGAAACGAAGGACAAGGATGGGCAGCAAAAACCGATCGAGAAGTAAAGGTATAGGCTTGGCTTCCTGAAAGCGAAGAAGTCGAAACCAAGCAGCTTGTGGGCTTGGTAGCGAAAGACAACGAAATGAAGGCAAAAGGCACAAACTTGCAACGGCACTCTTCGAAGTTCAACGAGGGAAACCTCTTAACACAAGCTGGCTGAAACCCTCCGCTCAAAGTTGCTTTTCTTGGTCTCCAGAGCAAGCAGAGGCTTTGATACACACAGCTGTTACATCCCCTCCTTGACCGCACCCGTATTAAACCGGAGCACTGCACCCAATTTGCGTACCCTGCATGCCTACAGTAGTGCTCTACATTGAGCTTGTAATTATTCTCATGTCATCGAAACACATTTCTGGAGTACCGCTCGTTTGCTCCTTGCAAAAGAGTTTCCAACCCTATGTCCTTGCGACGTTCACAATTTGAGCCTTTTGGGCTAAGAACAGAAGAATACAGGCTATGAGCAGGAAGGCTGGCCATGCTGCTCAGAGTCCTCTCTTCATCGCGATTGAAGTCGTTCAACATGACACATCGAACACAAATCTGACAGGTTGGCTGATCCAAAACTTTGTGAGTCCAAAAGATGTCCACACAGGAAAAACGTCCACACAGAGATACTTATTATGAGGTTTCTAACAGAAATGGACTTTGTGACTTCACCAAAGGAAACGTTCTCACTTCCGTCACGGTTCTGTCAGACAGACTCACATAACTTGAGTCGGATGACCAGTCTGGTATCTCAATGGTCTACTCAAAAATCACCGAAGTAGCATCACTTGACAGCCTCCGAGATCCCAAAATATGTGTGGGCAAAGAATCCTCAAGGCCCAGCGTTAGCTTCCGTCATTGCCACTTTCCCAAAATAAAGAAAAAGCCCAACCACTTCCCTCAATCACCGACATACGCAATGACTAACAAATGGCGCCAAGCGGGATCCAACGAGGCAGAGACGTGAAAGGGTGACCAAGTGGCTGACCCGAGCAGCGTCGCCCAGGCAATAGTCGGTTTTCTTCTAGATCCATTTTACACGGTTGAGAGTGCAAAAAGATTCCGCAATCATCATGGGCGAGATACGACAGTCTTCACGAGGCATAGCGGCTCTTATTACCCCTTCGTAAAGCCAACTGGGGGACTTGCACAGAATATTGCAAGGCTGTGGGCCGGGCACGAGCCTAGCCAGACAATGACCATATTTATCAGCCAAGATAAGGCTTTTATCCTAGACTTTACCGGTGCAATTTTCGCAACAGTAACCAGGTAGTCTTCTCCCGGCAAGGGGAGTTACTTAGGGCCAGGTTGCAGCTGAGCAAAATGAAACCAAAAGCAACCCTTCTGAGGAAACCCCCAGAATACCAACAGTCCTTAGACGCCCACATTAGACACGGGCCACCTAAACGCAAGCTTTGTAATCAGATGCAGATTCGTCCTATGAAAGGCGAGCAGAGTTTTCCAGCTCGCTGGAACTTGTTACATCGAATCAATATTGTGTCAGGTGCGTGTCAGGTGCAGGGAACGAAGGAAAAAGATCCGTCACGTCCCCTTGCAATCAGCGCCCGAGGCTGTTGAACCTTGAGCTTTGGCACCAGGAGAACACTGTGCTGCATCAGCAACATCGAGGATCACATCATTTGAGAGGAGTATCGCTTCCAATTCGTCTGCGCCGTACGCAGAAACAACTCGACGACAAGAAACTTTCGAGACTGGTCGCAGCTCGGAAGTCTGCGACCAGGCTTTTGAGATAAAGGCAATCAAGAGTACTGTTCCGGAACAAAGCCCCTGGCTGGTTGTCAATATGAGTAGTAAGGGCCACGAACGCACGTTGAACTGCTTCAAGCAAAACGAGCTTTTCAAGATTCGGAGACGCAAATGGGCTCTGATGAGACTGTCGGCGCCCCACTGTGACTGTTATGCTCGTCCTGCGAGACTTGGTGCCAGGAGGACTGCCAGTGAGGCTTGTCGATATTGATTTGTTACAAGCGAGGGCGATCGTCCTTTCCCCGCAACCCAAACTGCTCAGAAGATGGCAGCATTTACCAGAAAGCAAGTGTGTAGCCTCACCACTGGAAAGGAATGTCAATTCATTTGACGAGATCCTTGAGATACTCATGGTTGGAACAAGGAAAGGCCACCAATGACAAGAAGGGGCTTGCAATGAAGTCAAATCTGCTTACGTTGCTCCGGCAGATTTACCTACCAGCAGACCCCGCGACAATAAGACGACTTTGTTTTCAAAAGACACGAGTCCGTGCTGACAGGGATTCGGTCATCGGCTCAGCATTGCCGCTCAGCGAATGCTCGATAAGGGAATACCAATACCGTTGTAGCAGCAAAGGACGCAAGGCCGCCATTGAAACGGGAAGAGGAGATTGCGAAGCGCTTCAAAATGCACCCCTTGCTTTCGAGACCAGTGGATTATCGGAAATCAGAGAAGGAAGCAGTACAATTGTGATGGGAAGTGCGCCGCGACACCGGAAAAAACACACGACGAGTTCGATGACCGTGATATTTGCAGGTTTGGAACGCTAAGAAGTGGAAACTCAAACTAGCGCTCATCTCCACGGCTCAGAGATGTGAGCGACAACCTTTCGGCCCTGGAAGACGATGAAATCCAAAAGATCGCTCTTCTTAATATACTGAAACCACACTGAAGCAGCGCAATCGCGCCAGAACACCACTGTTCTTGGACAACCGGTTTCAATGAAGGAAAGCGATGCTGTCCTAAAAAAGTTCGGCCTATGGCAAAAGGCGTCAACAGAATACGCTACCCTACCCTACTGGGCAGGGGCGCCCAAGTGGCTTAGCTGCATCATCGCCTTTCATTCCAACTAAATCTCGCAAAACCTTCCGTGTGGTGCCATAAAATTGGAAGACCAGGGCGCACGTGAACCAACGCCCTTCAATGTAGTCTGGACTGATGCAGATACTTAGTAAAGAGACGTCACAAAAACCTTTCCCCATTAATGTGCTGAGCGATTGTGGTGAGTAAGCCGAAGAAAGCAGTGCTCAGAAACGCAAGATCGTCAGGCAACGCTTCGGTTGCAAGTTCTCGGGGCACCAGCGAACTGGAACCCGCTTGATTGGAGGCAGACCTTGTGCAACAGACAGCCCGCACGAACGGAAACATCTTCGGGAAATTGCTAAGAAAGCTTCGCGAAAAACCTGACGCCGAACTTTCTGAGACCGTACGTAAGGGCATGAGTTATCAAATCAAAGTCGTTTCTTTGCTACACAGAAGCATCAAGTCAAAATCTCGAGAAGAAAGCCGCTTGCCAAGATATGCCCCACCGAGTGAAAATCCTAGCTCGCTGAGTCCGTCCACCAACGGGTGCTTCCGGTAGAAATTTGCAAAAGAATCGCGATGGCCTCTGACTGTGACATCGTGGGTAGCAGTCCATCAAAGGACACCCACTCTTACAACCTCAATCATAGCCAAAAATGGTGGTAGAAAGAGCGGAGCAAATACACATCACGACGTAAGTAAACAGAACTCAACCTTGTTAATCGTGGTTCGGGAAACTTCAGCCTGAGGCGTACCTCAGGACAGTTGCATGCGTGTCGTAAGGCAAAGAGCCCCTTTCCTGACAGCGTCTTTCACGTCTAGAAGGATCACCTTCAGACCTTTCAAAGATCCAAGAGGGAGGCACAGTGGACGCTGCTTTTACTGGTTTATTGGCCAACTGCCCCACAATACGAGTCGTCCGTGTTGTGAGGGCCGGATTCCCCACCATGCGACACGCTTCCAAGCCCAGAAGCAAGGGAAGGGGAGCAATGGAGAAGAGCAAAAATGGGACCAAAGACGAAGTCTAATCTTGGTAGAGAAGCAATTCATTGCAATCTTGACCTCTACCTTACCATCCGACCATGCAATCTGAACGCGAACCAGAGGAAGCAAGTTCGGAACCCCACCGGGACAATTGCTGCTGTTCGTACAGCCAGTCAATTGAAGTTCCCATCCCAAATGAGAACTCCTTGCAAGTTTGTTCTCGGGGAAAACGAAAACAACATTTGCCAAAGCAAAGCCAATCCTCTTCCCAGGACCCACCTCGCGAGAATGTCGCTGGTCGAACAGCCCCCGCACCGCGCCCCCCATCTCGTAGCAATGCCCGCACATGTCAAACCCCAGCGCCTCTTGGCAGCCCTTGCACTGATACCGCTCCCCAACGATCGGACTCTGCCCGCACCCATCGCATCCCACCCCGAAATGCACCACGTATTTTGGGCCCAAGTCTTCAAGAAGGCGTTCCGTCATCGCGCGGAGGTTGAAGGGCTCCCCCCGTCGGACGAGATCGGCGTGCGCAGAAAGGAGGAGGGAGCGGGTGCGGGACATGGCGGCCTGGACGGTGGGGGGGCGCTCCGGGGGAGGAGCTGCGGGGAAGGGGACACTGTCAGGCGTTTGGCGTGATTTTGCTGGCTCTTCGGGAGAAAAACGGTCAAAGGCCGCGGAAATACGTAAATCAAGACAAAACGGAAGCAGTTGTAGCTCTTGGGTGAAATTACCCCTCCCAAAGGAGCCGTCGGAGAGCTACCAACGACGAACCGACTGATGACGGCGAAATCGAAGAGGTTGACCTCCGGGAGGAGGACTCCGACGAGCCAGGTCCTGGCCGTTCAAAGTACCCCGACATTATGGACGACCACTCCGTCTTAGAGTACCTGGAGGACGGATAAGCTACAGAAGGGTGCAAGAACAGGAAGGGGATACAAAATTTAGCAGCATCTCTGAAGCATCTGAAAATCTTCTGAACGCAGTTGGATTTCGCAAACTCCCCGGTTAAGAAAGCAGGCATCTAGACATGATCACGGAGCGCCTACCAGAAATGATCTCTGACAAGGCCCCCGAACGCGTCAAGCGCAGCACAAAACCAGATACAAGAAAGAATTTCGAAGCTTCAACCAAGCTACAAAAGCTTACCCGTTGGCTCTGCTGCCCCACTTGATGCTTCCTGCGCCGCCGCTTCCCGTGCTCGGGCTGCGGACGCTTCTGGAAACGCTCTGGAAACTAGATCGGCGATGGTTGCACAGGGGACCAGGTTGCCCGGGCTCTCTGCTTGCATGATGCGGCAGAGGGGGCAGCGTGGGTCCGAGGAGCGGGTGCGGATGCACGAGAGGCAGAAAACTGCGGAGGACCACAATATGAGTATGGTTGGAGAAACAGTGTTTTCGTCCATTTGATTTTTGGAAGCTGTGAGGACACTTGGGGAAGGGGGAACATCGAGACGGCACAAGACAATCAGTAAAAGGTGGCGAAAGAACGAATGGGGAGAGTAGATGCAAATTGAAACCGTGGCAGATCGTTTGCACGCATATCATGCAGGATTCGGAATCGATGCCTCCAATCACAGCAAAGAGTAGCTTCTCGAACATGTCCCAAACCCTCAAAAGGAAATGTGCGTTTACTGTGTCCACATATCCATCGTCCAAAATCTTGTGTCCAACACTCTCTCCTCACCGTGTCCGCAGACAAGAACGGAAGGGTCGTGCAAGAGCCGCGAACAGAGTTTGCACCCAAAGTCGACACCCCGAAACGCAAACTTCGTCTCCGGACCCGCGTATGGATACGGACGCCGCTGACCGCCGCTGGTGGAGGCTCCGGACGGTCCGTTAAGTCTCAGAACCGCCCCAGTTGCGCCGCCGCTGAGAAACTGGTTAGGAGGTTGTTCCGAGCTGGATGTCTGGGCGATATCGAAGGTTTCGGCTGGAGGTTGAGGTCGGGGGGATGGTTCGAGAAGAACCGGGTCCGTTTCGAGGTCTTCTGCGGCGATCTCTCGTCGCTCCCTGTCCGCTGCAATCAACATGGGGAAGTTGACAATCGAGGAGAAGTAAGGCACCGACAACTTCCTTTGATAACATTCATTATGAGACACGTTTACGTATCTCGATCATCTAACACTCTGATTCATGGGCAAGGAAGATGTCGGTGTTGGATCGCAATCTGTCAACTGACCAGCAAAACAAGCCTATGCCTTTTTCCAAGCATAGTGCCATCACAGACACGTCGACAACTATCTTACACATCACATAACGTTCCTTTTAAGAGGGCCTTCGAAATGGTCACTTCCGTCAGCAAGTCCACCGCCCTTGAACTAGGGGGGTCTGGGGCCCAAGCTTGTGACTCCCCCCCCCACTCTCCAGGTATGTACCCTACGACCAAGTGATCGAAATAGCATTGCAACCTCAATCTTAACGCCCAGAACGCCCTTGTTTGAAGTACGAAATGGATGATCCGCTGCCCACCTAGGATCTCAGCCTGGCGCTCTCTGTACTCTATGGGGAATGCATTCCCCAAGAAGAAGTGGAGGAGGCCGCACGTGCGTGCCAGGTGGCCATATTCGCGACGGCAGAGGGGGCAGTTGGACTCAGACACGTTGTTCATGCTCTGGTGCAGACACCAGAAGCAGAACATGTGCTGGCACACATTGACAGCGGGCTTGAAGACTAGGTCCCTGCAATGAAAAAAGCAAGGTCCATCGAATTGTCTTCAGCTCCAAGCAAGAAACTTGATATTAAACGGCTGCCTTATCAGTCATCTCCAGTCAGAATCCAGTAGAATGCCTTTCAGTGCCTTGGTAAAAAAAGCATGTTTCCTGGGTCTGCACTTTGCCCAATTATTTCTCACATCGGAAAGGCTTCCAGGATCTCAGCTTCTTCTAAGTGACACGAAAATCTGTTCATAGAAAAGGTGGCAGAATCAGGGAGAATGTTCACAATCACAAGTAGTTCTGGTATAATGGAATCGATGGCAGGAATGTGCCTCTAAAACAAGAAGCTGCAATGAGAGTCCCTGTAATCAAACTGGTAGCCTGGGTGGCAGATTCACTAGACTCTCACTAACTCAAATCTCAAGGTACTCGAATGACGGTCTCCAGAAAACATACCCACTCACGGAATCATTAGCCTTAGGTACAGAGGAAAAGCAAGCAAACCTGCTAGGGCAGGTAACTGAACAGCCTCCAATAGATAGAGCCAATCCCAAAAAGTTCGAGTACACCACAGCCAACCGATGAGCTATTGTGCCATTTCCCAAAAAGGACTTTCCACCCATTAGAAGCGAGAGTTCTCTTCCGTCATCAGACCTATCTGCATTCCAGCCAGATTTGGCTGGACGTACTATCAACTAGTAGTATAGAATTTGTCTCTGCTCCAATGAAGGGCACCCGTGCAAAGTGGGGCGCCACCAAGGGTGCTCGATTGTAAACCTATTGCCAAGTGCAAAGTCAGAACTTAGCTGTCCCGTCAACCACTTCTGTTCACTACTTGTACGATACGGGCCTCTAGATCAGAGCGCCTTCTAAGAAACCTTCTTTCAGGCGCAGCGCTGGGCATGCACGAGTGTCATCAACTGGATGGAGAAATCATGAAAGCTGCTGGAAAATGCAAGCCTGGACAAGCCTAAAGCGGGCGCAAAATTAGTGGACTATGATCTCTAATGCTCCTGCAAGGTTTCAAGTCCTCCTACAAACTTGCCAGAACATCTCAGCAATCATCAAATCTCACCAAGAGCGTCTACAATTGACATCCACACTTACTTGCAAATGGCGCACTCGTATTCCTCCACACGGGGCTGAAATGCCGGCGCCAGCTCCATGCTGGTGCTACCTTGAGCGAGCTGCCTTTCCATCTGTCGACAGGACGTCCTTCCTAGAGGTAGCGAACCCCAATTGATCACAATCCTGTTTCCTGCTTTCTTGTCCCAACAACGGAAACTTAAGGTATGAAACGAGCGAGACCTCTGGCCTCTTGGTATATGCTATAACTTCTCCCGAAGCAGTGACTAGGGGAGACACCAGCCTGAGGGTACCGCTAAGCAGACTCAGACGCTAGGGGTGGAGCTTTAGGGACGCCATTGTGGAGCAACAAAACTGCTCATTTAGCTGTGGCCACAAGCCAGGAGACGTGTCTGCGGATCTCGCCCTCTGCGTGGAACCCTAAAAAAGCTGACAAAAATGTCTTGAGAGGCTGCAGCAGCTGTTTCAAGATTTAGGGTTTGACTGTCAAGCATTTGAGAGTCGTTGGCCCTCTCCATTGGCCCTCTCCATTTGAGAGTCGTCGCTCTCTCTCCCTCTCCCTCTCTCGTCTCTCTCTCTTCCAGGTTCCATCTCAATTAGGCCCAAGAGCATCTAACCGCATGGTTGCAGTTCCCCTCGGCAACAGGTTTGAGAGTGTAGTCCTTGTGAAGAGCCCATCACCTGAAAATGGCGCGAAGCATACCAGACGTGGAGGAGGCAACCGTATGTGAGGTCAATCGAGGATTGGGTGAGTATTTTAAACATCTGTTGAAAAGCAGTGGAGGGGAATCGTTTGAGGATGCACGTGCCTGGTACTTCAGCACGAGGTATCTGGCCAATGCTGATGCTGCTTTGTCAGTTGATTGTTGAGTGGTGCACGAATGCTTGACGAAGTCACTCGTTTTCATGGTGTATTCCCCCACATTGCCGTTAAAGGGCGCCTAGATGAAGATGCTCTCTTGCGCAGCGAGAATTGAGGTGGAGTGCAGTTGCTGCGACTATTTGCCTTTGAAACCCAGAGGTTTGCTGCTTGATTCGTCCAACGTTTTTCATGAATTGTTTGGCTGCTCAATGCAGTCCATGTCCGCAGAGGCGATGCGCAGGCTCTCCAGGATGTCCAGAACTCTATTCAGGTGACTTTCTTTTGTCTAGAAGAGTTTATCTTCAGTTTATACCGTAGATTGCGATCATGAGTGTTTGTGGAATCCACCACCACCAACATCATTTTTCAAAGGCAGGATGCTCATTTACAATCTAAAGGGCCAGAACAATGTACGAAGTTTCCTGTGCCGCCACCATCAGCTTAGGGGCACTTCGAGAACCATGTGCGGAAAGCATGTATGAACCAAACTCATCAATGTTGGAGATTGTCATCTTCCAATTGTCCTGCAATTCTCCAAACCTTGTGCATTTCATTGTTTTCTATCCTGACCAGGGCGCACTGGTTCGTTTGTCAACTGGTGCAGAGTTGTCATGTCGTCTGGATTCTAGAGATCTGGAAGTTGCAGACAAATCTTTGTGGCCTCCTTCAAAGGTTTCTCAATAAGAAAAGTGACCTTCTTGCAGGCCTACCTCTACCCCACGCTCACCATCGACCTGAAGGACCCCACCGACCTCCTCGTTGATACAGTACCCATCCTTTCTTACTGGGGGGCAACAAAGGAGGCGCCAGCCGCCAAGTCACTCCCAGCTCCCGGTGGCCCCCCATCTGAAACCTCTCCAAAAGATACCCCCTCGTCAAGTCATGCCGCAACCTCTCAAACTGGGAGCCCATCCCAAGAAGGGGTGCAGAACAGCACACAACCTAAACTCGCTCTCCAGCAGCTGCAGACATTGGTCCTCACCCTAGTTGCTCGCGCCAGGTCGGCTTTGGGACCTCTTATCTCAGGACCCCCGCCGACGCTGCTCGAAACAGGGCCTCTACGAGATCTTAGCTGGCACAGCGCAAAGCAGAGGCTGGCAGTCATTGGCCCCTTTGATCGCATCCTGCTGTATGACCTGGAAGCGCGAGGAGAGGCAGCGGCGACCCCCGGAGTACTGGCGCACGAGTTTCAGAAGGGGGCAGCTATGGTGCGGTGGCGGCCCAAGGCGGCGGGGGGCCTGGCAGTGGCATGCAGGTGCGCATCGTATGCTTCATTTGCTGTGATGTGTTCTAGGGTGACTGGCGTCACGTTTGAAATGTCGAGTAGCTTGCTGGTGGAACCGACCGGGTGCACCCAGAGTGGCACACGTATATTTTTTTCTTTCCAAACAAAGTGTTCTCTTTCACTCTTGCTTTGTTCCTTATTGATGAGGCCAAGCCAACCTCGTGTTGTCCCTCGCACGAATGGCCGCGTACTTTAGAAGCATTTAAGGTGCTGAACCGAGTCGTTTGTCACTTGGGACTTAGTGGCTTTATAATGTGGACGGCGGCTTGTAGCAGCGGCGGCCTTGATATTCTTTGTCCTCATGACTGGGTCAGGTGAACTACGCCTGAGTAGTATCGGCCTGCACAATTACCATTGCTCTTTTCTCCTTCCTCATAAAACCCCTCTTTACTTCCCATTCTCCAGGACCGGTGTCTGCTTTTGGACTCTCACCCCCCCCGTCCACATCTGCCCCCTCTCCCCCTCCCCCGCCGTCCGCGGCAGCCCCTCCGTCCGCCACCGAAAGCCCCTCCAAGCCACGATGGTCTTCTTCCAAAGCCCCTCGGGGGCCCCTTTCACAGCGGTAGAGTGGAGCCCCGACGGCCGGCTTCTGGCCGCCTCTAGTTCGCTGGACAGTAGCATCATGGTGTATGACGTGGCAACGGGCGCGGGGGCGCCACTTCGGCGGGGGCTCGGGGGCGAGGCGCTGCTGCGGTGGGCGCCGTCGGGGGACTACTTCTTCTCGGCGAAGATGTGAGGGGGTTTGTATTTTGTTTGGGACTCTGCTTCTGCAGCGGTGTTTGGAAGCTTCGTTGGCAGGGCGGGGGATCGAAAGTGTTCCAAGCGCGGCGTCAGATGGGGCTCGTTTCTCTACGAGAAGCGCTACTTTTATATCTAGGGGGGTAGCTATAGTCTGTGTCATTGATGAAAGTTTTGTAGCCGACGTCAGAGAAGCACTCTTCCCGCCCTTTGTGCATCAGTCAGTGAGTCCTGACCTCTCCAGAACACGTCGTCTATCAGAAATTTTGAATGAACGAAGCCCGCAAGCCTTCCCCTTCTCGCTCAGTTGTTCGGATGTTCACTTCTGAAAGTAGAAGGTATACTCGAAAGCCTGAAAGCACGAGGCATACTCGTCGTCAATGAAAAGCAACTCTCTGAGATAAATTCCCAAATCAAGTCGACAACGGATTCACCTCGTACTTTCAGAGTCGCTTTTCCACTTGCTTATGCTCCAAAGCATCAGCCGCTGAACGTTGCTCACATGCAGGAACGGCAACTTCCACCTGTGGGAGACAACACGCTGGACGTCAGAACCGTGGGCCTCGCAGAGCGGCCGGGTCGTGGTACGTATTTCTGTGGTCTCGTCCGAAACGGTCTCCGGTGTCGTCGTCCTTTGCTTACATCGCCGCTTCCTGAAGGCATTGCCTTTTTGTCCTGGTGAAAGCTTCAGCTGCTTTTCACTTTTTCCTGGTGAAAGCTTCAGCTCCTGTTCAATTTGTTGCGTCTTCTGCTGTAGTTCTTGGCACCGTTATGCTCAATCTTCTACTCGAACCGACGCCTATGTAAGTTCCGTGGCTAAGTGAAACGGGAGCCGTTCGATCAAACGAGTTCCTCCAGACAGCATGCATCAAGCATCCACTATGAGCCGGCATTTCGGCCCTAGAAGCGCAGGTCGCAAACGGCCGAGGCTTTTTGAGAATCAGAGGTGCAGAAGGCTTACTTCAGCGTGGTTGATGAGCAGGTTTGACGAGACGGGCTCACGGGTCCTCGTTGGGACTCTGAATATCCTAGTCATTATATTTGCTCCCCTTTCGTTCTCGCCGAAATTTGGTCGCTTCTCGTTCTGCAAGATTCTGCGAGATTTGGGAAGCATTGGATCAGCGTCTTGGCTGGTCTTTTGTGTCGATTTGGATCGTCACAGCTTTCTGTGACGCAGCCTGTGCGAGCGGACTGCTCCAAGGTCGGGCTCAGGCAACGGTCCGTCAGAACGAAAAATTTGGTGCCCGCTTGGAAGGATGGATCTCACCATCCTATGGAATATGGGCTCAAAAATCTTGACGGTCACCTTTAGGAAGTACAACGTTCTTCCTCTACAGGCGGCCGCATGGAGCCCCGACAGCCGCGCGCTGCTCCTTGCCTTCGAAAACAGCACGACGCTAGGAGCGATCCACTTGACCGGGAAAGTGCCCTCTTTAGGTAAGCCGTTTCTGTTTCGTAGGTGGTGTGATCGCATTGACATGGAGGGTATCGAGGGGCCTCAGATTTTGACATAGTCCTGGGGCAAACGCGTGTACTGTATATGACACTAGGATCTCAAGCGCGCGGACTGCCAGTCACGAGCTTCATTCTTGCTTCAGAAGTGCACCACAAGGGTTCTTAAACGGCAACTTTGATCCGACCAGAAAAGTAGGTGCATCCTGTGTGCATGGAAGCGGACCGCATTCGCTTGGCCCATTTTTGCAGCGGCAATCCGATTTGTATATTTTGAGGTCGGAATTGAAGCCTCGAAGATTCGCAGATTAGTCGTTGACTGTAGGGAAACCACACAGTCGTGGCAATCAAAGGTGGTCGAGCAACTTCCAAATCACAAAGTTCTGTTGTTTGTGGGCTTCAATCACGCTTTTTTTCTAGAAATTGGACGCGCAAAACATGAGGCCTTGTTTTCCGTCCAAGCAGACGCGCACCTCATACCCCTAGAGCTCCCTGAAGTCGAAGCCCTGGCCAGCAGGGCCTGCCCCAACCCGGGCATAGAGCATATGGCCTGGGACGCGGGGGGGGACCGCCTCGCGGTCTCATACCGGGGGGGTGACGAGCAAACGGGCGGGCTTGTAGCTGTGTATGATACGAGGCGAACGCCCGTCGTGGCCGCTTCCTTCATGTGAGACGTTGTTTGATCTTGGGACCCTACCGTTTCCTGAGCTTCCAAGACCCTTCATCGAGATCCGGTCAGAAACCTGTCAGAACTCACTGCCTAGTAACGGTGCTTCACATTTGCCGATCCGCCTTCTCGTCAGTCCGTCCTAATTCTGCGGGACGGCTGTGACAAGGTTTTCACCGCTGATTTGTATTTAAAAAGTTCTGATGGACTAGCCCTACAATGCCAAACGGTGGAAACATTGATTTTCGTGCACGCTAGGACGATGTTTCCGCCCGACGTATGTCAGCTGAACGCAACTCCTTCAACCTTCTCACCGATCAAAATTCACCGACGTTCTTTGGAATGATTTCATGCCAACAATCACAGGAGAAGGCTCGAACTATTCTCGTCTCGTTTGTACTCTTCGCATCCGTGCAACTCGCATTTGATCTTTGTAACAACCGCTTTCCCCAGCTCCATATGCAACGTCGAAGATAACATTGTCCATTGTGATGCAGCGGACTTATCCGCGGACCGAAAGCAGACTCCCGGCCGCTGTCCCTCTCCTTCTTCAACAGATTTGCCCGTGGCTCGCTGTTAGCGGTGGTAAGTCGCTCCTTCGTAAATCTGCTTCACGATTTCAGCAATTGACATGGCGAGCAACGGTCTTCTCTTTTCGAATTCAGGCGGCGATACTGATGGTCAGGGCGTTGTGATGAAGCTGCAGGACAGATACGCTTTTGACAAACAAGGCTCCTTCTTTCGAAGGCACAATTCGGAGAAGCTGATTCAACCCGCTGATATGAGTCAGAAGCACTCCGTCGGCCGTTTGATTGATTGTTTTCTGCAGGCCTGGAGCTCTTCCCAAATCTCGGTCTACCCTCTACTCTATAAAGGTCGATGAGCAGGCGTCTTCCAGCTTGGTGCACAGCGCGGCAGCTTGGCTGGACATTGAGCAGTATCAAATCACGTTTTACACGCACGTTCGTCACTTCTTTGATGTAGATTGAGAGTTGGTAATCTCGTTGAAAAGTGGTCTTTGGAAGCGAGTGTACCTCGAGTCCTCCTACAATTGCAGTCTGCAGGCGTGCTGTGTTTGTCACATGTCCTGTAGGCGGTCATCTTAGCCTGGCTGCACACGGGGCGCTCCTTGAAGATCGAAGAGGAATGATCGTGACATTGGGCTGCGCTGCCGCGCGCTGTGTGACCGTATGCTCATCTGCTGATTGTTGGAGGGTGCGGCCTCATATGACCACCATGTTGGATGTACGGTAATATAACATACTAACAGCCGCTCATGAGCTCATGAGCCCATGCTGACTGACCGCGTCCGAACGTTCACCGGGATCTCGAGAGAGATGATCATACGCGTAACGTCTCCGATCCGATTGGTCCTTATGACGGTCGGACATAAGATTGTATAAAATTCACTGCGTGCATCATGAACATTGCCCGTAAACACAACCCGGCCATATGTCGCAATCATTTCCAGCTTTACCGTTGAAGAGTAAAGCCGGAAAGGCAAGTTGTAGAGGCTTATCTCAGAGCGCTTAAGATCGATGACATAGTCAGCTAGAATACATTGGCGCGAATAAACTCAAATTGACTCAATATCGCAGCTTCATGCGCGCTACTGTGTCTATGAAATTAACGCGTACGTCTAGACGTCTGCAATCATCATGAAATCTGAGTAGAATGGCACCTTACAATGTAGCAGGCGGCCAGCTTTCCATGGCCTCCGACATGATTGATTAATGCTGTGAAGCCGAGCTGTGAAGCTTAATGCAGCCTGGCTAAACTAGAACGCTCAGCGCTCGCCGCTGGCATTTTGCTGACATGAATTACATACTCAAGAAACACAAAGTTCAAAAACAAAAGCTAGAGACCATGGAAGCCAGCCTTGAAGTTGCTTCTTCGAACACGGTTGATATCAGCGCGGACTGCCAGCAATCAGGACATACTACTTCTGCACTGCTTCGGAAGCTATGGCAGCTAGCTGAGTGGGAGCTGAATCATGCCATTGGAAGAAGGAGACCCAACACCCGATCGGGCAGCCAAAGGTGGAATCCTCCGGAGTTCTTGAAATTCTTGACGATGTATACACAGTACTTTGGATCATGTCTTATCATCTTCCTTTTGAAGCTTGGTCCTATCTCTCAACCAGACTCTCACCTCACCAGCCTTTGCCTCAAACCGCCCCAGATTTCCAATGCTCTGCTTGAAGGGAGAGTTCGTCAATTGAAGGACCAACTTGACTGCTGTGCTCAGTTCAGAAACCCCTTGTACACGGCTGTGCTTCCCCCACCCGGTGACTATCCGCACAACCAGTGGACTCTCGACTGTACTCAATCGCTTTCTGACCTCGCAGAACCATGCCAGCAACAAAACCTGCCCCCCATCAACGTCGGCCCCATGCAAATCCAGCTTCCACTCACTATCTGAAAACTGCCAGAGTCCAATTAGATCTTGCCTCTTGTGTTCCTTCAACAGCCTTTCAGAAACTTGAGCTGGCCCCAATGAGTCTAGTAGATCTAGAATTGAAGAAAGTCCTTTTCTGCCCATGCCTTTCCTTGTCCACACACTAGCAAGCTTTCTCAGAACGTCCGAGTCAATCCGTTTACCTTGGATAAAACGCTGCCTGAGGAGGCAGATTATGTTATCTAAACTGAGGGGGGGACTAGATTTCGGCTGCGGAGTGTACAGCGAGGCTTGCAGATCATCAGCAGCTTTGATGATTGCTTTCGAACCTGCCTCTTCTAGGCTTTCCCTTGGCACGGCATTTCTGTTGTAAGAACCACAAGGGATGCTGCTCAGCACATGTGATGCACGGAAGCATGTTGACACTGAGAATCTACCTGCTCCTGGGAAGACAAGCCTACACAGTTGCCGGGAGAGTACAGTGTGCGAACCTCCAGGGCTTACAGTCTGCACATTCTGCACAATTTTGCAGCATTGATTGGTGTCAGTTTGAAGCATCGGCATAAAGCGCGAGCTGGGTCTTCTGGCTGCAAAGCTGACATTTTGATCTTGAAAACGCGTGAGCAACCGCCTTTCTACCACCTCTTTTATGCCGCCGCCTCCTAGCGGGACACACCGCTTAGCGAAGAAGTCAATAAGCTGTCTGAGAGGGTTAGCCAGGCGCCTCATATTGGAAACATACCCACTTTCTCCAGAATTTACCAGGGAGAAATATAATGCTTGAGTGCAGTGCTAGGTGCAGCTGTTATAGATGTCAACAGGAGGTAGCAACATTCTCCACGTTTGCCACTGTTTGGAAATTGGCATGCTCTCATTGCATTCATGACACTTGCTGCGCAGCAAGTACAAGCGCAAGTACAAGCGCTCTGTTCTGCTCCAAATGCACGGTTGCGCTAACCCGGAAATTTCTTTGCTACCGGGTTGTACCGTGTGCCACTCGGTGCCACTTCCACGGTTCTCAAAATAGTACAAACATTGAGGGATCAAACCAGTGTTCGACACGAGCCGTCACACCAGGCAAACGACGGAATTGCCATCCGGCCGACTCAACCGAAGGGCGTCGGCCGAAAAGCCGACAAAATCGAGATATATTTCGATCAGGGGTTTGGCAGACACAAGCCGACCGGTTCAGAGGTCCAGCCGACTGACCGGTGAACTGTCGGCTCCCAGCCGACAAAATAAAAACTCCGTGTCGAACGCTGGATCAAACATACAAACTGTGTATCAGCGGGAGCTCAGGAACCGGCAACACAGCCACGGAACAGTGTCGGTTTCGGCTTCCTACTTCGTGGACAGGGGGTCGGTTGACGTGGATAACCCCCTGGTTTATGGGTGACTAGCAAGCGGGGTGACTACGTACGAGCACGCTTGATGTCAAGCAATGTTGAGCCCACAACTGACGCAAGAGGCACAAAACTCGTGAACTCCTTTCGAAATTTCGGACGCGGACGGTTCCTGTCGCCGGTCATGTCGACAAGGCTTCCGAGCAGTCTATTTTCCGTCCGAACAACCGGGTAGTCCTAACCACACTTAAAACCTAAGAATGAGTGCTCAGCCGTTAGTGGGAACCCTAATCTAAGAGCAGTCACAGGGAAGGAACGCGACTCTGACAAATCGTCACAGTAAGTGGCGTGACCCTAACACACCATCAGTGCGTTATGACTCAACCCTAATGTCACAAAGACTGCCCGGTTGTTCTGCCGGGTACCGTACGGGTTCTAAATGGTTCATACCGTCCGCTGAATCTTATCGCGACGGTACCACTCGAAACACTGGGCAAAGACCGTCCGCGTCCGAAATTTCGAAAGGAGTTCGCAAGTTTTGTACGTTTTGCACAACCAGTGGGGCCCGGGGTTTGAACTTGAAGGGAGATATTAAGGTTTAACTTTCAAGTGGAGCGACTTTGGTCCGCTCAGGACATCTACTACCGTACTGCTACGTAATTTCGGCAAAAAATAAATACTTATGTGCCCTGCCGAATTCCGCTGGAAAATATTTTGGAGCGATAATGGTCGATAACGGTATATTTTAGCAGGTAACAATAGGTCTGCCGAAACGATAGAAAGTTTCATAATTAAATTTTCGGCGTCGAAGGTGCCGAAATCAAATAGCAGTACGGGTAATACATGCCGCATTGGAGCTACCTTAGCGACGCACACAATGGTGAGGGAGTATGCAGGTCTGCAGAGCCCATTCGAGAGGTTATCGGACGATCTCATGCTCCGCATTCTTGTTGCTGCTGCCGATGATACTGAGGAATCTGAAGGCTTTGCGAGTTTGGAAAAGCTCTGTCAACTGAGGACGGTTTGTGCACGATTTGACGCAATCATCCCTGGCGCAGCAAAACTAGTGTGCGCGGAGGTGGACACAAGTCTTGAATGTTACTGGGTTGACATTCTACGATTCCTTCAATTGAGACGAGCAGTGAAGTCTCTTCAACTACAGATCAAGGTTCCGCAACTGTTCTTTGAAGCTCTTTCAGGAGCAGCTCCGCATCTTGAATCCCTAGACATCAACAACGGATTTCTGCAACTCGAATCTGATATTTTCGAGGACAGAGGTATTGAACTGTTCAAGGCCTTGTCAATGTGCCATCACCTGAGTGCCTTGAAAGTCGGTTGTGTTGACACCAGGGATGAGGAATCTATTTTCCGCGGACCCCTTGAGAACAGATTTCCGTTACGAGCTTTGAGAACGTTGGAAATAAGCGAGACCAGTTTAACGGACTCCTTTGCAGCAAGTATCGCACACAAGTGCCCGTGCTTGGAAACCCTAAACTTAGTGGAAGTACAAGACCTTAAGCGTACGGCGATCCGCTCAAGCACCCTCCAACATCTGTCCAAAAGTAGCTCTTATAGGAGGCCGCACGAGCCTTTGCTAGAAGTAGAAGCGCCTCAATTAAGCACTTTGAAGGCCTTGAGCGTTGATAAGCTTTTGGTTGATGCCCCGAACCTTGAGAAGCTTGTCCTGGACGGCACGAACGAGTTTGTGAAGAGAAGCCCCTGGAGAGTGACCACATTAGATGTGAGCGGGGAACTTTGGACAACTAAACAGCTCCTTGATATGTTCAGCTGGTGTCCTGACGCAAAAGTGGTGCTGATGCGAAACCTCGCGGTGCTCGCTGACGGGGGAAATGTGGAAAAGGTCGCTTTGTCCTCGCTTCTTCACCCGTTCAAGCAACTCGAGCATTTGGAACTTCCGAGCGCCCTTCCGGAGTTCCCCTTTGTAGAGCAACATGCCCCCGTCGATCTCAAGCCGTTGGCTACTCTTAGGAACTTAACGGTGGGCTTTAGAGGTGTTGATGAACATGATCTTTGTGTAGAGTTTGCCAAGGTTGCCCCAAAATTGAAAAGCGTGACCATCAACCTGAAGCACATGTCCAAGGGCGCTGGGAAGGCAGCAGTAGATGCTATGGTCAAGCGCTCTGTACGGCTCCAAAAGCTATATCCTCATCTTGATCTGAGAGTGGAGTGGCCTGAGCTGAGAATTGTTTATCAAAACTCTCGGAGGAGAAGGAGGCAGACAAGTGTAGTACTTCATTGAAGTGACAAGTGAAAGCCGCAAACGGGGGAGATACGTGCAGCCAAATCAGGACCACCAAAGACTTTCTTGTCACGGCGGGATCATTTCGGTCACCAGCCAAGTTTCTGATCCCTGCGCACATCGTCCATTAGATATGCACTGGGACCATACATGTGTAAACATGTAATTCGTCGCTTGCCAGAATCTCTTAAATTAGCCACTAATTTAGTTTGTATGTAGAACATGTTGGATCAATCAGCATGCTGAACTTGAAGCTCATTGAATGTACGATTTTACATACAACTTACATGGTTCCATCATGCCACATGCACGTGTCTTGGCGTGCAAGTTCGAAAATGGTTCCAAGATATGAGTCACTCGTACAATCATTTCGTGCTAGCTGGCGGGCCTAGCTTTGTCACGTAGTCGGAATCTATGCATAAAGATCTCGCTCGGAAACAATCATGTGCATGTGAGTCCGGCCTGCTATTAGAAAAGCCATGGCTGCATGGCGCAGTCTGCTGTCGCACGTACGGTACAAGGCACCAGCTGTCCGTTTATAGGCATAATTAATTGTGCGCTTGATCGAGATCAGATCTTTCAAATATTGCAGCGGTATGTTCCGACGATTTAATCCTATCCTAAAGTGTATCATGATACAATGAATAGGGTTCGTCTATTGCAAGAAGACGTACGGTTAATCCGATCGAGCGGAGCTCTGGCTTCTAAAAGTTGGGAACTTCGGAAGATCGACTGCAATAGTTATCTACAATACATATGCGTTGATGCTGGCACGTCGCGAGCATGCGCAATGCTTCCGACGCCCCCTCAATAGCACAATGCCAGAACCTGAGCCGCGCTTCAACCAAACTTTGCGAAGCGGGAGATCATGGCATGCAAGGAACCGACAAGCTCAAGCTAATTACTGTACTTTGCTTCAATGTGTCAGACCGTCTACTCATTCAGCGAATGCGGATGCCGTTGAAAGACCCCGAGCAGTATGCAGGTGGCAAGGACCATTGGTCGCTTCAAGACTAGAACTTTAAGCTTCCTGTCACAGAGCTGCTCGTTATTCTTAGATTCAAGTAAGGTAGGTCTTTTATGCAAGGCAATCTATGTTGGTGCTAGTAAATCATGTTGGTGCTTAAGGTACTAATGCTTTCATGCGATAGCAGCCGCGAAAGCCGCTGCATTAAGCCGCTTCCCAGTGATGTGCTCCGACAGCTCGTCCCACGCAAGGCTTTTCCCTGGGGCAAACACCCGGTCCCTAAAAAACCGCCCAATCGCCTTATCGCCCACATAGATCGCCTCTCCGGGGACAACTTTTTGGACCTCCCGAGCGACCGTATCGTGCACCTGGCTTGCAAAAAGCTCCCCGAGCATGTAATTATGGTAATAGCATGGTGCGACTGGAATATGAATCTTACTGGCATAGTCGGGGGCGTCTCTGCCGGAAGGCCTTGTAATCCCCTGGTACTCCTCAACCAAGTCCCACCACAGGCTGTTTAGGTTTGCATCGGGGTTGCCGTACAGGGCCTTCTCAAAGCGGAACATGACCTGCGGGGGGAAAGACGATAGAGCTTTTGCTACGAGAGCGAACGGTGTGATCGAGGAAGAGCGATTTTGAACCCGTCAAGCTTCTGTGGGACGCTTTCTTACCGACTTTCGTTGAGCCTGAAACCGACTTTCGGCATCGATGCGAGGCCCCAAAGAAACGTGTACACTCGTTGCAGTTCTGGCATACTGATTCACGGCGATTGCAGAAGGGGCTGACTTTTAACAATCCGCAACGCCTATTCATCTGAATGTGGTCGGAAACACTGTGCTGGATCTGAGAAAAAGGTACAGTGAGCACCATAGCTTCGCCAAAGCTCCGGTAGGAAAGCCCTGGCAGACTTTTGGCAGACGTGAGCGAGCAGACTTAGCATTTGTGTACGTCAACCCTTCACAACGAAAGACGTAATAGACGCCGCACCTGGTACCACCGCGAGAAGATGAGGAGGTGCGCGCGCGTCGCCCGAGTTTGCGCCGCGTCAAACTCCTTCTCCCCCGCCACCTCCACCCCCATCGCTTTCAGCCACGCCGCCTTCCGCCCAAACTTCTCAAACAGCATCGCGACGCCTTCGGTCGTCAGCGTATGCGATTCCACCCGTAAGAAAAACGGCAGCCCGGGGGGCATGTTCCGACTGCTGTACACGGAGTGGCCCAGCTCGTGCAGCATGGTGTTGGTCCAGTACTCGCCCGGTTGGACGTTCCCGAGCACTCGGACGTCGCCGGACCGGTCGATGTCCGTGCAGAAGGCGTGGGGGGACCTGCGGGCGGGTTAGCGGCTGAGTTAGGGGCTGACTTCGTGGTTCGGTCAATCGCTAGACGGTGCTTAAGTCTGCGAAGGCTCTGAGAGGAAGGGTGGCATATTTCAGTCTGGTCGTTATCCGCACGGACGGTTTCACAACCAGCCGGGTTAGCGGCTGGTTTATGAACGGGTTGGCGGACAGACATTCGAGGGCCGTTTGAAAAAAAGAGTTAAAGTCCAAGTGCAGTGCACGAAGTTCGGGTTCCATTGGCGGGTCAAGTGGCCGGAGCGAGCAATGAATCTAGGAGCGGGGCAATCCGGCAAGAAAACCGAGCTAGCTTGGTTTGAGTGGAAAGACGTGATCCGTCGAGCGACCGAGTCAGCAAGCCAAAGTTCGCAATCGGCCCCTCAGTCAGCTTTAGGAGCGGGCGACAGTCTGTACGAACTTCAGATTGCGGACTTCGACCACTCACTTGCCGGCCCACTCGCTTACAAAATTCGATCACGTTGACCAAGACGGACTCTCTCTGTAGACGCGAATCAAGTCGACCTTGGTGTATTGAAGAACTTCGTCGGATGACAACTTGACACGATCCAGACAGACGTAATCCCTTTGCAAGAGGCGTCCAATCTTCTGAGCATCTTTCAGGCCTCAGAATGACTCTCGAAGGTCGAGCAGGCAGACTCGCTATCACTGAACGAGCAGTCCTGCGACTCATTCAATCCAAACGACCTCCTAAGAAAAAACTTTACAAGGAAGGCTGACTTTCTCTGTACACAGCCCTTTCACTTACTTGCCAGGGCGCTCGTACAGGTCGCTCCGCTCGATGACGTCATCGATGGGCAGCCCGATGGAGGCGTAGAAGCGCGAGCACATTCCCACTATGTCCAGGCGTGAATAGGGCCCGGCGGTGTCCCCGCCAAAGACGGCGGGCACTTCTTGGAAGAAGAGGTCGTGGTAGTGCCAGGGTCGGAGGGCTTCGGGGGGGATGCCGTAACTAGAGGCGAGGGCTTCGTCGATCTCGGCCTTGAGGGAGGCGAAGAGGGGGCGGGTGAGGGCGTCCAGCTCGTTGAAGATTTGGAGGACCTGGGATTCAAACGACAAGAGTTAGGCCCGGTTCGTGTTCCTCCACTTTCGCTTGGTCTGCTGTTTTCAGCGTATTGGATTGAGGTGACACTTGCGAGACCAGCGGCGACGCGTGTAATACTAATCCGGAAAAGGGAGCGAACCTAAGCTGCGTTTCACAACTCGCTGTTGTGGGTTGTAATGCGCATGCAAAAACCAAACACGGACAACGTAGAGCAATCTAGAGACTTAAACCGCCGCTCTTTACTTGCATACGTTTTCAACCCGTTGGAAGCCGCATGAGAACGACGATTCCTAGCTCAAACTGCTCCAAGAAACGGGTTCCTGAGGCGCTTTGAAGAGGTGTCTTGTCGAGTGCTGAGATCGAGAGGCAAGGTAAAAGAACACTGGGAAGGAAGCCAAGAAGCATTAGGGCAGAATCCAGCTGGTCGAAGAACCTCAGGAGTAGATGAACGGAAATGGCAACTCTGTCAGGATCTGGATATGGATTCAAAAATACTGCTAACATTTTTTGAGGCAGGTTTAGAAAAACAGTAGCATGGTTTTCAAGAGCCCGACAGGATTGAGAACTCGCCGAGAGAAGCGAGCAGGAAATTAGGGTCCGCAGTCAAGAGTGATTCATTACAGGAGAGGTGAAATACCAAACTTAAGGAAAACTTCCATAAAATTTCCCTTTCTAGGGTCGAGTACGAGATTGGGCTAGGAAGTGGGAACTAAGAGCTGTTGGGTTAAGGAGGCAGTTGAACCGTCGGTCAAGAGGCAGCAAGGGAAGTACACCGTTGAAGGAGAGCTGGTAGCTCGTAGTAAAAGTGTCAAGGAAGGAACTGCCAGAGCGTATTGCCAGGGCGACTAACTCACCAAGGGTTTCAAAGACCGTCAAGGGGATCAGAAGCGAAGTCACAATTGCAGTCTAGCCAGATTTAGATGATAGCATTTGGAATAAAAGACGGATTACAAACTTTGATGTTTGAAGGCCCCTGAAAGAATCCACACCTGCAATTATGCTGGGCAGTCAATTGATTTGACTGCCACGCTTTTGAGTTGGACATCAGACTTCACCAAAGGGCATCTCACTTTGATCAGCGTACACATCTTTAACTTTTGCCGCCCCAAAGAGATGAGTAGGGATAGATTGATGCTTGATGAGAAGCCTTCTACAAGCTATTATTGGCTTCGCTGCCAAGAGCCCCACCAAGCCCTCTTCTCATCCAATCAGAGCAGTAGAGACTCTCATGTCAAGGCAACGGCATCAGCTCTTAGGAACAGTCCTGACTGCCAAGAGCAAGAGTAACCGTGAGTCCCCGGAAGTCCTTCAAGCAGTGTGACTCCAGAGACTCAATGTTCAAAGATGCATCATAAGTTCGAATTGAGAGACCTCTTCGTCTGTATTCAACTTACGAGTCTATACAACATAAGTCCCCTGCTTTGGCCAAACACCGACCGTCAGCTGCAGCTCTATGACCGCCGCTTGAACCATGCCATGCACAGGTCTCAAAGACGAAGTTGCTAATTTTTTTTGAATATCACCCTCACCTGCTCTTGGCTCTGCTCGCCAACACTGAGCTGCATCGCATGGTAGTCCGCAAACCCCAGGCCCTTCGCCGCTTTGTTCCTCAACTTCACTAGCTCCAGCAGCTCCTTTTCCACCACCTTCCCCACCCCCTTGCTGGCTTCCCATGCCTCCTTTCTGAGCGCCTCATCCTTTGACTCCCTCAATAAATCCCTCACTGCATTCTCTGTCACTTCCCTACCCCCCACAACCGGCCGGAACGTGTTGAACGCCTTCTCCACTCGGTTGCTGAGGTCGTTCAGCCGCTTCAGCGTCTCCCCATCCACCTGCTTCTCCAGATGCATCAAGTACAAAACCTCCACCTGTCTCCTCTCAAGTGGTGTGCCTTTTCCCAGAGCTTCTTTCACTTCTTTCAGATCCCCAAACCGCTGTTTGTTACTGAGAGCGAAATCCAGGGCGTTCTGTGCTTGCTCCTTGGCCGCAAAGTCACTATCCTGCCCGCTCGTGCTGGCGTCCCACCAGGCGCGTGACGCTTGGATAATGAGGGGCTTCAGCTCTTGCTCAAGCGTGGTCAGGAGAATGCTGACCTGGCGCGCTCCGGCCATCGTGGGGCTCTGCAGGGTGCTGGCCTTATGAACCAGTTGTTTTGCAACTTGTTGATGAGAAGTACCGAAAGTGGTGAGGTGGTGTGCCGTTTTATTCTCTTCTGTTTGAAGAGGCCGTTCACACCACCTCTCCTAGCCAACCTCAATTTGCGATGAATCAGCTTTCAACTGTGCTAAGCAGCTAGACTTTGGTCTCATGCAATGAACGACCAACATGCTCAGCCATGAAAGAAAATTCGCCCAGCCAATGCTGAGAATCAAAGACGAGAGTCAGAAAACCAGTGCCTGAGCCTGAGGCTGAAGGAAAGTGACTAGCTTCAAAAGTAGAGTCTTCAGGAGCAGATCAGAGCTCAGAACTTCAGAAGTCGTAAATTGTGTATACACAGTGCGGCAATACCTAATCTGAATTGAAGAAAGGCCGCATCTCTGCTGATGTCAATTTGAATAACACCTCCCTCTAGTCTTAGAATGCTGAGTTCTGCAATGAAACACATGTCCCTGAGCTGAATCCTGAGGAGGCAGGTCAGCTGCAATTGGACACGAAGATTCGCAATAGACCTGCTAGCAAGTACACCCGATGGAGGAGGGGGATGGGGACGCAGGAGCTGGGCGCAGGAGCTCTCTCAGGAAGCGTCATGTGGCACCCAAGCTGGCTGTTGTTGATGAAAGCACTCGACGGCAGGTGCGTGGATGATGTTTCTCCTTCTTCAAGTCGAGGGCAACCGACCGAGCGCTGCGGTGAATGAGGATGTAGGAATGAGCTTGCGCAAGAAACTTTTTGCAGCTTCAGCTTGTGCTGGCTTGGCTGTGCTATTGAGGGCCTGAACCTGCCCCAATTGGTGGTACAGCAGGTTCTTGCGATTACAAAGCTGCCATGACGCAAAATTCGATTGGTGCAGCGTGTATGCGAACAAGGAACTTTCCCTGGAAATTTCAGACTTGTCTTTTGCAAAGCTCATAAGTAGCATCAGATCTATGTTTGCATTAGCCTGACTGGATCGTATAGCAGGGCGTCTGTAACCAAGGAATCTCAATCTGAGGATAATCCTATCATCAGTGTTCCCTGGATGTAACCAAGGTTGATGACCGCGTGCGCTGCCTGCATACTCACCCCTGAGATCATGTCTCCTCAATTGAGCGTGATGGACATTCCTCTTTCTGTACTTTCTTTCTTCTCATCGCTCATGCCACCTAGAATTCTGCTGTGGAGAACCCGCTTCTCCATCCCCCTTGTCTCTTCTGCTCGTTGAGTGGGTTTGTCAATGCCCGCTGCAGGCTGCGGCGGCACGCCTAGATGCTCTGGAAAATGACAATGCAATGGCCCCAGATGCCATTGAGGTGCGGGACGATGATGAGGCCTTCAACATCGATGAAGAGATGGAGGAAGGTGAGAAGCCATTGTTTGGCTTGATAAAACAGTCAGATTCCGATACTTCCCACAAAAGGCTTTTTCAGGCACTTTGACACATGATAATCAGGGTCTTTTCGACCATGCCGCATGACTAGCCTGTATCTTGATGTTGGCGGTGTCACTCAGCAGCAATGAGGGGCCTTGTTGGTGCTCTGGGACGTTGGGTCCCTATGGAGTTGTCCTCCACGGTTTTGCAATTGCCTGGTAGGCAAGGATTCTCGTATCAAAACTGATTCTTTAGTGATTGATGGTCCTGGCAAGGGAACCAGATTTGATGAGAGGTTGCTTTGGTCTTCTGGCGATTTTGCAATATCCGATCGGACCACCTCTTATTGTCAATCTGCGTCGTGGTTCCCAATCAAAGCTTTCCTTCTGGTGAATGGAAACCAGAGTTCTTGTCTCCAAATTGAAAGAAAAGTGATTTTGTTATTGTGACAGGCCTTTGCACTTCTCATCACGAATTTATTATGCGTTCCCTTCCCCAACGCTGTTCCAAACCCCCTGGATGTTTCCTTGCAAGAATGTTGGTGTCTTTCTGAGGTCCAGATTTTTGGCTGGTCCGAAAGCTGGACAGAAAGTGAAGCAAAGGCATAGCTTTTCTAGAAATTGGGAAAGCATATGGGTTTCGAGCATCGGGGAAACCCCCAACCATCACATCCGCCACCATGTTGTCCTTTTCAAATCCTTTGAAAGTGGTCTACAGACAGAAAAAGGTGGACGCTTGCCATTGGCTCTTGTCATATCGTAGACCATCCTACGAGAGGATTCGATCCAGATTTTGTGTCCTCAAATGAAGAGCCGCAGAGATTTTGGATAGCCCCTCGCAGCTCTTTGTAATCCTGGCTTACTTTACAGTACTTTCCAGTGACCCGTCCGTTCAAAGTTCTTAGCGTATTTTTTTAAATGACGATACCTTCACAAAAGGAAGAGGCGGCTCCATTGAATTTTTCCCTCAGAAAAGTATGGAACATTCCCACAGGATCTGGTCTTCGTTTTGTCAGAGAGCTTAAAATCTCTACAAATCTGCCCTGCCATTCCGACAGAGTAGGTATCCCTTTTCTTTGGCATCGACACAAACAGTCGCTTAGCAACACGCAATCTGTTTGCCACCTTCATTTACCTTCACTAGACGGAGATGACGTCACTTACTCTGTGCCACGTGTCTCAGCTTGCATTCACTCATTCCCGCACAGTTTATGGAGACAAGCCTAGGTCCCGGAACAAGCGGAGGACGCGGCAGCGAGCCACGGAAGAGAAGCAGATGGCGGTCAAGAAGGGGCCTAAGACGTTCGAGGAGCTCTTGCAAGAGGTGAAGAACATCCAACCAACAACTTTCCAAAAGATGCATGATATCACGCCAGGCAGCATCCTTCCATCGGTAGTCCAATCTCTATCAAGTCTGCGTACTGCTTGGCTTGGTCCCTCTGTTCGAGGAGGTTGCATGATTTGCTGACCGCCCAACTAACACGAATGGGAATTGGCTCCTTTGATTTCAAACTTCCGTCTCAAAAAGACTGCTTACTCTAATCTTTTCGCCAGTAAAGTCGAACGCGTGTCACATAAACGCACGCTTAGCACGATCAGACGAGGATACTGGATCCGGATTGTCATTTAATGTTTAGTCGGGCGTTCAACCTTGCGACCCTGCTTTGTTCCTGATGGTGGTTGAAGAGGCGAAACGAGACAAGCATCTGTAAACTTCTTCAAATAAAACACCTCAATTCCTTTCTCGCTGCTATTCTTGTGCGAACGCGGCCGTTGTGACGAAGTCCTCGTCGTAAAGCGACCTCATCTGTCATTGGTACTAAGCGAATGGCCACTTTCAGATCGAACGTATTCACAACCAGCTGTTTGTCTCCAAGATCTGGAAGGGCGGCTCATCTCATTGACAAATTGAAGCAGATAGCCGCACCCTTTGTACATTGCCTCCTTCAGATTGCAAGGGTCCACAGGCCGACTTGCCCATGCACTCGTACAGGAAGCCCCTTCCCGCGAACATCAACTTGCTACTTTAACAAGTTACTTACAGCCACATGCCAAAATGTCACACGTCAAACCTTTGCAGGCGAATCTCGAGTCGTTGCCAGCCCACGTGCCTTCTTACCTGACAGCAGGAGTAGGTCCTCCTAGAACAGCTTCTCGAAGACACTTTTGTCAAGTATGTGGCTTTATTGCTCCATACACGTGCACTAGGTGTGGGACCAGGTTCTGCTCCCCAAAATGCCAAGGCGTTCACAATGATACACGTTGCTTAAAGTTCGTTATTTAGAATGGCGTTTGAACGTGTTTACTTAAGTTGTTTCGTGAACTTGTTTGGAAGTCTAATAACCAGCGTGCATAAGCAGCAAGACTGATGACCTTGAGGTGCACCCGCCATTCGTCTTCGAATTCATGAAGTATGTATATTTCATCAATGTATTTTACATTCATATTGCTAGTCATTTCTAAGACGCTTATTCGACTTCGCCTCAAGGTCATGTTTAGTTTAATTCTACATTTGAGTGGCCGAAAGTGTCTCGAGTGGGCTCTTTTCGTGAATATATCAATGACCAGTTGAATCCTTTACATGCAATTTGTAAAATGCATATATATCTTGTACACTACCTAGTACCTAGTCATTCTTTCCAACCAAGTATGCAAATTTGTACAAATCAAGCATGATAACAAGGCATGTGCTTATCGTCCGGCCATTTTGTTGAATGCTACCACTAAACCGATAATCGGATTGGCTGCTTTTAATAAGGAGCTGTTGGAGCTGCTTACAGCAAGCGCAACGTCTTCAGAGTTCTGGCCAGTCCGGCTCTAGGCACCCGGCGGAAACAGACTAGCCTCCAATTAACCCTTCGCGAGTTCAGATTTCAGGGTCATCTTACCAGTAATTTGTAAACTCAATCCCACATCCTTCGGGATTTTTCCGGGTCAGATAACAGTCATATGATTGCGTTTTCAATACGTCACATTTTTTTCGTGAATCTGCGCCAGCGGATCGCGACGTCAGAAACGGCAAGAGTGACAACAGACAGAAGGTGAACGACCGTCCATTTCATCCATGACCAACGAAATCAGCTCTAAAGGCCGTCGATCTAAAGACCGGATTGCTCACGTAACTGGTTGTTTTCTGTCGGGTTGAAACCGGCTCTGGTAATGATGAAAGCCGAATCCTCTCCAGACGAACTGTCTCCATAAGCATTGTGCAACTCAGCCTCAAGGCCGGTTGGCACCCCGGTTGGACTGATGTGTACCCCGGTAGCCTAGACCATGGGGCTAATGTGCTGTACAGCCTCAGTACAGGCCCCACGGTACATGCAAAAGTGCACGGTACGACAATCCGGGTCAGAACACCCGGTCAGTCATGCGTTTCCAAGTACTGAACATTGTTGCTACATGATGACATTCGAAATGGTCAAAACTTCAAGAAAGAAGCCTGGGCAACATTGAGTGCCATGGCGGAGAAGGGGAAGGACTCAGGAGCGCATGAAGAGGCTTCTGCACGTTTCCATCTGCATTTTCAGCTGAAACGTTTATGTTGAGGCTGGTGACTAGCGGTATTGCGGGTTTGCTGACCCTGATGTGGCGGTGTGATGAAGTAAAGGTTTGCGGCGCCGACCCTGGGCGCAAAAGTCCCTCTGAGGCTTGCAGGATTTGTCTGGCCTGAAGGCGAGCAGCAAACTGTCTGAGCTTCATCTGGTCCTTTTCCACTGCGGTTGCTCGTTGTTTCATGCTCGGCTCGGCAATCTTGTCACAGATGGGGATTCATGGTGGACTGTATTGAGCAAGGGGCTCATTGCATCAGCATGTGTCAAGTGGCCATTCTCAGCGCATAATACAGCAGGTCAACAAGAGGAGGAGGGTGGCACTCGTCCGGACGAAGGAGATGGCTTTGATGATGATGGATCAAAGGCCCACTTCAGTGGTGCAATCGGGCATCCGCTTGAAGCTCATCTTTCTTACACTGTTGAGCGTAGTACTCTGCCTCGCAAGTGTAGACGCAGCATTCTATGCAAGCACAGCCACCGAGGCTTCTATCAAAGGAACGTGCCAACTGCCTGGTGAATCAAATGAAAGCAACTCAGGAACGAAGCCCCTTGTGTCAGAAGCAGTCAAGGATCTGGTGCTTGTGCCTGTCACCATTGCAAACGGTTCCACATTCACCATGGCAACGCACGTGTACACCACTCGGCCTGAAGATTGGAGAGAGACACAGGGGAATGGATTTGATGGACTGTGCAGTCACCGGCAGGACATTGCTCTGGTAAGCTGAATCGCAATGACATGCCTATTTAGACTTCCCCTATTGGATAGAGTGTGGCTGAGTTGATTGTGATACTTACCGTGACTAGCTCTGGTGCACTTTGAAAGGCCCTGTCTGCTTCGTTTTGAATTGGTGAAACGATCATGACAGTGGTTTTCTGAGTTTCAATCTTCTATAGTTCGTCCACACCCTGGACATTCTGCAAATCAGCTGACAAACAACAACCATGCTTTTCATGGATCTTTCTGACTAAACCTTTTCTACTGAAGGCAGGACACTGTTGACGAATAAGTAATGATTTTCTAAAACGTTGTGTATCGGTACTGTCTGACACCTGAGCACACTGCTTTTGTTTAGGTTCTTCTGCATGGTGCAACATACAATGCTCGTTACTGGGACGCAGATGCAATTGATGGCCATCCCTATTCATTTGCAAGGTAGGATTGGTCAACTTCCAACTTATGAGGTTACAAGCCTCGATAATTGGTGTTTGTAATTCAATGTTGTGTATTATACGCTTGAGGGGAAGAAGTGCTCACGTGTTGCATAGGCGTGACTGCTATACTCTCCGTCAAATCAGTTGCTGAAGTAGGTTGATCCTGGAAGGATTTAGATAGTAATCATCCATCCCGTATGAGACACTATCGGTGTCTTTCAAGTTTGGGAAGCTGCCAAAGATAAAAAGTGAGGTACCCTGTGAAAGTTTCAGTCTTTGAAGGTGGTGCCAAAAACCTGGCAAAGAGACAGTGTGAACTTCCAAACTTTCACAAATCGCTGAAATGTTCAGGCCATCTCGGCATGACAGGTTCATGCTGTGGCCTGAGTCGTGCTTTTCTTTGTCTTGCAGGCACTTTGCAAGGCTCTGTTACTCGGTGATTGCTTTAGACATGCTCGGGGCGGGCCAGTCAGACAGGCCAGATGGCTTCTCACTCAACACCAATGATCACGTGCTGACCATACACCAGATCCTCAAGTGAGTTTGAAAATGTTGTGCTGAAGCAATCAATGTTTGTCCTTGAGCAATTTGGGATACAGGGTGCAAAAAGGCTTTCAGAAATCCCTCTCTGGCACTGCCTGGGTGTGTGCACAGAAGATGGCCTTCTCTCGCAAGTTGTCCTTTGCTCTTCAGCAGACTGGAACACTCTGGACATTCGTTATCACTAAACCATTCTGAACCTGACTCTGTTCACTTTCAGAACCGCTGCTGTTAAAAGTTGAGCCTGGTAGTGCAGAATACCTTGAAGGAGGTGCACATATAGAAGAAAGCGTTTTACTTTATGAGCGCAGCAGGTTTCCGGCCTTAGAATTAACATGATTGTTTTAGAATCACCTTTCTTACCTTGTCGGAACCAACGCTAATGTATCTACTGTTGTACCACGTTTGGACCTCCATCAGCATCATCTTCTAATGGAGCTCAACTTTTCCCCACAAAATATCTTCAATCTCTTCTCGGCAAGCTGAGCGATGATTGAAGCCAACAGAGCCATGCAGCTACCAGACCAGTGATCAAATAAACGTCCTTAGAATCCTTTAGTCACTTCTTGGCAAGCATAGCCTTGATTGAAGCGATAAGAAAACAGATAAAAAGTCTCTCAAAGCAAAAACGACGTCTGGCACTCCTCGGCAGGTCGCTGCGGGAGAATGACAACCCCTTTCGCCGCCGGGCGTTCAAGCACGTGGTCCTCATGGGGCATTCTTTCGGCGCCATTCTCGCAAGGAGCGTCGTGGCCTCCTTCCCTGATTCTGCGGATCTCCTTGTCAATACCGCCGCGAGTTTTGGCTACGAGCCAACGTTGCCAGAGCTCGGGTTTCTGCTTTCAAAGAATCCAGGGCCGTACATTAGTCTTCCCAGTGAGTGCTTCTTCGTTTCGACTGCCTTCACTCGCGTGGGATCCCTCCTGTCTTTACCGTCACGTTTGCAGCACATATTGGCAATGTGACAGGGGAGCAATTGTCCCGCACCTTCTTGGTACTTGTCCTCTCACGATTGCTCAACGCGAGAAGAGTCTGAAAGGCTCGGTCAGGTCTCGTTCAAACCATCTTGACTGGTTCACTTCTGTAGGTTTTGTCAGACTCATCTGAGCCTGTCTGCTCAGTGATGTTCAATTTCAGGCTTGGACTGTTTCGAAGAGTACCCGTTCAGAGTCGTATTGACCACTTATCCGGCCTTGTCTTGTTTCAACAGCATTGCTCCGACTTCAACTCCATTGACTTGCATGAAAATGCTTCTTCCTGGTCAGTCTTAGCTGCATTTTGAGGAGCTAGGACATCGCTCCTCGGCAACTTCCTCTGATCTCATTGGTCTTCCCATGCTGGGTTGGTTCTGCCTAACTATCTTGTGTCCCGACGATTTTCTCCCTTTGGCCACTCCTCAGCGTTCCCTCAGCGTTCAAGAATTAAGTAGAACCGAACGGGACGGAGAGGCAGCGTCAAAGCGCCTCAATTCAGGTCGCTTGTGACAATCAGCTTGAAGCGGATGTTTCCCGCCGCATCCTAAAGAACTGCGTAAACCCCATTTGTCGGGCGTTGAAAGATTGAGATCACTCCAGGGGCATTAATTGATTGACGTCACGCATGCTGAGTGATTCGAAGCATCCTTTACAGTAGTCACCTCTTCATCTACCTCTCAAGGAGGTCGTCGCTAACACTCGGTCTATTTCCTCGCAGCCGAGGGGCCACGTGGCAATATGCGAAAGATCTTTCTGCACGAAGAGACGGTTGCGCCCTCGATGGTGGACTACGATCTGACGGCTCTCGTGGAGGCCCTGCCGAGGGCGACCTTCATCGAGCTGGGCCAGCTGTTTGCGTACCGGCGGTCGCCGGAAAGCGAGGATGTTGCAAAGGTGGTCGAGAAGTTTCAAACGGACCGGGTGAGCGTGCCGTGCAGCTCCGGTTGACTTATCGTTTCTGAAACGGTTACGCCTCTCGAGCAGACCCTGCTTACAGATGAAAGTTTTGACGCTTGTCACTCTACCTCTCTTTTGCGGTCCTTGTCTAATCTTGTCGCGTGCTTTAAGCGGTACTGGCGACGAAGGCAGTTGACGTTTAATATGCGTCGAAGCAATACTTCTCGACAGGACATTCCTTGTAGGCGGGACGCTCTGTTGCGTTTCCTGTTCATTAGCTTTACCCGGTCCTGAAAGTGAGGACGCGAAAAAGCAAACGTCTTTTCGTACCTCTATTCAAGGCTATCTGGCGGCACATACTTCGATAAAAACGGCTTTGTTCTTGGAACCATGGGCTTGGTAGTCAAAGAGGCAGCCTTGTAGCTTTTATGGAGCTTCGCTTAAGGGAGCCATGGAGAGTTGACTGAAGCTGTTCCTCTGTGCTACAGATAAAGATCCCAATCTTTCATCAGTGCGGGGACCGTGATCTTTTTGCGAGCCTGGAGAGCTGTCTACAAGGCCCGCTCTTCTTTCCAAATTCCCCGGAGGTTGTTACCGACCTGCTAGCCGACACGGGTCACTCGTTCAACCTGCACACAAACAACCTGCTCGGGTGGACGAACATCGCCCGATACGTTGCTGAAAAGTACCCGGTCGAAAGCTGCATTTTGTGACAAGTTCGAGACGACTTGAGGAGCGAACGACGTCAAAGGGAAAAAGGAAGCGATGAAGAGTAGTCAGTTGCGTCTAGCAGATACAGGCGAGTTTAGTCAGGCCGACGCTTCTTCCGGGGACCGTGAAACAGATCAAGGTTTGCGTCTTTGCGAAAAGGTAGTATTGTGTCGGAATAGGTAGGATAATTGGCGCTCGTTGAGGGTTATGATTCTGAATCCCATTGCCTTGTTCTCATAAATGCGTCGGCGAGCTATTGTCGTCAACCCATTTCCAAATTGAAACGTAAGCAGTTAGATACGTAGTCGACTTAGCAGATAGTGGAAAGCGTTGCCTCGAGTTGCTCGTATCAGCTTGCCAGGGGGGCAACACGCATTGAAGAGTCAGCTTGTGGAACATATATAAGTAAGCTAACGGCACATACTTGAGCAACTTGGGTAGCATGTAACCATGTCGAAAGTGGATTGCGGCCGGGAAAAGCGTGACACAGAGTAGAGAAAGAGCTGGGACCAGCACTGCGGCACGTACTGTTCTTCATGAGAACATGGATGATCTGATATTTTCGAAGGTAAGCTTTCAGGACAAGTATCCGTATCTGAGAAACTGACCTCTGAGACTTCTGTTTGGAGTGCATGTAAAGGAAGCCTCTTATCAGCCTCTTGCAACTTTGCAAGTAATCGCCAGCCTGGGTATCGTGTAACGTACAACGAGTGTCATGGGAGACGGTTGAGCGCTTTGAGAAGCATCAAATTGATCAGGCTGAGCTTGTTAACGTCGGACTCACAGTCGACAGCATTCGATCGGCATGATCACGCAATGGACGGCGGTCTCGATGTACAACAGGGGCCTGATCATATGATGTATATATACTAGGTGCATCATTGCATATGTGCTCAATCAACGCATTGCGGCGAATCAGAGCAAACCATGCATGAGTGACCGCAATGCTCTATTCAAGTGACCGGCCCGGCCCGCGCACGACGAACAGCTAGCTGCATTGTAGCTGCACCACGCGCGCGGGGCGCGCGGCCCAATGATGAATGCATGTGACATTGAAATCGACCTAGCATGCAATAACGAGTGGATGTGAGTTCCATATGAAAGGCGATAGTTGGCGATAATATATCGCGATGTATATATGATTGGAATCAAAATTTAAAGCTAGATGTATGTTCCAAATTATATACACTCATGGAAATGCAAATCATGAAATAATTGGCAGTGCGCATCACGTACCATATCTCCGCGTCGATACACCTTGGGCTACACACAAGCTCGAATTTTTTCATGGTACCTGTTGCTATATGCAAACTGCTTGACACCTAATCACGCAGGCTCCACGTTGAAAGTTGGAGATGCCATGAGTGAGCGCCAGAATTGGAAATTCTGAAGCTTGAAAATCGATCATCATTTTTAGGCACTATATTTTCAGTAACTGCTTAGAATTCGTGGTACGGTCGCATGGAAAACGTTCCCAATTAAGATGTGTATATTTGTTATGCTCTAACGCCACGTATTGTGAGTTCGACTTCGCACAATGCTCGAAACACCAATTTGGCAACGTTTTAAGGCTCTCGCAAAGGATGAGAGCCAGGTTTGGACGACGTTTTCAACTACGATTTGACGCGCTGTATACTAGACTCATACCCGCGAAGTTTACTCACACATAGAGGCTTGTATCCATGGTTTGCGGACTGCTCACATGCAAATTTGACCACTGGCAACATGTTTGTCACACGCATAATATCATAATGAATTATCTAGCTCCCTCACCTCTCACTTCACGACCCTTACGGCAGATATTTGCGCCTGTTTCAACCACTTTTGGCGATAAACATGAGAAGTGGACAAGTAAAAGAGCGATTCAAGCTAGCAAATCGGACGACCACGCAACTGCAGTCACTATCGGACGACCACGCAACTGCAGTCACTAATTTGTACTCAGTGGAATCTTTCAATTTGCAAATCAAAAACGAGTCCTTACTTGTAATCAATTGAAACAACCAATGCAACTCTATTTTGATCTCGTCTCAGCAATGCGTTGACGCTGACTGTCCGTTGCTTGTGATCTATCATCTACATGCTATCACCAGTGTGCTGCATTTGAGTACTCTAGTAATCTGCGGGCGTGGTCACTTCGCCGTCCCAAAATTTGTGAACCGTTTCCACAGCACATCCCTCGCCGGCCCACATGCCCTTGAAATCCAGAATGCGCACCTGCAACCGGAATGCAGACGAATTCAAATACCATGTCACGCTGAAGTGTATTGACAGCTCAGCGGAATGACAATGAACCTTTCAAAGAACACGACCCGTACGGTCCATTCCTATGCACCCCTTTTTGCGCCTTATCAATCGATAGAGCTAGGCTTTCGAACCGTCAGCGCGGCAGCTGTGTCCAACTTTTTCTTTACCAGGTTTGAAGAAAACGAACGCGGAAACCCACTAAACCGTCTCGGCACACCAACACAGTCACCATGCTGCCCCTGCGCTTTTTGCTGTCGACCCAGGCTCTAGTCAAGTTTTCAAGATCCTACCTCAACATCTCACCTTGGGCTCAATACCGGACAGCGCCTTCATGTCCTCGTCGGACAGTTCCCAATCTAGGACGTCCAAATTCTGCTTGATGCGGTCCGGGTTGGTCGACTTGGGCAGAACCGACGTCCCGCGCTGGATGCCCCACCGGAGGACCACCTGCCCCGGGCTCTTCTTCGTCTTCTCCGCAACCTGAGGGGGGCAAAGCAGATTGTCCGGATGCAGCTGCAGCTCACGTAAACGACTGAAATATCCGGACGCCTTGCCCGCAACGGTTTGGATACGCCCCATCACCCAATTGCGACACAAGCACGGGCATGGTTTCTGGCACCGAATGTCACATTCCTGGAGCACGTCTAGACAAAAGGCACTCTGGACCTACCTCAAATTGTCCTAATTCGAGAGATCGAAGGCACGGAAAAGAAGAGAAGCGATACAGATTGCACAGAAAAAAATGCAGGAAGGACAAAGCAGATTGCACAGATAAAATTGCTAAAAGGCGAAGGCAGACTTGGAACAATTTAGCAGAGTCACGAGGGAGAGAGCAAGAGGGCGGACATTGATCAAGCAGACACAAAATTGGCCGCAAAGTGAGGATGGGGCCAGAACGAAAGTCGGAAGGACGACGAAAGGAGGCCGGGATCGCTTACCTTCTTGACAACGTCGGTGTCGAGCAGAACGGGAGGCTCGGGCACTCCGTTCGCACGGGGGCGGTCGGCGGAGCCGAGCGGAGAATACGCCTGCACCGGAAAGACAAGAGCACGCGTTAGAACGGAGCCGAAGAGAATGCTTCTAGGTCTACTTAGTTGCCATGAGGCAACATTTAAGATGCATCGCTTCGAAACCGACCATTCTGTCGCACTGGTCCGAGACGATGGGGCGACGAACTTGTGACTTTCAACAAAGCGGTGAACCGTACTACAAGCAAGAGTGGGGACTTATCAAGTATCAAGGTTACGCATATGATTGAAAACCTCTTAGGCGTAGTAGGTGGTTAAGGGTGTCATGAAGGTTAAAAGTCGCGGACCAGAGCACAGATAAAAAAAGCGGAAAGAAGCTCACCGTCACGTGGATGCCCTTGGACTTGCAGAGGTTGAGCAAGTCGTCTTGTGGCCACAGCGGGTGCAACTCAACCTGCCCCGTCAGCAAACACGCGTCAGGAGCTTGATAACGTCATCTCGCCTGCTGCAACCGGTTATTTTTACAAGGAATCTTGTGCAAGTGTCTTGTGTACGGTTCCCGGTTGGAGCTGTGCCTCTGTGCAAGATGTATGTTTGCCACTTCAAAGTAGCATTCTTGAACAATAAGATGAAGAAACATGCATTCGGTTTAACGGTTGCCCAATTTAGTCCACGCCGAAAGTCGACCCAAAAGGTACTAGCAACTGAGGGCGTCTACTGTGCAAGCCAGATTATTTTTGGGTGATGGTGGGCTTCGCATCAAATGCAGATTTTCGGGTCATGAAAAATATCGGGTTTGGCAATAACTCACCTGGTTGACTGCCGGGACCGTACGCTTCAGACTGAGAACGTCGTTCAGCTTCTTCTGCGTCATGTTGCTGCGAAAAGAAAAGACGTTGAAATCTTGTTACAGGAGACTCGCTCAGGAGTATCTTCGAACAATACTTGCAGTGCATTCTCGGATTGACATGTAGCCCGACTCCTTGCAACGTTTTGACATATACAGGTGTACTGGTCTCCGTGACAGGTAAGTTCAGCTTTCTCGATTGATCGACTTGTTGGAATTGAAGCCATCTGTCCGCCTTTACAGGTAACAAACCTCTCTCTCTACGAAGCCCTTTGCACACGAACATCGAGCATTCACATCCCGTTCGCGGATTTGCAAAAGTACAAGATTTCACGACAATCAGAAAAACGCAAGCAACAATTGCAATCCCTACCTGACTCCGATGGCCTTGGTCATCCCCTTCTTGAGCACCTCCTCCATCTGCTTCCACGTCATGTCGATGTCAAACTCCTGGGCATGCTCGGGCTTGGCAGGGAACGGCGAGTCGGGGGCGAGGCGCACGGGGATATGGATAAGATACAGGTCCAAGTATTCCAGCTGAAGATCGCCCAGAGTCTTCTTCAAAGCGGGCTCAACCCGGCCAGGGCCCTGGAAATAAAAAGGAGGAAGGTAAAATCAGCTGAGCCTTGTAAGTGCTTCTTGATAGTCCCTTCTTGACAAAGGACGAAAGTCTTTTAAGTCTTTGTTTGTGGTCCCTCTGTGACGAGTATACAGCACTAGTCCTGGCAGATGAGAAAGCTAGAGTCTCGAAGGCCTCAAGTTGCCCAGAACTTGAGGGAGCTTCGTGCTGAGACCAATCAAACAGTAACTGCGTACTGCCTCCAACAGAATGGCATGACACAACAACGTGTGCTGTCGCCAATCTCATGAAAAAAAAATCTCAGTTGACTCCGAGAAGCCATGGTAAAGAGGTGTGGATGGGTTCTCAAGAAACAGTGTCAGGAAAACATCCTCCAGATTGTCAGCATCTTAAACAAGGGTTTCAAGCTGGAATATTATCAGGGCTGACTGTTCCTGTCGATCCACTGACGCTCAGTGCAACCCAACTTGCAGTGACTGACTATTCGGCATCTATCTCGCTGTCAAGACAGCTGGTCTGGTGTCAATCTACAGAAGGCAGCAAGATCCATTATGAGATCGTTTGATTGAAAAGCTCCCAGTCAAAAAGTATCCCCCTAAGAGAGAGCAGTCAAATCACCTGCTCAGTGGACCACAGCTTGGAGGTCACCCAGATCTCATGTCGGTTCACAGTCCCCTTCTTGAAGGCAGCAGCCAGGGCCTCTCCAACCTGGTATACGTTGGAGAGGCATAGGTTCAGACTCATAGTATGTTGCAGTTAAGCTTCAGTCCTGACTGTATAGTGCGCAAAAGCAAGCAAATCAGGATTGAACATACTGGTACATGTTTGAGGACAACACCGAACCACTCATCCATACTTCATCAATTACTTGCATGCAAGCAAGGGCACTAGCTGAGCGATAAACCAGGGCCCTTTCAGATCGAGCATACCGCTGCCTGTATCCAATGATGCTCAATCTCCTTCGGATTGCTTACCTCCTTCTCATTCCCATACACAGCGGCACAGTCGATGTGGCGGTAGCCAGCCTGAATGGAAAAGCACGTTGCTTTCATTCGTGTTACCAATAAATTGTAAGGAACCTGGGAGACTGACTCATCCAGAACGTTCACAGACCAAGTAAGATTCAAACCACCACATGTATGCACACCCTAGAGCAGATTGCTTCTTCACAAGGTCAGATAGTGCTCAATTGTTTTTGATTCTCAAACCCATCTTCGTATGATCTTCGCATCCTTGAAGGATTAAGAACCATTTATCTTCGAGCTCAGTGAAACCATGCACTGTTCTCTCACCTCCAAAGCCGCAGTGACAGACTCTCCAACCTTCCCAGGCTCTGCATCAAGTGGGAAACAGAGGATCAGACCAGCAGATTATGTGGAGGAATGAAAAACGATGAATAAGTGCGGCAAGATCCACCAAAGTAGTATTGCTGAATAGCTCCAAGGAAAGCAACCGGTCATTCAGAACTCAACAGTTACTCTACTCTGCTGGCAGTGCTGGAATTGTCAACAAGGTTACAAGCAAGATATTCAAGAGATTGTTTCAAACACATACTTGCTCAGCTTCAACCCAAGGTAAGCTGCTGCTCATTGCATGCATACATACATGCATGTTGAAACTGTCATCTTATCTCAAGAGGTTTCGCATTCCCAGCAACTGTGATTCACCCTACACACTCCCTATGGCTGGTTGTACCCCAGAAAGGCAGCTGCAAGACCCTATCAGACGTGATCTAATTCAAACTTTTGATGGTGGTGATAAGTTGAGCTCCAATCAAAAAGTGCACATCTCATGGATCAAGTTAGCGCCACTAAGACAAAGGGTTTTATCCATAAATTCAGACAATGCCACCCACCCGACTTCCATGTTCCCAGGCCGACCGCTGGGATCGAGGCACCGGTGTTGAGCGCAAAGGTTTTGGGTAGGGCCATCGTGCTATCTGATGCCGTAGCACAACCAAGTTGATGGTTAGTCTTGGTGCTGAATGCAACAGCTCAAAACCAGCTGAGGATGCCTCGTAATATTCTTGCGCTGCTCGAATTGGACAAAGGAGAAGCTAGAAACTTTTGTGAGGTTTCGAGCTGGTTTGAGAATCAGCAAAGTCTTGAAAGTTGCAAGGCCGTGTAAGATAGTGTGCTCTGGACAGGTCCCGACTCTGGTGGAGACGCACCCAGTGTATTAAGCTTGCTGTTCAGGCAGAATTGCTGAGCACTGCGAGAGCGGCCCGCCATTCTGCATGCACAGCATGCATCGCACACCTCTTTCCTGCTCTGCCACGCGCTGGATACAGAAGGGTTGGAATTCGTACGTCAGGCTAGCGGGACGTCGAAGCAACCGGGGAAATGACGTTTGATAAGAAACGGTAGAAAGCAAACCACGGTGCCTCAGGCTTGGCATTGACGTAGGGGAGAACCGGCATAGCTGACGTTGTGTTAACCAGTGAGATCTGACGGACACAGACCATGATCTCGCAGGCCCAGACGATCGAAGAACAACTTCACAATCAAAACAGCTGGAGCCAGCTGTGCGTTGCCGTCAGCAAGAAACTTAGAAAGGCGCCGCCCATCGAAGGCCGACTTGAGCTACGTCATAGCAAGTCCCTAGCTAAATTGGCGTTTCTCGTTCTGGGGCAGAGGCAACGCCTTCTTCAGGCTAGGTGGGAGTGCACAAAGTATAATATTATCCAGCTCTGCTAGCTCGTGCGCTGAAGAAACACAGCTTTTTGCAGGGATTGTCGCGCTACTGACTGCAATTCAAGTCAAGCAGCTGGGCTGAAGATGGATATGCAGGACCAGAGCACAGCCACAGATGCGGCGACAGTCTCTGAAACGTCAACTTTGTCAAACCCACCAGCTTGTAGCAGCACCAGTGCACTTCGGGCACAGCTCGCAATGCTCGCAGCAACTTTAAAGCAGCTGCAGTTGGAACACCCCTTTCTCATGCGCTGCTTCCTTGCTCTTAGAATTTTGGCTGCGGTTGCGCTGGTCCTGGGCTCCATATGTTTGGCGTGGTTCCTGGCCTGGAAAACGGTCCTGCGACATGTGGGTTTCATAAGAGACATTGTGCACGGGGTGCTGGGGGTGAAAAAGCCCCAGAAGAAGCGGCAGACATACGTGAGGAAGTCTGGAGTGGGAGTGACGGGGCCGCAAGCGTCGGGTGTCATGGGACTCGGGAGCGAAACGGGGTTGAGGTCAAGCAAGAGCGAAGCGAGGGGTGGTGTGCAGTCTGAGAGAAACCCGGATGTTGAAAGAGTAATAGGTGGGACTGAAAAGTTTCCAATGCTGAGCGGTGCTGGAATGCATCAAAGAGGCACAGCCTGAGCTTGTGTCCCCAGGTTAGGCAGCTGAGATCAAGGCTAGTTAAGATTGAATCGTAGTCTTTTGAGTAGGTAGAGCAACGCAGATAGTGTTATACACGAAGTTGACATGCTTGTGATCGTCGACTTTTGGGGCAACTTTTTCTGTGTCTGCCACTGTGGCCTGGTCAAGCTGGGCATAGTGTCCTTGTGACAATTGAAGGCCCTTAATCTGACTGAGGGTGCAATGGTCGATTGCTGGTTGTTTTTTGCAGTTTCCTCTCTTTCTTGACTGTGTCCTTTGCTCCCATGGTGCACTGCACATCAAAGGTCTTTCGCCAGGAGTGCTCAAGTGATGTAGGGTCCCGGCAGTGCGTTCTTCGTTTGGTGCCAAATGGCATGCATGATCGACTGCCATCATTGTAATCAAGAGGCGGCAGGCTGAACACCTGCTATCGATTCAGAACGATCAGCTCTCACAAATACTCCGTCGAAGGCAGACGATTGCTATTTGGTGCATGTATTAGCTGATAATTGAAGTCTTCGTACCTGCATGGGCATACTGCAGATCGGCATACTATGCAATATACTATAGTCGTGCGATTGAGTCTACCCGAAACCAATCCATATATGCTTTATCATGACCATGACATGTTCGTGTTGGAAATTCTAACATGAATGACGAATCATTGAATGATGCTGAGCTCCGGCTGCGGCCCTGGCAACAACCGTCTGCAACAAGGCCACGCATGGAACTGAAAGACCCAGAGGTGAGCCCCGATCACATGGTCGTTTGCCCTCAGGTGATCTGCCATGCATCATGTGACCACAAAATTGCGGCAACCATGCACACACTAGCGCTGCACACACTTGCATACAATTGACAACGATGACATAATAGTTAGGTGCGTGCCACATGTATGCACTGGCGCATCTCACAGGTTGCCTGCGCTGGCATCGGACCGACTGCCAACAACCGCGGGAACAATCAAATACAAATGTGCATGGCTGCCGCTTAGAGTTGCCACTGGATGTAGAAGATGGAGTGGGTCCACGTGTCCACACAAGCTGGTCGCCAGCATTATGAGGCGTTCACTGCCATGCCAACCGGTTCTTTGGGAATCTGAACATCTCTGTTTCCGATTATTGTTTGCTCACCAGTCCCTTATTGCGGTTCCCATCTTGCAAGGCTTCCGCACGCTTCCTGACTCCTGCGAGATCCTTCTTTACACTTTCTTGGCGCGCGTCCGCTGCTTGGTGGCGTGCTCCACGATCTTCTCCTCCACCGGAAGGCCCTTCCGCCGGCGCACCTTGTCCATCATCCGCCGAGCAATGTTCTGGGCCAGGCCGATCCCGTCACCAAATTCTTCAAGCTCTTCTTCCGTCCGAGGAACGAAAAATGGATCCTACACCAACGAAGATAGATGAGAAAGAAGCATTCAGCGTGCGTGTCAGAGTGCGCATTCGTGTCGGACTCCTCGTTCCATTTTCGACCTGCCGGTCTCTGAATTGGAACTCACTTGCTTGACAGGTTTGTAAACATCAAGCTAACACCGTGTACGTTCGACTTCATTGAAAGATTGCGGTATTTCGCCAATTGCTGAGCAGAAGTCCGATTCGTCGGAGTGATGAACTTCGCACCCTCAGTACTTCACGCCCACTGAAATCGTAAATACACCTAAAAAGTCAAGACTGGGTCATCAAAGGGCCGAGCTGACGTCACCCACCTCGGGCAGCGCCTCCCAGTGGCTGAGCACGAGCTGCGGCGACGCAGCGCCGGACGTCTTGCGGCGCAGCTCGTCCGCAAAGCCGAAGCTGTCCGCGACGGGCATGTGCGCGTGCACCGTGAACATGGCCGTGCCCTCGCGCATCTCCTCTTTCAGCACGCGCGCACGCCTCTTGCCCAGAACCGCGTAAACCTGAGAGTGGAAGCGACAAGGAGTTGACAGAGAGCACTTTGCCAGTTTTAGTGGCTTACTTCTGCGTCTATCGGTCTAGTAGTGCAGGGCGTAGAATTCTTTATTGTGCGTCAGGTACTGCTAAGTCGACGTGACAGCGCTAGTTACGACTACTTGTGAAGTAAGATTCCGCTTGGCTTGCTTGACGCACAATGTGCAAACCATAATCTAGCAGAGGGGACCCGAGCAAACCCAAACTACCTTATCAGCATTTCGACCATTGCTGATGCACTCGTTATGCGATACCGAAGGGTCGTTCAATTTGATTCCCATGCCTGCCTCGTCAAGGACGCAGTCCTCTTATGACAAATCGAATGGTCGGGCATCAAATGGTCCCGAAGGACGTCGCTAATCATCTGTGCTTGTGCCAGAACTCTGTTCCTGGTCTGAAGGCCAGCGAAAAGCCAAGCGGTCTTCTCACCTGCCCCAGCGCCTCCGCCGTCGTCGACACCTCACACAAATACATCGCCTCCGCTAACCGCGGGTTAGCCGCCAGAACCGCCTTCCGGCACGCCTCCCTAACCGCGGTAATGACCTGACCCGAAAACGGACCATGACCGGTGGTCGCCCTGTCTTCGTTCTCCGCTTCCCCGCTTTCGGCCTTAACCACCGCTTCGACGATAAACCCTAACCCCCACAACGGTTCCTCACACAGCGGGCCAGCCGCCGTCGCTAACTGAAACCCGTTAACCACGCTGCTAACCGCGCTTTCGGCCAGCTCTTGGGCGCTCAGATCCCGGTCCGCGCTAGTAACCCCGCTTCTAACTCCGTCTTCAAAATCTTGCCCGCTTACGTCTTGGTCTGGGGACAGTGCGTTTGACTCGTCGTTTGACAGGGCCCCCGTTTCCAGTGCGGAAGGCACTGCAGAATCGGGCCCTTTGGAAGCGCCCGAGCTTTCGCCCACGTCAACAGAACCTGCCGTCGGCGGAGTTTTGCGCTTCTGCAACAGCCCCAGCCGACCACTGACCGTCGGTTCTTCCGTAACCAGCACTCCCCGCTCTAACCCCGCACTAACGGCAGGGCTTGGAGACCGCGCACTCCGTGCTGCCCCCCCCTCTTTCCCCTCTTCCCGAACCCCCCCGGGCAGTTTCCCAACGTCCGGACGCCAAACCTCAGGGACTAGAAGCACGTTGGGCCCCACCCCTCGAGGGCCCAAACCCCACATCCCTTCCAGAAGCTTTCTCCACGTGAGGGTTCTCGCCTCCAAACCCCCGGGTTTGGCGCCCGTTCCCCCCAGTTTGGTGTCCGAACCCACGGGTCTGGCGTCCGTACCCTCCCCACGGACGTCTGAACCTTCGCTCTCGGCATCTGCTTCTTCCGCCGCTTGTATCAGCCGATCCCTCAGAACTGACACTGGGTCTTCCTCCTCTTTCCCCGCCGCCTCGGCGCCCCCCCTCCGTCGCCCCGCGCTCGACCCCCCCTCTTCGGTCAAAATTCCCCTTAGAAGCTCCGCGTGTTCGTCGAGAACTGTGGTGATGCCACCTGGCAGCCGGACGACTCTGACGCGGACGGTGCACCGACCATCGGGCGTGCTGTCCTCCACCAGGGGGCTCGCCGCCAGGCGTTTCCGTGCCCCCCATTTCGTAACGGCTCGGTCGGAGGCAGGTTCGGGCTCGGAGATGGTCTCACGGAATGCAACTAGGGGCGGGGACACCTCAAGCTTTATTTTCGCAAAGCGCTCCTGCACAAAGGAACACAGAGGATTTGTCAGCGTGAGAGTGGGACGTGCGTCAGTTTCCGCGGCGCCGGCATGCTCCGGGATTCCGCGCTTTGAGAGGGGAAACAGAAACTCTAAAACTTGGCCCTCTTTAGTCGATCCACACGAAACAACCAGCCAAAGAAATTAAACGTGCTGATGTCATACCTGCAAATCGCGTATACACCGCTCCAGGTGCACCTCCCCTGCGGCCCCAATGACATGCTCCCCGCTCCCGGACACGAGCACCTCGACGAACGGATCCGCGCGGTTTAGTAGTCGCAGACCACGGACTAGGGCCGGAATGTCCGCCGGATCCGCCGGCTCCACGGCGACCCGGACGATTGGCGCCGCCTAAAGCAAGAAAAAAGAGTCAACACCTATGAGCAAATCTATTCGCAACAGTAATGACACGAAAGCGCTGACTTCTACGGCATCTGCTGGCTCCTTGGTGTTGCACAATCATTGCCATGGGATGTAGCACACCAGTTAATATTGTTCGCAACAAACCGTTAGCAGAATCAACGATATGGTTGTTGACAATAATCGCGCGAGAGCGTTGAGCAGACGCCACCAATGCAAGATGCAAGATGCCTCCTCACTCCGCTCTCCACGAACTTCAAGCATCGCCAAAGCTAACATGTACAAGGTCTTGCTTGCGACTTTTCAGATGTCGGTATTTGCCACTTTCAGCTCCAGATAATTGCAACTTTTCAGAAGGAGCAAGCGAAAGAAGTGTATCGAAGCGTACCTGGAACATCATGCTGGCCATGGGCCAGGCCGCGCGCGTGTTTGTGAGCGTTGCCGCTTTCAGGATGTGCTGCCCAAGCCCCAGAATGCCGCATACGTTGCCCGCGGGGATGCTGTCCACCGCCTCGAGGCCGCGGCCCATGATGAGAAACAGGCCCTCTACGACAGCCTCCTGTGGAGTGCGGAAACGTATTGACTTCAGAACGCACTTTTTAAAATTGTTCGCTATTCGCTGAAGTTATCAGGAATGTTAGGTCGTGTTGGATCAATGATTCGGCGGCACCAGTGGGAAAGGAGTGACAACGAGAAGCGGCGGTTTTCGAATGTTTGAATCCGACCAGCACCTGACACAAGCAGGCTGATGAGAGAGTAGGATTTTGTTTCAGATAGTCTCCACCAGTCCTGAACATTTGGTATGTTCGTAACTTCACGCAGTAAGTTCAGGGCATCATCAACACCAGCTTGCCGCACCTTCCTTAGTGTTCCGAGACACAGTGTGCGGAATCGTCACGAAGTCTCACTTGAATGTGACGTTTCGATCCCTCCGGATCCGTCGGATCGTACCCCCCCGACAGCACGAACACGCGCTGGCCCTCTCGCAGCCGCCCGCTGAAGACCCGCGCAAATGCGACGAAGCACTCCCCCTTGCCGGACGGTCCCGCGTCCGTATCTTCGCTCCCTCGGACGTCCGCCTGGTCCAGGTGGTACTCGCGGCCGGGGGGCCGGCGGGGGAGTTGCTCAAAGGGTACGGCAATCATCTGCAGAAGGATGAGTCTGGTTTGAAGGCTGCAGCGAGAGTGAAGTCGAGATGCAATAAGCGACCTCAGATTCCAGCTGTGTCGCAACAAAGCTTCTTCCCTTCAAACCCGAATTCGCGGCCCGGGGGGCCGAGGGACAGTGGCTCGGAGGAAAGGACGATCCTCTGTACAGGTTGGGATGTAGAAGACGCAGGCCTTTCAAGCCAAGGGTATCTCTGCAACCGGTTCTTGCACCTGTGTCCAAATCGTCGCTTCCCTCAACGAACGTCTGATTCATCGGTGTCCATGACTGAGAGCCGGCGCAAGAGTTGCTCACAAGCTGAAAGCAGGGTCTGTGCCAACATCTGGGCCTACCTTGGACACAAACACCATGCAAGGCGCCCCGGGGACCCCGTCGCAATTCTCCACGGCAGTGTCGATGCGCGCAATCTCCTCCACGAGCTGCGTGGGCGCGCTCGCGCGCACGAGCCGCTTCGGCAGCAGGCGCGGCAGGCGGTCGGCTTGCGCCTCCCGGGGCCCCGGCAGGCAGGAGACGACCATGCCCAGGACGGCCTCCGAGAGAGGAAGCCACCTGGACAGAACGAGTTTCAGTGAATATTGGAAGTGAAAAGCAACGGTTTTCTGGCAGCAATTCTCGTGACGGTAATTTGTTTAGAGGCCTTCAAAAATTTCCGCAGCAACGAAGGGAGCGGGCAGACAGGAGACGATCATGCCCAGGACGGCCTCCGAAAGGGGAAGCCACCAGGTCAAACCGAGTTTCAATAGATTTCAACAGAACTATCGCCGGTCTTCATGGAATATCTTTGACGACACTTGATTCGCTTCCAGCTCTTTTCGGCCCCCTGTGGTTCGTCAACATGGAACCAGACGTCGAAAGTGAGATCGTTCTAAGACGGGCGTTCGGTGAGACTTTTCCCGATTTGAGACTTTGATGGCAATCCAACGATTCCATTTCCAGAATGATGTGGAGTGGTCGGTTATACCAGATCACCAATGTCTTTCGGAGGCAGCGACACACGCCTGACCCGAGAGAGCATCTACTTCACCTTCAGGAAAAAGCACCTCATACTCCTCCAACTTCGCGATATTCACCATCTCAGCAAGGCGTAACCCCACCTGCTCATCACCGCCTGCAATGCCACGCGCGTGTCCTTGTGCTGCAGGTCCCGCGCCGGCACCGCCAGGTTCATCGCCCTCACGATCTTGGCCACTTTCTCTCCCCGCTCTTGTTCCTCGCTATCCAGCACAGCTGTGTATGCCTGCCAGACGGGCTCCAAGCAGAACTGCGCAAACATGGGCTTAAGCCGCCCGGCTGCGGCCTTCCGCCCGACTATCTTTTTGGTCTTGGGGTGGTAGTAACGGTCGCCCCAGAGGGCGCGCCGAAGGGCCTTTTCGCTTGCGCCTAACTTGCTCGCGTACAGCTCGGCAAACTGCGGAGAAGTAGAGGCTAGGATGAGTTCGTGCTTCGCTTTGTGAAATGTGAACGGCTGTGTGCAATCCAATGAGAGAGCCCCGAGAAAGTCCAAGGGTTGCCGAGAGGTCCAAAATGACAGGTACACAAATTGGCAGCGAGCCAAAGTACGCATTTGCTCGAGCTGATCCAAGCAATCTGCGCATACAAGGCTTCAATCCGAGCTTTCAACACACGTTCTCAGAAGGACGCAACCCCAACACGGAAGTAGCAGAAGAGCATTGGTCGCTCAAGTCACGGGGGGAGGAGAATGCAATGCCCATGAAACGACTCCTGCAGAAATACCAAGCCCAGGGAGCCAGATGCAGGTGTAATTGAAACGAACGCTGAATGAATGCTGCAGGCAAAAGCTCCGATTCGACGGTCGTGTGCGTGATATAAGACATGCCGGATCTGTCACATGTTACGAACCTGTTCGATCCTGAACGCCCATCCGTCCATGGCGCTTGCAAACGCGACATTGCCCTTCTCAGGTGCGAACGCGTCCTCCTCGTCTTCGTCCAGCAGTTCGTCTTGCTCTTCCCCGCCATCCTCAGGTCCATTCACACCATCCGTGTTCGGACCGGCCAGCACTGCGTCCACGTCCGAGATCCACTTCTCAGAGCGGAAGCCGTTAATGATGTTGTTGACTTCAGCAATGATAGCCTGCAACAAGTGAAAAAGCGGAACCGGTCAATAGAGAGGGTTGGACTCGAAGCTTAGAGCGTCCTAGAGACTCCATGCGCAAAACGTTGTTGGGAAGGATTCGGAAATCTGAAAAGGAGAATCTGAATTCAAACACATATTGAATGAAAAGATCGTTATGCTACAATCAACAGTCTTGAAGGCATAGTAGTACAACCATTGGGCTGCTATGACCAGCTTTCTCACAGCTGTGAAGAAGACAAAGCTGAGTCAAAGTAAGGATATCAGTGCCAGGCTTCGGATCTTCACTCTCTTTGGTCGTACAGGGTTACGAGTAAGGAGGGTTCTCCCAGTCCCTTTCTTGATTTCCTAGGACCGCATATTAACAATCTCAGTCACTCGTTTTTTCAAAGTGAAGCATGTGACTGCGTCAGATAGTGATGCAACTTACAGACACAATGTGAACGCATCAACTGACAAACTCCCTACCTTCATTCGCTCATATGCCTCCAGAGGCGTCAGCCTAAGTTCCATAATGAGGCGGTCAATCTTGTTGAGCACCAGGCACGGCCGCACTCGCTCCTCCCACGCTTGCCGGAGTACTGCATGGGTCTGGATGTGAACGCCCTCTGCAACGTCCACCAAAACAAGGCCTCCGTCGCTCAACCGCGCCGCCGTAGAAACCTGCCACAAGAGACTTGGCAAGTTGCTTACTTGTCGATTAATCTCTTAGATGGTTCAAATGGTAGGTGGTGCTTCGACAAGAGTTTAGCATTATGTGATAAACAGCTCGGTCCACCGTGATCACGAGAAATAGCAGTACTGTTTGGCAGCCTTGAAGGCACGCACAGTCAAGAAGTGTGGAATCAGGGTCAGCCAATGCAAGAGTGCTGAATGAGTGGGTGGCTTTGCTTCTGAAGACCGCTGAGCAACATGTTTGACAAACAACAGGGTGGGAAGATACCCGTTGCTATCGTCTCTCCGAGTCATTTAACTTAGTGAACGGCACCACTCAAGCACCTCCGGCATCACCCCAAGCTCCGCCACTTATTACCACCATTTGCTAGACAACACGCAAGACTTCATCATCATCATCTTATGTGAGCTACCACACTCTCATGCCACTACTTCGTATCACTGAATCTCTTGTTGCCAATCATTACTGTTACTGCTCTGATTGGTGGTGTACTCCCTGGAATCCCGTAGAGCCCTCAGATCCTTCAAAGCTTAAGCCAACTATGCAAATGACCAGTTATTTTGCCTTGAAGTGGCTACAATTTCAGACATATCCTGATGTTGCAAGTTCGTGTATGTCACGCAAAAGGTTTGAAGAGCGCACCTCGCTGCAAAAGTCCACGTGGCCGGGCGAGTCTATCAGGTTGACTAGATACTCAGGGCACTTAGCATCATATGCCGCCGGTTGCTTGGGGCGGAACAGCAGCGAGATAGAGCTGCTTTTCATTGTGATGCCCCTTTCCTGTGAAAAGGAGATACTTATTTGATTAGCTTACCTCTTTAAACGACAATTGCTTCCTAGCAGTGGTGCTCGGTGGTGGAACCATTTGATTGCATCATTACGACAAGAGCGTCATAGCTCCACTTGACCGCTTACCCTTCACCGAGGAGACTTGCAGCGGCAATGCAGAGAATCAACTACAGCAAGTCGTTCTCAGATATTGCACCACCACTAACCACAAACAAAAGCAGGTTACAATGAAGCCATCTTTTTACCACAGCAAACCATTCACAAATCCAGTCTCAAGTTACCTGTTCATCCTCCCTGTAGTCCATGTACCGCAGCTTGCCAACCATCTTCGGGTGGATGAGTCCATTGCAGGCGATCAAGTTGTCGGAGAGCGTCGTTTTACCATGGTCCACATGCGCCAGCACGCAGATGTTCCGGATGCATTCGGGGCGCGCCTGCAGCGCCGCAAGCTGCTCGACGCTGGCGGTGATGCTCATGGTGGCGTAGCAGGAAAGTTAATTCAACAGAACCAAAAACATCAGCAGAACGTCCAAGCGGTGCATGTTTTAGAACCTTGAGCAGGAGTCATTGATGGATGCGCAGCTTCATGCGCGCCAGCATTGCCGATTGAAATCACGTCTTCACTTCACTTCAACTCGAAAGGAAATTGGTGCCAGAAACTTTTTGAAACTCAGCTCTCAGCCTTTTCGGAATTTTCCGGAACTCAGACTGAGAGTCAGAGTCAGAGTCAGAAGTTCTCAGAACTGCCTTGGTATACACGTGGCAGGCATACACTGGCTATGCAGTGGGGGACGAATTCTTTTTCTGTGACGGAAAGCCGTACGATACTGCTTACATAAATCGGATGGTGCATATTGATCAAAACTGGCGCGGGATCATACAAAACCTCTGAGTCTGCCTCTGACTCTGAATCTGAGTCTGAGCAAGCACGAGCAGAATTCTGATTCTCACTTGAAGCGTCATCACGCTCAGAGTCAGAGTCAGAGAGCTCAAAGATTTTTGTAGGATACTTCTTTGAAAAGTCGCATCGTGAAACATTGCTGCCTCTTTGTCAAGGTTGATCACACTGTGCAGAACAACTTTGGCGCCCCAATAGTGCCAGGTCTGGCGTCAGCCGTCCATGTGTTTCAGTTCTGCCCCGTCACATTGACCCTAGAATCTCTTTGTACGGTGCCTGCGCAAAGCCGCCAGTACATCACTGGGTGCACTCGGTCGGCAGGATCCATCACTCGGAAAGGGCCTACAACGGATTTCGACCAAACGTAAAGTCAGGGCTTTCATTAGAGAGCTGCGAGACAGACTGCGGTTGCAGCAGGATTAAAGATGGTCCGAAATGTATATGGCAAGACGGCATGGGGAAAAGGTACGAGGTCAAGCTGTGCAGAGATGAATGATGCGCCTATTTCAAGCTGCTTGTCATTGCAACTGGAAAGTCCTGTGCATACACTTTTCTCTCGCTGCACACTCGTGTGCAGCGAGAGAATTTGCTGACTTTCATTGCTACTACAAGAGGCCGCGTTTGAGGTTGTAGATAAGAAAGTAAAAAAGCACAGTGTGAGCTAACGAGGGTCTGTGATGCAGCATTCCTTGACGCCCTGGGTGCTTTTGACGTCAGCAACAGGCTTGGCAGGGGCAAGACCTATGCAAACACTGGCAAAGTGCTCTCAATCAACATGCAAGGGAGCCAAGTGAGTTTCTTTTAGTGCTGATCTATCGCTCGTTCATTGCAATGCTGTAATCACAATTCCAGCTTGAAATTTTCTGCTCACAATCTGTAACATCTGTGTTAGGTCAGCTCATATGCATAGGGACTTGTCTTCTTTATCTCTCCAACTTAGGCCACATTGCTGCTTGGAGATGATGTATGATAGGGCTGATCAGGCTTTGGGGCTTGTTGCACAACCTGCCTCTCTCTATCATTGCTTTCCTCTATTTCCAATCTAGCCCCAATTAAAAACTTTTATAGCCGGACTGGCAGCAACTGGCAGGGCCGTACATGAATACTTTCTATGACTGTTCCAGGTGCAAGCCCGGGTGCAAGGCAGTTTTGCCCCTTTCTACAATGTTGGCATCCAGTTCTCAAAGATGCCAGACTCAGCGGTCCTCTTCGACGTTGTTGGGAAGAACCCGATGCTGCTTGCGCATATCCTGGTGAGGGCCATCGTCTACAACAACAGGAGCTCACCTGCAGGCTGGCTGATAATCACCTTTCTTTGAAGAATACTAGGCTGGCTTCGACGCTTGGAACTTAATGCAAACGTCATTGCCTCCAAGTTGTCTCTTGCCAGCCATAGAGGGACTCCTAATGTAAAGTTAGTAGAAGGGGAGAAAAACCTTCGTATCGTTTTTGCATGCCTGCCATCAGACCATCATGCACGCCTCTGATTTTTGGGTAGAATCTTCGTCACATACTTCTCCCAACCCTTTGAGGCATCAAAATCATCGATTGGTGAGAACTCCCTACTTTTCTCTATGCAGAACAACGAGCTCCCCAGCGAGCTGCTCACAAAGCTGCAGGAGCGGCGGGTGCAGTTGCTGCCCCGCTCATGGAGTGAGATGAAAGGCAGCTGCACCTGCCCCGACAACCCTGGCCCCGGCAACCCTTGCAAGCACCTGGCTGCGGTGTACCACATCATCACTACGGAGATCGACCAGAACCCCTTCACGCTCTTCCAAGTGAGCCTCTCAGCGGAAGCGTTTTCTTGGTTTCATCTTGATTTGAAAAGTAGGCACGATGCAGATCTGTCTCTAAGGTCGTGTTCAGCTTCGTTTCTACCTTATAAGCCGAGTTTCACATTTTAAGAATTCTGCCAAAGCGTGCAACCAAATTTGTTTAAGGTGACAACTTATTTTGTTAGGCCAACCTTCTCAGACTAATACTCCAAACTTTCTGATGAAGCCCCTGCTGCAATGCAATTTGCAAAGAATCCGACCTCTTGTCCATGTCTTTGTTACGAGGATGCATGACGTCCATAGTATGAAATCCAAAATAGTCTTATAGAACTCTTTCACCAATGCATCTCTTCTCTGCGGTCATACCTGCGAGGCCTCAGATTACCAACTGATCCCCCATCAATCAGTTCGCCACGGAGGTGGCTTATCTTTCACAAAGTACTCCTCTTTGATAGCTCCTATGCTGCCATCTCAAACCCCGAATCCTCTGCAGCTCCGCGGCGTCGACCTTGCCAAGCAGTTCTCCATCAAGCAGTCCGCCACGGAGGTGCCATACCCACTCCCCGTCCAGCGAACACGAGACGCAGCAGGGGCAAGCACGAGCTCTGAGGAAGTCCCTCCAGAGGCGGAGGCAGTTCAGCCCGTGAAACTGCTCAAGATTGCCAGCAATGCCAACTTCGTCCTGGGATGCCTGGCTAACAATCCTCCCTTCTCGCTCTCGCTCAACTACAAGGTGCGCAAATACTGGGGATCGAAGCATTGTCTTCAAGATTGATCCGCCAAGCTGAAAGTTAGAAGCTTCAAACACCCCTGTTCGGATCTACGGTATTCCTTCTTGAGAAGCTTATCTGGTCGTCTCATGTCGTCTTACTTTCGTTTCATTGACCACAACGGGATCTGCAAAAGTAAACCCCCGAACCCTGTCTTCTTCAGGACGTAATGACGGAGTTCTACACCCACGTTGGCAAGAAGCACAAGGCGGTGATGCAGCTGACAGAGCCGTGGTGGACCGCTGCCCAGGAGGGCCCCGCTAAGGATCGCCTGCAGCGGGTCGTCTCTCACAGCAGATGCGCTTGCCAAACGTTTCTGCTTTTGAAGGGTCAGCCGTGTCCTTGTTTCTCGGCTACAACCTATCGGCGATTCGCCATTTTCTTCGTCCTAACCGCTTTCCTTCATCTAAGGTGAAGTGCGGGAGCATAAATCCCTTACCCTCATGGGCGCGGGAAGGAGTTCGAGCCATGAACTATTTACAACATGACACGTTTTGAAACAAAATGAAACGGACACCTCAATCAGTCGACACGATAGCCGCATGATGGCCGGTGGTTTGTTGTGTGCCAACAGGGAGTGAGAAAACTGTTCCATTCGGACGGAGTGTGCAAAGCACTGAATCAGATCCAAGTCAACACTACCAAAAACTTATTCAGCTGCGTTTTGGCGTCGTTTTCTCCTTGTTCTGACGCGGCCTCTTTCCTCTTCCTGCAGCTTCTCTCTTCGACTAAGTAAAAACTTCGCCAAGCCCAAGCTTCTGCTGACCAACCAGCTTTTCGAGGCTGAGGCAGACCCTGCCGAGGTAAGCGGACCGTGTAGACCCGTCATTGACTTCAACTTTTCTGGTATTCCATTTGGCAGCGTGTTTGTTGACGTCCTTGTGCTGTAGGTCGGCTCTTTAATTTTCCTCATCACGTTTCTTGAGCAGGAACAAAACCACGAGGAAAGCGGCGGCCCTGCTTTCCACTGTGTGTTTGATTGCCGGGACGCCATCGCCCCACCTTCTTCAATTTTTGAAAGTGCCCGGATTGTCCTCTTTGAATTGACATTCTGAAAGCCGGCCTGTCCGCAGGTGTTTTGTGGGATGCCCTTCGAGCGGGTGGCTCCGGACACCATCTCTGTGGACGTCCTGCCGTTCTTCAAGGTGCTTCTTCAGCTGCCGTCCGATGTCGGCTCGCTCTCGTACCGCTTCTTCTTCTATGCGGCCAGGTGAGATGCAAACGAGTGGTATCCAGAGAACGGCAGCCTTCGAGCTGAGTCTTACAAAACGTTGAAGGACGTAAAGAAAGTCAAGCATCTGTTTGTGGAAACCTTTAGAGCTGCTCGTCTTTCCAGATATAAGCACAGTCGTTCCCATTTCGGACGCTTTTGTTCGTCCAATCTGTCAGTATTCCACCTTATGATTATTCCATATGGTTCTGACTTGTATGGGAACATGATATACAGCTCAAAGGAGAGCACCAGAGAGGCGTATATAGAGACAGGGGGGTCATCGATGTAATCCTTTCTGCCTCCTCGCAGGGTGGCGTACCTTCTCTTCTCCACCTGCTCCTTCACGCCTGCGGTGCTACCCCTGGACGAGCGCCGCTTCAAGATCGTCTTCAAGCCGCTCGTTTCGTCAGCCGCGGTTGCGGAACAGCTCGAGAGCGTGAGAATTTCTTCGAATTCAAAACCTGAGCTTTTGCGTATGCTGCGCAAGATGGTCAACGATGCCTTCGGTATCGTTCGCTAGAGTCTCCCAAGGTTTGTTGCCTGCAATTTCCTGAAGGAACGACGACTCCTCACATTGCCTGCCAGTATTTTCTGGATTGATTCTCGACGATTCTCAACCGCATTGGCCATCACAGCAATTTGGAAGTCCTGCTCAGAAGTCATTTGTCCGCATTCCGTTGCGAACAGCATTCGCCTCGTCCTTGACAAGGATGATTTGAGTGTGGATTCATTGCGAAGCCTTCTACCTTTTCCCGTAACGCTTTTCCCGGTTAATGGCCAGACCCGAAGTCTGTTTCCAGCGGGCTCGTGGGTGCATTGCTTGCGCCCCCCCGTCATCTGCACAAGAAATAGTCACTTCCATAGCGATCAGACCCACTTCTTCGGCTCCAGACAAATCAACCACCGATAACTCGAAATCTGCATGATCGCTGCAGCTGGCTGCTGCATACCCTGCAAACGACCCGTGCGTCGTTCTTGATGGGGAGGGCCCCCTGGCCGCCGAAAGCGGCACGCTGCACTGCGTCATGGCGGCCCTCACGCGGAGCGTCGCCAAGCTGGACTTCATGCACAAAAAACTCAAGGTGGGTGACGTCCTATCTTAGCCTATCGTTGAGCTTCTCAAGAGCGGAGGGGGGCCTTTGTTGAGCAAAGGCGCATGGGCGCGACAAGTCGTAATACCGCCCCTTTCGGGCAAGTTCTGATCGTTGTGGAGGAACTCGACTACTGCTTACCAAAAATGAAGTATTGGTATCCTATCCTCTGACGGGTCCGTCTCACCCAGGAACATGTAAAAGCCGGAAACGAGGCCTCACCTGTAAATAGCCGCTTTGTCAGCAACGCCGCTGACGTCCTCACGAAATGCCCCCTTCAATTGATTCTGTTCAGCTTGCTTTTAATCAGTCTCGTTATGGTCGTCTTTGCAGGACAACCCTCCCAAGGAGTCCCTTGCCTTCTGGCGCCAGCAAGATTTCCACATCATGGCCCTCTCGGAACCGAGCACGGCCGCGGCCATTGCCAAGTACTTTGGTACGACCACCACTTTCTTCGACTTCTGGACCAAAAAAGCTCACCTTTGGCGCCTGAATTCAAGATTCGAAGGCCTATCGTTTGGAAAGTAGGAATCCACGGACTCGCTTCTTCCATTTCAAGGATGCGAAACTTTCTACTAATCCAGACTTTGCGCAAAATAACTTCTGAAAGCATGCGGGAAGACGGAATAACCCTCTTGGTGCCTTTCAGCATTTTTTCGCCTCAAATCACTTGGTGGCCTCTTCCGCAATCTAATTTTCGAGACGCCAACAGTTGTTACGGCCCTCCCGACAACCGACCTGTTCTCTCGCAGGCCTGTTCGACCTTCTCAAGTTCGACATTGATGTCGAGATTCGGGTGCTTAAGAGCGAGACCGAGGCCCCAGACCCAGCCACGGGCATCAGCCCTTACACCCTGGGACTCTGGATGAAAAGGTGGAGACAGGCGTCCAATCCTGTGATGGTCATCTTCCGCAAGGCGTCAACCCTAGAAATTGCCATAGACGTCGCAATCGGTGTTCCTCTTCGAGAACAGAAAGGACTCCGGGTTCCTCGTGAACCTTGATTCAATATCGCGCAAACATAAATAATCTGAAACTGTTTCCTGAGCAACTTGCCGCCGACAAGAAAGCGTCTCAGCAATCGTGTCGGTTCTTGACTCTCAGGAAAGACGCCGGAGGAGAGCATGCTCCGCTTCACAGCTTCTTTCAGCAGAACCCAGACAAGAAGGAGCAGGTGGGTCACTCTCGAGCGGTGTTCTCTCCTTTCTCCCCCACGCCATCTTCTGTATCGCTCTGCCCAGAGAGGCTCGCGCTGAGGGGGAAAAGATAAAACTCTTCTCTTCTTCTTGAGATTCTCCAAGTGCGAATTGAAATCAAGTTACTGGAAGACGAGAGAACCAAATCTGTGCCTAATAGTTTCAAATCCAAACTCTCTCCATTCCGTTGCCCAGGTGCTGAAGTTCCTATCGAGCCTGGCACCATACTTGGAGGGCATCGAGAAGCTGCTGATGCAGGCGAGCATCCCGCTGCGCGGATCCACCTTCGAGACGTTCATTATCGACACCGCGTTGCTGCTGGCCAACCTGGGTATCTCGGTTGCCCTACCCCGGGAGCTCAAAAAGGTGAACCTCTTTTCCAGAACTCCAGGGAATTTGGGAATTGGGCAGTTGGAGGGGTGTGGGAGTCTGTGCTGAAGTCGCTTGGACTTGCCGCACTCTGGCCCGGAGGTTGCATCCGAGCAAGGTTGCAGGTCGTCTTTCTGATTCAGAGTTTGGAAGGCCGTTCAAAACTCACGAGGACGTCAAACGGATACATGTGAATAGAGAGCCCCCAATTGCTGAATGGATCTAGAAAAAGCAAGATATTTCTAGTTTCTCCGACCGCCTCACGCTTGTTCAATCTAAGAAACTGATGAGAAGCGCGTCCAGTCATGCACCAGGTTTAAAGATGGCGAAACCCAAAAAACCGGATGAAGTGGACTGGGTCACTGCTGTTACCAAATTATGCTGACGAGCTCTTTGCTTTCGCCCCAAACTTGGACGCAAATAGTCGACTCAAGCTTTGTTATACTCCTAGAATATGAAAAGGACTAGAATATGAAAAGGACAAATACACAATAAGTTTACTGGGGACCAAAGTGAGATCGTACTGGCTTTTCCGTTCTGCAGATCATCCGGCCCCGCGCTGTCGTTCGAGCAAGCGGCCGGGACGGCGACGCGAGCAACAAGTCGCACCAGTCCTACCTCATGCTGCCGCAGCTGCTGACGTATGACTGGCAGGCAAGCAGACTCAATCTTGTCCTTTTCCGTATCGCTCGCTTTTCCTGCCAACTTCCCGCAACGTTTCACAGGCTGATTACCATTGCTGGACTCTGAATTGCTATTCTGCAGTTCGCATAATCTGCTGATCTTGGTTTCCGAGTGCGAAACGAGCATACTAAATCCCTACCTCGCAACTTATGAGGTATCAGTGCAGTAATGTGCTTGGTCTATAATTCTGGCCCATTTTTACGGGTTGTTCCAATCATGTCCAGCCAAGCAACCTGAGCAAGAATTCAGAGTCGAGTAACTCAGAGTGACCGCGTTTGTCCTTGAACTTGCAGATCGCAGTTGGGGACGTGGTCATCACCGTCGCGGACTTCAAGCAAATGGTCAGGGAGGGGCGCAAGATCATCCGCTACAAGGACGAGTAAGTTAAGCACGGATGTCGTAATGCTTTCAACTCGCAAATTTCGATCTCCGACTTCCTTGGCCCCACAGCTTTGGGTACAGTTTAGTGCTTCTCCTTGGCCCCACAGCTTTGGGTACAGTTTAGTGCTTCTCTTTCAGCAGCCGTTGTGCGATCGGCCCGGGACGTTATTTTCTTCCGACACAAGAAAGACACTTGGCCGGTTTTCCTTCCGTCCAACCGATGCTCCTTTAGCTTGGAAAGAAACCCGGTGCTTGAAACGGCGAGTCAGACACAGGAAGTCACTGCTGAAGTGGTCGGGGGATCCAACACGCAAACCTCTCTACACCCCTGTTTATGCGCACTCCACACCGCCCGCAAAGTTCATGAATGCTCACAGAGAAAACCAGAACGGAGTGGGAGGATTTCTGGTTGATTTCCATAATCCAAGTCAACCCTGACCATCCTCTTTATAACTCAGGTACGTAGCGCTGTCGTCGGAAGAGATCAAGGCGATGCTGGAGCAGGTCGCCAAGCCGGTGCCCCGCCTGTCCAGCTCCGACCTCCTGAAGGCGTCCCTTTCCGGCGACCGCGCCGTCTGGCTGGACGCTGATGTGACACAGCTCCTGGCGGGAATGACCCGGAGCAAGGAATTCCCGCTGCCGCAGGGACTGCAGGTTGGTCATGCTCACCCAACCAATTTGAAAGGAGTTCTTTCAGAATTGTCGCGGACCTGTATGTACCAGGTTCTTCCAAACGAGAAGTATGAGACTGTTGAGATATGTAGTGGCAATAGGAGTCTATCAAGGTCATGCAAGCCAGCAAATATAGATTGAATGGCAGCCTCTTCTGCACAGCAGTAATCGAGAGGTGAGATGTTGGAACTGTTCAGAACCTTCCTTCCTTAGTAGAAAGCGACCGTCAATCGAACACCCCGTAGCTCACTTGTAATTGCGTTGCAATTCTTATGGCGACCTGAAAGAATGCATTCTGACTGGCTGAGCAGGCACAACTGCGCGAGTACCAACAGAAAGGCTTCTGCTGGCTGACGTCCATTCTGAGCCACGGCTTTGGGGGCATCTTGGCGGACGACATGGTGAGACTTCACGCCCTTCTCTTTGCGGTGTGCTTACGGCTCATCTCGATGTTCGTTTGCAACTCGTCTTGATTCCATCCGACCAGGAGATTTCAACGACCGAGTGACCTGGCAAAGCACTGGCGAGTGGAAAGCCGCCCGGAACCGTCAACATTAGAAGAGTAGTACTACAACGACGAGAAAGGGTGCGGTCATGCGAAAAGCTTCTGAGAGTCCGAAGAACGACGATTCAGCCGACTTCGTTGGTTGAGCGTTGGATTCTTGGACAGGCATATCTGCTTCATTCGCCTCTTCACAATAGGAAAGCGCGCTGCTTTCTTGTTAAATTGAGAATATTATAGGCGACAACACCGAATGGCGCGCTCTGCGCACATGTCTGTAGGCATCTGCGCGCCTCTTTTAAGGCCTCCAGTCCTTATCACAGGGTCTCGGCAAAACCATCCAAACGATCACCGTCCTGCTCCACCTGAAAGAACGCGGCCAGCTGACGTCACCGGCTCTGTTGGTTGTGCCCACTTCGCTCATCAGGTGAGAATGTATTCCCTGGCTGCTCCTTTCTATCTACTCTCTCCGGGAGCAACAGCAGCTTCGACGTTTACACTCATTTTTGGAAACGAAAAGATGCTGTGAAGGTGCATTCGACGCGATCGATCTTGTGCATGGTATAGTGACATCTTGTGCATGGAACATAGTCTCAGCACTTCCGCCTCGCTTACGAGCAGCCCACAGAGCTTGGTCCTTCGCTCTTCCCTACATACATAGCTAAAACCTTCCGGGCAATGTCAGATTGATCGCGCGTCCCAAAAGCTTACGTCAGCAAGGCAGCGCTCAACCTTTTAAGTTGCGCTTTTCGCCGTCTGACTGCATGTGACCACCTTCTACCGCCACAATCGGGAGCCCCTTGAACATCGACCAACGCTGGTTTTGGCTGAACCTGTCTGACACCCAAAACTCTTTTCTGCTCGCAGCAACTGGGAGAAGGAGATTGCGCGCTTCGCTCCCTCGCTCCGCGTGACCACCTTCTACGGCGGCAACAGGAAGCTTCAGAGTGTCGACGCCAACACCGGCGCCGTTCAGGCGGCGCGCGCCGCGGGGCCAGACAGCACCAAGAAGGCGCGTGTGGAGGCCGCCGCTGACGTCATCCTGACAAGCTATCAGGTGAGCTCTAGAATCGGGTCGGTGCGTTGGTAGTGCGGGCGAGGCCAAACCGGCCCGCTGCAGTTGGTAGTGCATCCGGGAATGCTTGGTCGATCCTGAATTGTGAGGTGCTTGAAGACGTTACACTACTGGTTAGGGGGAAATGGAAAGGTTTTAAAAAACGACTTCTCGGCGAGAAGTCAAGGGGCGAATCACAGCAGCGGTCATAGCCGCTGTTGCTTCAAGAGCCAAACTGCTGTGTGGCGCGCTCGCTTGAGTTGTCTAGCGCTCGACGACCCGGAGTAGAACCGCGGCCGCTGTTCATCAAGCGGCTGTGTATTGAACTGTTTTGTCGTCGAGATACGGACTTCAAAAAGTGCTAGAAAGCGTTACATCAGAGCACTATGATGCCTGACCGGATCTTCTTTTGATTGTTTCAGTGCATGCGCATCGACGTGGAGGCGCTGCGGAAGCAGCGGCTGTCGTGCCTGGTGATCGACGAGGCGCAGAACATCAAGAACAACAAGGCGGCCACGACCAAGGCGCTCAAGAGCATCAAGGTGGGCCCACCGAGGGCCGTTGCCTTGGCTCGTTGCTCCCGCATATTTTGTCGTATGTTCCAGCTGTGAGTTGGATGCTGAGCTAGCTCCGATCGTGCTAAAAGCCGAAAGTTGGATCTGAGGAGACAGAGGGTGCGCTGATGATCCAAGTGAAACTGTTCCGCAATGAAGACCTCAGCCGAAGGTTTTGTTTGCAGGCCGGCTTTCGGATTGCGCTGTCGGGAACTCCAGGTGAGACTTCAATCACTTCAGTTGATTTTGCCTGGTCGAGGCACTTCGAATCCTCCCTGGCTTGGAGCCGCTTTCTGAGGGACCGAACATCTTGCGTTTGGCTTGTCAAGTACGTTTCCCTGATCGTTCAGAATATCGCAGAAAACGCTGAGCTTGGCCTTTACGGAGAAGAGAATCCATCGTTCGCCTGATTAAGTAGCAATGCGAAGCTGAAAGTCTCGTTGCTCAGTTGCGCGTCTGTGACCGCGGAAGGTAACTTCTAGATAAAGGCGGTTTGTTCCAGGATCAGAGTGGGTTGGATTGCTGGCCCAGCGAATTGGCCGATAGCTCCTTATTATACGGCTAGAATTGCTCGCTAGAAGAGCACTTTGCTCACTGAAAGCATTTCGATCTGCTGGAAGCCTCCGCGAGACTCACTTTCACCCCACAGGCGAGACCTCTTAATCAAGTCTACCCTCTGAACCACACTGCAACCCGCACTTTCAACCTCTATCTTTGCCGCAGTTGAGAACAACCTGAGCGAGCTGCACTCCATCTTCGACTTCGTGATGCCGGGCTACCTGGGCACGCTCAAGGACTTTGCCACCGACTTTTCGAAGGACATCGAAGTCAGGTGGGCCGCCTGAGGCGTTCTATGCGAAGAAGCCGGCAACTTCGCTGTGGTGGTCTCGGGTGGCTTCTGATTCAAGGGGAGGGCGCAAGCTTGGTTCTCTCAAAGTCAGCGAGGAGGACCTAGTCGAAAGTCAACACCTTCGCTGAAAGCTGGCACCGTAGCGGAACGAGCTTGTAGTGGGAGTCCTGGAACTTCCAGGATCAGTTGATCTGCTGACGCCCGTGCTTCTTGATGCGCTCTGTGACCTCTCCGTCCGCTTATCGGCTGTGACTCCGGCAGAGCGGGTTAAATCCCGATTGAACGGGACCCCTTGAGGATTGCTCCTCAATGCTCTCAACCTCTCAAGCTGAACGAACATGACGCTGATCAAACGCCTTGAAGGACGCACTTGATGACGTCGGCTTCATGTAAAAGCAGAATTTGCCCCAAGTCCGAGTCGGTTTATGTGATGTTGTGCCACAATTTACGTCCAGGCGCGACGAAGAGAAGCTGGCGAAGCTGAAGGCGGTTACGGCGCCTTTCATGCTGCGCCGGCTAAAGACCGACCGCAGCATCATCAAGGACCTTCCAGACAAGGTCCGAAACCCGCTTAGCTTAAGGGTCAAGGGAATCTCAGGTTGCTTCCTGCAGTCACGTGGCTGTGTGCGTCCGCTCTTCCAAAGTAAATACCTTCTTAAACGAAAGTCCCCGCCCTGCACCTTGTTGGAGGCGTCCTATTAGTCAAGGGATGTTGCGTACATTTGGGTGCCGGGGGCGGCGGAGATTTGAATAGCGTCGTTCGAGAAAAAATCTCCCACTTTTGCTGGCTTTAAATGATCTTTTCTCTCTATCCACTTTCAGGAATTGAGATAAACCAAGTGAACAGAGATGAGTCAGCACATCAGGGTCGAATTGTCGGAGAATGTCGTCGTTGCTGCTCGCTAATCCTCTTAACTTTTTCTCGACTCCTAAACAGGAGCAGGATTTTAATTTTGGAATCCGAGGTAGGACTTTCACCTCTTTCCCATCAACGTCTTCATTTAGAATCCAATAGTTACCCTCACTTTCCTGCTTCCCCTTCCACCAGATCGTATCGGACACGTTTGCGACGCTGAGCAAGACACAGGCCGCGTTGTACGAAGGCGTGGTCCAGGAAAACCTCGAGAAAATGGCGACCATGGAGCCCGCAGCACGGCGAGGGTGGGCGCCTAACACATCTAGACTCCCCTTGTGTTCATAATCTTAAGGAGGACCGTTTTCTGAACGATTCCTCCCTGTGTCCAAACACAGAATGGTCTGTCTTCCCTTGGGCTATGGCTTGATCTAATAAAATTAGTTCTTATGGTTTTTACATCGCCTTCTTTTCTTAGTCTTTCCCTTTACTAAAAGAGAAATCAGCAGGAAAACCGTCAAGTGTGTCGTGCTGCGAAAGACGTGGGCTTGCATTTGACACAGGAGTTGGGGTGCCCAGATCCAATACTTGAACACCACAATCACAAGACCTGGCAGTGCTGGCGGTCACTCTTTCAGATGTTAGTTTTTCTCCCGAAGACGGCACTCCGTGCAACCTTTTGAAGAAATCAAAGACAAACTAGTATGATGAATCTGCTGGACGACCCCCCGCTTGGCACCAGATTAGACCACGTGCGCACTCGCTTTGTCCGAGCAATTGTCAGCGCATCAGACGGTACTGTCGTGTATCACCGCAGGCTCATCTTCAAGCTGCTGACGGCGCTGAAGCAGATCTGCAACCACCCCGCGAACTACAACGCCTCTGCAGCGATGGTTCCGGATGACGTAAGCAACTATCTGCCTTATCAGAAAAGCTGCTTCGAATGGATGTGCGAGAAGGTCTGCGTCTCTTCTTACGCCATCCGTTTGATATCGAGAAGCGAGCTGCCACTAATTCCAGCCGAGATAAGGCCCAGGAAAGGTGCCTCTAAAAGAACGTCTTTCGAACACTCAGAGCGGTACGAAACTGTGACGAGGTTGACATGGACGTAACCAGATTAGGGCAAGCATGCAACCAAACACTCTACCTTACCGACTGGACAAAAGACTTCTTCCTTCTACGACAGAGCGGAAAGGCGACCCTGCTGAACACGTTGCTGGAGACGATCATTGAAAAAGGAGAGAAGGTCCTCATCTTCACACAGGTGGGCAGCCCCTGTCTCCTTTCCAAATTCGCACCGCGGTTATCGAGGATCTTATGTGCATATCGTGGGCGTCAATTTGCTTGCTGCGACGCAAAGACTCTTAAGATATGGTTTCGGATGAGAATTGTCGGACAGTTCGAGAAGGAGAGCCGGTACCTCAACGTCCTGGATAAAAATGCATCTCTGGTAAAGAATCTCCTTCAATTGGGGTAAGATACCAAGTTTGCTGTACGGAAACATGCAGAGACAGATACGAGGCTCTGAGGCGACAGAATGACAATTTCTTGGGCACGGTTAAGCAACCGCTTAACCGCTTAACCGCTTAACCGCTTAACCGTAGTCACAGTGAATGATAAACGTCCCGCCCTCGTATCCGATTTCGTCCGCGTCGTCCTGTCGCTTTGCGCCGCCGCACTGAAGCATACTGTTCGGACATTGCAGTACGTCCGCATGGCCCACCTACTGTCCGCCATGATCAAGAAGACCCACCTGGTGCAGCCGCTACTACTAGAGGTAAGGAGTCATGATATCGGGTTCACGGACCTTAACGTTGGGTAATCAGGGTTTACCATGTCTGTGGAAGGCGGTGATCGGGGGTTATATCGTCTGGGCTCAGGAGCTACGTTTGGTAGGATTTGATCAAGCGTAAGCGGTTTGCCCAGCTCTAGATTGATGGATCTTGGACTTTTGTACCGCCTGAGTGCTGATTGGCAGTCTTACTTCAATGCCTACACCCCGCCGAACTCTCCAGTGTCGCCCAGAAACCGCACTCCTCGGTCGCATCTCGTGAACCTTCCCGGCGCCCACATCATAGCCAAAGCCTTATGCTAATGTTTTGTAAAGGGTCTGGGTTAGATAACGGTCTGTAGGATTGTTTTACGGATTCAGGATAAATCAAAGATCGCGCTTGAACCTGGCCGGCACGCAGCAAAGCGAAGCTGACCGCCCGCGCTTTGCTCCTCGCAGGGGTCCATGTCCAAAGCCGACCGCGACAAAGGCGTGCACAAGTTCCAGACGGACCCCTCAGCGCACGTCTTCATTCTGTCCCTCAAAGGCGGGCGGCGTTGGGTTGAACCTGACCGCGGGCAACCACGTCGTCCACTACGACCTCTGGTGAGTAACGCACCGTCCTTCGAGCATCTCTTCACCGGCCTACTGGTTTTTAACAACGGTGAAGCGAGGGAAATGGAAATGCTGCGTTGCATTTCCGTTCGTTTGTGTGCTTGTTCTTGTCCAACCATTCGACTCACGCTGTGAAACAGAATCCTCAAGCTTCCGCCGTCTGCGCCGTAAGTCATTTCCCCGTAAACATTTAAAAAGCAGACTTTTCCGGAAGCAGCCAGTTGAGGTTTGTCCTCGGTACGCCTTGGCCGCTCACCGACCAGATGCATGGTGTACGGATGCACTCCTGTTGTTCCGCATTGCTTACCTTGACAGACCGTAGAAGATCGTCAATCTCCCGTAAAATCGCTCATGAGGATGGCATCATATGAACGACACAGATTTGCTTGGCTTCTGAGGGCGCTTGCAATCAAAAACATCCCTAAACCGAACAGGATTCGAGCAACCGTCTCAAGACATTGTCGGAAGGGTAACGTACGATGAAGCGCCAGTGAACGCCGTACGATCCCATGGTTCTGCTTTCTAGTCTGCCGTATCCCTTGAAAATAATGGCAAACAAAGTGCTCACGCTTCGTTGCAGGTGGAACCCGGCTGTTGAGGCCCAGGCGACGGACCGTGCCTTCCGCATCGGGCAGCAGAAGAACGTCTTCGTGTACCGCTTCATCACGACCGGTACTTTTGAGGTAGGCCGCGCCGCCAGGCTGGCTAAACTTCAAGGTTCTGCTTTCCTAACCCAGATTTCCGTTCTTCATGACACTTACCGAAGGACAATACCTTCGACCCTAAGCAGTAATTCTTCGTAACAGGCGGCGTCTTCTCTAATTCTTCTACCACTTTCGGGAAGCCGAGAAGCTCGACCATGTTAGATTCGTCAATGAAAGCGGCATGATTCCGCGGCCCACAGATCCAATCGAAGAGTGGAAGGCGCTTACGGTCATGCGAGATGTTTCAAACCTTAAATGGAAAAAGGCGCTGTGCAAAGTCTGTTCAAGGATGCTTTTCACAGTCACCTTTTTCGGAGAAGCACGTGGGTGTTGACTTCACGAGATTCATCTCTACCTTCCATAGAAGGTCCGGAATTCCCTGCTACCCTGCACGCGAGTATCTGTAAAGAAACTCAAAGCTAGTCATTTCACGTCTGCCGCGGGTCTTGCCCAACCCCGTGGTCGGGGAACTTCAGTACGAAGATCCAAAGCGCCTCAATTGAGTTACTAAAGTCCGCAAACTTGCTTTCGACGACGCCAGATCGAGCTGACGGCACCAAGTCGACGGTCAAGACACAAACGTCACCATCTGAGAGTTGGGCAACCGGCAACCACTTCGCTTATGCAGGAAAAGATCAACGAGATGATGTCCAAGAAGAAGGAGCTGTCGGACCTCAGCATGAGCACCGGAGAGAGCTGGATCGCAGACATGTCGGACGAGGAGTTGCGCCAGCTCTTTGCACGCCATGAGTAGGGCCCGCGTGTCAACAGTTGTTCCGCTTGACGAGGGTCTGATTGCGCGCACGCGGCCGCGGTTAGACCTAGCATATAGTGGCTCAGCTCTCTCTGTATCCACCACTCGCGCCAGGATTGCTTCAGAGCCACTCGCGCCGGAATTGCTTAGATAGCTGACACGTGTGCAACGGTTGACCTCACCGTCATTATCACCAGAATTGGACTTATAGCTCAGTGACATTTGCGTCGGACTTGACTCAGCTGAGTAGTGCCTTTGACTCGTAGCTCATCACTTTTCAAGTTGCAAGTTCACCTCTGCTAGCTTCCTGGCTCAAGAATACTGGCACCCGGAACTGTGGGCTTGGGAGCTGACATTAGCGGACAAGCATTGGACAAGTGTGGAGGGCAACCTCGATTGTAAGTCCGATGAGCTGCCAGGGGACTGGCCTGCTTTGTCTTCCATCCACGGGTGGTGACCGAAGTGACTCAAGTCCAGGCATGGCAACGTACGTGGTGTGTGCTTGTAATTGCCTCTGTCGTGGCACATATGGCTATCCCTTTGCATAGCACTGAGTCAATTGTGGACCATTGAATGGCATGGTCAATCAAAGTACATGGATGGCCCCAAGAGTAAGCGGGGCGGGTAGAGTTCAAAATTATTTGTTGCGACGTCATGTCGAACTCGGAAAGCCATGGATAAGCGCCGGAGCCATCATAGGCCGGGCTTTAGCCGGGCTTATAGGCCAAGCATGCGTCTAGCCGGAAACACCTGAGATCCGGCAGACGGTAGCGACGTTGCGCACGGTATCCCTGTCATGCAAGGGCGTGAGACTTGCGACGCCTTTGCGAATGTTCGCGTCATCATAAGGGCGCATCGGAAGAGGTGGAATGAATTTTGATCGCTTGACTCGGCCGCATCTGGCTCTGCCCGCACAACTTACCTTGCGAGCTCATCAGCATTGTTGTCGGCCATTGCCCAATTCGTGACCCGAAGGGATCATTATATACTGTCCCTGTAGCATTATATATAGCTGTACCGTGCATGAGCCGGCCGGTTGCCTGGGCCCTGGGGTATTCATATGCATCTTCCTTCGACTGGGGCCCCAATTAAAAGTGCACATATCTAGCTAGCTCCCGTAGCTTTATTGACTACCGTACACAGTCAATGAACTATATCAAAGGTGCAAGTTTTATACCATCTTTTTGGAGATTAAATCTAATGGTCAACCAGCACTGGCGCACCTTTAACTCAATGGACACCAGGAACGAAGAGCCTGCCGCTGCTTGAAGGCTAATATTCACGCATGGCTATCGCCAGTGCCTACTAAGGGACTCATGCTATTTGTCAAAGAATTCACGCACTATCTTGAATTAAGTGAGGAAGCTCTGTTTCATATTTCTTGGGACCATAACAATCTGTAAAGTTCTGAGCATTTGACTTTGATCAAGAAGCTACTTGAGCTGCTCTGAAGCTAGACCGTGAGCAAGCATGGTCAACAATGATTGGTATGACGCGTTTTGATTCCGCGTCTTATCCTTCCAACAACGCAATCTGAAGGACAAGACATGGGCGCGATTGTGCTTTCAAATCAACGGCACGACCAGAAATAAGAAAACCAGACTCGGTGTTCTGGTGATTGCGGGTAACAAGCTTCCTGCAAAGTCCTGGTCCTGTAAGATCTAGCTGTAAGTGAAGTCACAACTTGAAGTAATGGACAATTGAAAAGAGACTGAAGTTGCAGCAGGCTGTGGGCTAATAGAATCGTACCAAACACTTCATGACTCCAACGAGAACTAAGTCAAGCAGGACAAGCAGGTGGCTTACTTGTGGCTTAGCCCTTTAAGTTCTCAAAGTGGTCAGTGTGCCCTACTAAAGCAGCCCTCTAGTGTTACCGTGAGTGTGGCGTATGAATTTCTGAGCATTGGTCGCCTAAATGGGCTTCAACTGCAACTTAGACTCCTCAGGCTACCGTCTGATGCTACTATACAAGGCTCCTCGTTAAACATGACACATGTGCCAATGACCCTATGAAATTCTGATTGTGCAACTCAACATCAGCATGTAACTCGCGGTTGCCTTGGCACTCTGACATACTTCTATACTTCCAGCAGATAAACCATTCTTAGGACGAACTTTCCGTGCTCTTAAGATCCTTTGGTGAGTCACTATCATTGCCCATGCTTGGTTCTGCGCCCGTGTTCGAAGAAACTTGTGTATATTCAGGAAAGTCGTCAACTTTTGAAAGTTCAAGCTGCGGGCTAGACAATTCGCCAGACTGGATGGTGGGCTGAATGACAGGACTTGTATCATCTTTCAATCCTTCCTGCTGAGCTCCAAAATCAGAGCCTCCAATGTGATTGCCGATGCTTGGATCTGCGCCCGTGTTCGACAAATCCGGTGTATATTCAGTAAAGTCGTCATTCTTTGAAAGTTCAAGCTGCGGGCCAGACCAATCGCCAGACTGGTCGGTGGGCTGAATGACATGAGTTGCATCATCTTTCAATCCTTCCTGCTGGGTCCCAAAATCAGAGCCTCCAATTTGATCTGTTGTACCGATTTCCTTTCCTTTCCTGGTTGCGGGCTGTGGAGTCCCATTCACGTTCATGTCACAACAAAGCCAGTCCACACACGTCATAATAAAGCCGCCTAAGCAGATGCAAGGAAGACAAACGCAGAGTCCCACGTACACACAAGAATGGAGGTCGTCAAGCAGCCTTCCGTCACCCTTGCCATTGCCCATGCTGCACTAACTTGAGACGTCCAGACACTTCAAAAGTTGAAATTGAGCGGCCTACCACCTGTCCTGCCGCTGCACTGATATCAATATTAAGCTATCTACATCACTGTCAACAGACTTGATGCATGATGCATCATCTTTCACAGAACGCAGCTAGAACGCCGGGCTTGCCGCTTTCGTATTATATCACGCATACGGTAATCCAGACCTTATCGCCCGTCCGGGTTTTTCGCTCAGCCATTTTGCCGGGAGCCATCAGAAATTTTTCGAAGTCGAATCACGTGGCAGGGAGATATCGCTGATATACCCCGCCGCCGAGGGGTATATCAGAAAACTCTAAGCAGGTTCGACGCCGATGCAGTGTTCGGACTAAGCGATAAGCGAGTTATACCGTTCGAGCTCGTCGAAATCGAAGGTTTCTTGTCGACCTCGAGCTTGAAATCCCCCTCGGGGCTCCGCCCTCGGGTGGATATCAGCTCTCGTTCGACGCGAAACCATCGATATCGCCAAGCGATCTCATGGTATAACTACTACTTTAATCATATGCATATGTAATCCAGGATGTTCAAGATATCCAAGCTCTTGTGACGCCCGGCTTGGCGTTTCTAAGACTGGCACGTGGCAGGTTAAGCTGGGCCGTCTGATGGTCGAGGGTACTGCCGACGGTACCGTCAGTGAACTCGTCCCCCTAAGTTCGCCAAGTCGACGCCGACGATTCGATGGCCGGTATCGCAGAAAAAGGAGTACGCACCGCAGAGACTACAGTAGGTACCGTAGTTCCTTAACCAGAATTCGGGTTTAGGATACCCAAACGAAGAGCCTCCGAACTTCAAAACCATGCAGGCGCACCTGTCGCCACTGCCTGGCAGGACTCCTACACTGCTACAGGCTACAGCACTGGGAACTAGGAACTCCTAGGCCCAGGGACTCCTACAGCGCAATATCAACGTCACTGATCAGTCTGATGCCCTGCAACTCGCAAGAACAACCTGTGAGTGTCTGATGGAAATGCTACCTGTTGTTCAGGCTCGAGCGAGAATCTTGCAGTGCGCAGTCGCTTGAGCCTTGAAGGCCGCTTGAAGGGTTTCGCATCTGCATGGTTAGAGGAGTCAGCATGGCTGCTGCTCTACCTGTCTGGGTAGTACAGAAGGGCACCTACGAGTCTGCACGCGCGCGATTGACCGACAAGACGTTTCTTGAGAGGGAGAGGGCTTTCATGAAATTGTATGTTGTTGTTTCCGGCCTGCTGACAGCTTCCACCTATGTGGCAGTCCTGAGCCCCCTAGTCAGCATTGACAACAATGCAGCTTTGGGTCCAGACGTAGCACAGACAGGCAAGCCCCTTTCTAGCAGCGTTCAGTTGTACTATTGGATTAGGGGGCTGAATGCAATCTCTTTCCTCCTCTCTGTATCATGTATTGTAGCATCTTTTAGCTACTGGACTTTCATCACAGTAACTCTAAGAGATGTTGATACTATTGAAAGGATAATGCCAGAAGAGCATTGCATTACAATGTCAAGTGGGAACAAGTCACTACCGCTTGAGATTGTCTTGATTGCTAGCATCCTTCGAATGGCAACTAAGCTAAGCTTGATGCTATCCTTCACTTCCACAGTCACTGCTACAATCTGCTCAGTGATAGCGTTTGTAGATAGGGTGGCAGCAATTGCAACTCTTGCAGTGTGTCTGAGTATTTGTGCACTCACGGGAGCGCTTTTCTATTTGACATACGTCGTATCTGGAAGAGTGAAGGGGGAAGTTGGCAAGTTAGAAAAACTACAAACTCGAAAAACAAACACCAAGTGATGTGAGGTTGCAGGCCATAATGTGCATTGCTATCTGCAGCTGTGGCACTGTCAACGATCGTGCTGAATGGATGGGCAATTTTTGTAGCTGAGTTGGCAGTCATAAGTAGGTATGAGTTCTGGGTTTTTGCCGCCATGCAGAGCAGGCTTCTTGTTGTTTGCCTTTGCTGCCAGGCTGCAGCTCGTCACACATGCTAACCACTTTTAGAACAAGCTCGATGATCATTTTTCCTACTTGCCATCGCCAACTCTTAAACCATATGGGCTTCAAAATTGGCGAGAAGAAGCACATGTGCCATGTGGCCAATTCAAAGTAAGAACCAAAATCGTGCAGCATGCCTGAAAAGAGTTGTGCACGCACCATCCTTGCACTATCAAGCAACATCTCGAACGGTGTCGCTTCATTCTGTGAAACAAGCTTCTTTCTTGTTCAAACAAGCTCTATCGGAGCACCCATGGGTGTTTCCCGTTGGCTTTGACCGTTAAGCATTCCATTAGAAACCGCAAAAAAGAAGGCACGCCTATGTAGAAGGTTTGCTTCAAACCTCTGCATGAAAGACTCACAGGGTTTCTGGAACCACGTAAATTACAGGCTAGTGACATGCATTGCTAATCATCACGACTAGAAAGAAACTATCGTCTCGACGACATTTGTAAATCATGTGTTTCAGCCAAGTTGCCGGGGCACATTCCAGATCGCAAACTTGCCAAGACACCGCGTTCGCTGATCGGGTGCATGGACTGGAAGGGCACGTTCCGGCCAACATAGATCCATGCATATCAAAGTATATTGCCATGGAAGCGGGCCGGGCCCATGGTCGAACCTATGGCCCTTCATGCAATGTCTCTATAGGATTTGTTGCATGTTAAGAACATCGCCCCGACAAGTATAGTATCGTTTCTGCGGGTACTCATGGTGTATCAATATTGGACAATCTTCACAATCCGCAAGCCAAGTGCCGTTGCCAGCTCACTAAGTCGAGTGTATAGTAGCTGAGCGCTCAGTCGACCAATTGTCCGTACGTACTGCGACACTTACGAGACTGGGTGGGCCAAAGCGTTCTGGCAATAAGCATGCGAGCGATCAATTGCTCTTTGAGGGGACGTCCAATGACGTGACGTCATGCCCAATACTGGCAACTTCTGAGGGGACGGTACTATACGTGCAGAGGTTGGCGGCCCGAGCCGCCCAGCATTTAACCCGGGCCAGCAACCCGTTATTCAATAGGAGGCATATCTAGACCGGGCCTCGTATGAGTGGGCCTCATATAATGTCTGCATATGCGCATAACTTGCGGCGTGAAACTTAAGAGACTGAGAGGACCATCTCAGACTTCCAATGGTCCATCCAATGTCACCATCAGTGGCTGCAGCAGGAGATCGAAAAATTGTTCATCATGCGAAGCTTGGCTATGGATCTTTATGTACATCTGATGAACCTGCTCTGCCTTCATTGACTGCATATACCTCATGCTCATGTACATGACCTGCAAAGCCGGAAGTTAGCGTTTTTGTTGCTCAACTCGTAAACGCGAGCTATGACTGTCTCTTTGACGGGCCCAAGTCGAAATCAACGGTGTAGTCGTACTCGATTGTCGGGATCACAGAAGCGATGAATTTCAGGAAGATGAACAGGTACCTGACGGGCACAGCACGAAGACTCATCAGTCATATAAACGATCTAAAAGCGCAAAGAAAAGTAACAAGGATAGCGATCAGAAGCGTGAGGCCTTCACACTTGCATGAAACGCAAAAGTACCGTCTTTGACGACGTACAAAAACAAAGATCGATATGGATCGATATGCTTAATCAGAAGGCGAAGTCAAGTACTTTGGAGGTGGAGAGCAGGCAAGCCGTCAATGAACGCGTTGAAAGCTCCCAGCAGCTTTCAAGGAACCGACAGCTCTCAAGGGCACACCATTACAGAAAGCAAGCAACTCCGCACGACGCACAAGGGAACATCAACAGGGATTGGGCAGCACAAGACCGATAACATACACTTCCAAGAGCAGGGGGGACAATGGAACCTCATGGCTCAGCAGATCTTCGCGACTGGTGACGCAGTGCTTGGTCGGGCGAAGCATGAGACCGGGCATTCAAAACCGTGTCGATTTGCAAACCGCAAAGCACGACAGATGACCTTTCCAAACTCTTACTAAGGTACGACATAAGAAAAGTCTCTTAGCAAAAGCTTTTCTTCGACTGACAACAGAATCATGCAGACTAACAAATATATTGGCCTTATCGAGGGTTACAAAAACGACTGCAACGTAGCGAGCCACTCACTGGTCCACCCTGGGGTCCGCCCCTTTGGCACAGATGACGTCAAGAATTTTCTTCATGACGAGGCTGTGCTTGCAGGGGTGCACCGACGCGTGCTTCCCGTGCAGGTGCGGGTGGTCCTCGATCGTCACCTGCAAGATGAACCGCATCGACGTCTCAAGTTCAGAGAGGTTCGCGAAAGCTATCAGAAGTTTAAGAATCGAAGTCAAAAGGCACCTGCAAAGGTACTCACGAACTTTGGTAGTCCTTTGAAAAACAAGGGGTTGGACGACTAGAAGGGTTTAGTGACATAACGTCTAGACAGAGATTCCAGCCCCTAATAAAGTAAGGACGAAAATAGACCTCTGCAGCTCGTGGCTTGGGCAATATCATACACTTCGGCAGCTCGTATGGAAAGTCTGAATCTACGGGCTTCAGGAGTGTTATGAGCTCTTCCTATATCAGAGAAAACCCTAGATCCAGATTTAGGCAGCAGATCTGGCCGGATACTCGAATCTCTCCAAATGGAACGGTTGACCGAAGGACTGCCGACACATTTGCGGTCCCATGCAGACTCTGCTTCAGGAAGACAACAGAGTGGGCCTCAAGAATGCTTTCGTTGCCGCTCTGAATTCTCGAGTACCTCGATCTCTGCCGTTATGGTCTTGCAACTCTGCAATTTGGAGAGTTTTGGCGACTTGCGTGTCCGTTTTGTATCAAGAGCTCCGCTGATATCCCAGAAAAGTAGGCCAGAGGATCCAGAAGCGGGGAAGCACATTTCAGACACAGTTGAGCGCAAGAGCGGACGACGCACCGTTTTCCTGGCGTGGTCTTGACTGACGTCTTGCAACACCTGCTCCGGATGGAGCGGCCGCTTCGCCTGCACAGGTTAACCGAAACCCCGGGTTAACAATGGGGACTCTGCGGGTAACCTTAGGAGTTACAACCGCAGAGTTGATCCTAGGTGATTAGGGACTGCCCGGGAGGGTCGAACGCTGAGCCTGAGTTCTACCGCAAGAGCGACGAGAGCATAAGCTATTTGACCAGATATAACCTGGGAGGATTGTAAAGTCTAGGCCGTTTGAAGACCTGGAATCGACGATTGGACGGTCCAAGAACTGTGCTCAATCCCGAGATCCGAAGAGAATCAGGCCGCTAGATTTGAATAGGCGGGATGTAAAGCGAGGCTGGCTGACATCAACTTCAACCGGATCCTCTGACAGGCGCTGGGTTGCTCAGAATGTGGCGCTCGTCTAGGGCACCCAATCTGGGCTCAGCTTACAAGCAACATACATTGGTCAGGAATGAGAACAGAAAATCCTGATGTAAGTTCAAATCTGGCTGAGCTAAGGGCTCTAGATCTGGTTACTACGAAAAGAAACAGGTTTTCTGCGTCTCTCCTCACGCAGTCTTTTTCCCTCCTTCAATCATTACCGTTTAAGGCTTTCCAACTGCCGCTCAGGTATTGACGACACAATCCGGTAAGAAGACGGGACGGTCCATAAGAGCGATTGGCCTTGGGTTCTGACCTCCATTTTTGAGTTATCAGGGTGACCCTCGGTGTCGGTTTGCTTACCTCATCATATCCGTATAACCAAACCCGAGGCGTCTGATAGTACTTGTCGTACCTGCGCATAACCAAAAACGTCAAAGGCCGCACCGACAGAACGAAGCCCCCCGGTACGGATCGGCTTCGTTCCAACTTCAACATGAAGCTTGTTAAAAGCTTTGGGGAATCATGGGGAAGGCGAAGAATTGCGTATGGAGGGTCTCATGACGACAGCAAAAACAACTCAAAACCGCCTGCGCAATCGCTCAGAACTCGGAGAAAGCGGCGCTCCGCGGTTTGACGAAAGTGCGGCACACAGAAGCTGAGCCCAAGTCCTCACGTGATGCTTAGATCGTAGGTGCGCGTCCGGAGGATGTTCTCGTCGCCCGGCTCCTCGGCTCGCAAGTACGGGATCTGAAACGTCGCCTGCATTCGAACCAATCAACAAGTCATGGTCAGTCCTCCATGGTTAAAGTATAGTAAGTGCTGCAACTCTTCTGCCACACATGCCAGTAAGATCGGCCTGCAACTGAACAGAGGTAAAAGTAAAGACGGAAGAAACCGCTTCTTGAGCGAGATTCTGAAAGGCGATCGGTTGGCGTTCTGAACGCTCGGATTCATGATTAGGCGCAGGCGCAACAGGTGTCTGGCTCGGACTCCGCAAAATCATTCAAAGTTTCTGGCGCAACGGACCAGATCAATCTACACGATCTCTGTAAAAAGGCCTTCGCTTCGACCTTCGATGTCAAAGCCTACGTTTTTCTTTGCTGCAATCTCCGCAATTACGACAACACTCGAACATTCCACTGCTTCATAGTTTGTCTTGCAACGGAGCAGATCAAGTTCGTCCTACAAAGGACACATTTCAAACTGAGGAGGCCTCGCTCCGAGCTTCGGAACAGCGACATCGCGAGTTCGTTTTGCTAAAATGATCGCGGTTTGGAGGCCTTCGCATGCGCAATTGGCTTCGAAGTTCTTTTTACAACGGTCCGAAAGAAAAGCTGAGTACGAGACGGCCTTACTTTCGACCTTGGAACTCAGATAATGCAGATTTTGAGTGACCCAACAAGGCGAAGTAGACAACGATCCCTTTCACAGCTCACCGCATCATCTTCAACGAGATTGTTGTCGTCCTGAAACTCGTCCATGTCGGGGACCTCATCCTCATCGTCCGCTTCTGCAGCGCCGCGAGACGGGCCCGCCTTGGCTTCCTCCTTCGGGGCCTCGGTCGACGGCCCCTCCATCGACGGGATCTCGCCCTCGTCTTGTCTGGTTTCTGAACAAACAACCGGAACGTTTCTAGCTGAGTACAGATCCCCCTGGTCAAAGTTACGTTGTCCGTGTGGTTTCTTAGACTGTAGGTGTGCATCATGGGAAACCTTTGTTGAGGTGTGATTCATTCTCAATCACTGAAAGAGCGCACTTCTTAGACGGAGATCACAAAGACGTCATTCCTTTCAAGGTGACGTCATCGTTGATCTTCAAGACCTGATCAAATCCCAGTAAATCCCTACTTCTGCTTTCCAAAGCTTGGCCCAGGTTTTACAAGCACAACAGCTCTTGCAATCCGACCGCAGTGTTCATGGTCGGCCTTTCTACGGCTAGTTTTTAAAAATTATATGGCCCCATTTAATCTCAAGAAGAAGAGCCTATGTTTGCATTTTCAGAGATCACAAACGCACCGTGAACAAAGTCACGCTTTTGAAAAGGCTCACACTTTTGCGAAGGCTCACCCCTTCAGAATAGCTCACCTGACGCTGCGCCGTGCGTGGCTAGCCAGCCCTCCTCGCCATCCTCTCCCATCATCTGCTCCGTCTCAGTGGAAGGGTCCTCTTCCATCGTATGCACCCGCTTGAAGCATGGGACTGCACGAAACCAGTTGTCAGGCCAAAAAGTCCAGTAAATGGTCACTGGAAACGGAAACGTTTCATTTGCACAGTCAATATTGTGTTGATTTGAACTGGATAGACTGTATTGCAGACCACATGCGAGCGAAGACTGTGGTTTGGTACTTCAACTACAGCCTGCTAGACGTGACAATCCTCAGAGCACAAACTAATGAACTGATCACTCCATCAATCGACCGCAGCCTTGCAGACGGTGTAACCCCACGGTTACAAGTCCATAACACCGGATAATAAGCTACCTAAGAATCATGTTTCCCAAATGCTCGCAACAGACCAATGTAGAGCATGAGGAGGGCAAAGTAACTCAGGATCCCCCAAGCCCCTTCTGTATTGGACACAAACAAGCAAGTAATAGACTTCAACCCCCCCCTCCCTCAGACACCCCGCACTTCAACCAGCAGAAACATGCGGACTCGACATCAGATCCCAGTCTTACCGTTGTGTGTAATAAGGAACTGCTTGTTTGGAGGTAAGTACGGCTTGCGCTTTTCAGGCTCGCCCGCATCCCTGCTCAGACAAGAAGATAGTAATTGGGTTTGTTTGCCTGGTTGTCTGCTCGATAACATCGTAGCCCTTCCGCTGATTAAAGTTTAAAACCTCCCACCAATCCGTCATGACCCAAGATCTCAATGCCAAAAAAGTTGACTAGCGCCAAACACAGATCACAAGGACGACACTGGGGACATGTATAATCTGGTCATAAGAAACCTTCGCTTGCACCAGCTTAGGGGGCTCAGGGGGCTTACTGTCTTTGAACAAGCACACCAACTCGGAACAAAGTGCAATCCTTCTTCGACCATTGATGTTGCAAAATCATAATCCGAAAATGCCCACAGTAAAGCGAATCAGCTCACAAGCAAACCATGTCTCCTCATTATTGCTAAGTACTCTATCCTATCTTGCAGAACTTCTTACAAGTAGGGAACACATCAGAGCTACCCAGAGGATCTTTGAGACACAAAAGCTCCAGGATCATGTGATCGGTTACGCATTCCCCTGAAATAAATCAGCATCTTACCATAGCCATGTTGGGCACTTGTTCACAAGGTTGTCGCCAGCCTCTACAAACTCTTCTGGCGTCAGCACGCCCTTGCTCCTGAAAGCAGACACCGTCCTGGGAGGGGTGACCGACTCGTATACTCCCACCCAGGTATCGTGCAGCTTCTGTTTGAGAGACATCTTGCGTGCCGCAACTTGTACTTTCCAATTCCTGAACGGCGTATTTCTTTGTGGGAAGATGTTTAATTTCAGGAGAAAATGTAAGTTACAGAATGACAAGGACACTCATCATCCTTTTGACAACCAAGCTGCCAGTACTCGGGCGATCGACCAATCTCAATGGCGCCCCTTCAACCTGTGCTTGCCCCTCGGGAACTTGGCAATGGAAGCTGAATCGCTGTCGAAGACGACAGTCCCTAATTGCCTTGCCTGGTCACGTGCTTCAAGTTGTTGCTCTCTTTCCCTCTAGAGCGAAACCCTGGCCCTGACCCTGGCCCTGAGACGAAAGAACCGGGAGTGCCGTAGTCGGTGTTACCGTAACTTGGTTGATAACCCTTAGGCTTGGATCACGGGTCCTACAGTCCTTTGCAGGAGGCTTCAACTCAGCAACTAATTCCGGGTTAAGTCACTACCGTCAAGTTGCTGGTCGGGGGTACCTTTCCCGGGCTTGCCATTCCTGGAGCGCCACGCAAAAGCAGCTCTCGCAGAGCAATCTCTCCCTCTTTCAGGCTGGGCTCCTTGGCAGCCAGTCCTTGTGCAAGAGGCGCTTCTGCAGGGGGCTCTCAGGTTGCAATCATGGCTGACGCGCCAGCAGGCGACCGCGGGGGCTTCGGCCGGGGCTTCGGCGACCGGGGTCGCGGTGACAGAGGCCGTGGCGACAGGGGCCGCGGCGATAGGGGCCGTGGCAGGAGGGGGCCCAAGAGAGAGGAGGAGGAGAAGTGGGTGCCTGTGACCAAGCTCGGGAGGCTGGTGAAGGAGGGAAAGATCAAGTCCCTGGAGCAGATTTACCTCTTCTCTCTCCCCGTTAAAGAGCACCAGATTGTGGAGTTCTTCCTGGGCCCTGCGCTCAAGGACGAGGTCATGAAGATCATGCCTGTGCAGAAGCAGACCCGCGCCGGGCAGCGCACGCGCTTCAAGGCCTTTGTGGTCGTTGGCGACAGCAACGGGCACGTCGGGCTTGGTGTTAAGTGCTCCAAGGAAGTTGCTACTGCCATCCGGGGCGCTATCATCCTGGCTAAGATCTCGGTCATTCCTGTGCGGCGGGGCTACTGGGGGAACATGCTCGGAAAGCCTCACACTGTACCCACCAAGGTGAACGGCAAGTGCGGGTCGGTAACGGTGCGGCTGGTGCCTGCGCCACGGGGGTCCGGGATTGTCGCTGCCCGTGTGCCCAAGAAGGTGCTGCAGTTTGCCGGTATCGACGATGTGTTCACATCGTCTCGGGGGTCCACCAAGACGCTCGGAAACTTCGTCAAGGTGGGTTGGACTGAAGCTGATTGCCTGTAGGTTCAGTTTGACAAATTTAAATTGCCGCGGCGCAATTGCATGGAAAGCTATGAGACCTCGGTAAAGGTTACCAGACTAGCTTCGATGGCGCATTGTTGCACCTTGTTGGTCTGGGAATTGCATTGGGGCATTGGGAATTGTTGCAGAGTGCATTCAAGGGTTTAATGGCTGGAGTGGTAAAGGTTTTCGTCGCAAGTTCAGAGCCCAATTTGGGAGCTTGATGAAGTGTCAGAGGGCTTTGAATGGAAAAATTGGCAATGATTGGTATAGAGACCATGCAACAGAGACCATGCAACCGTGGACTTTGTATGTTATAAAACATGGCAATCACTTTTGATACATTGCTGGAGCTGCGCTTCTTTCAACAGCCTGGATTCTTCTTTAAACCCTTTTTAGACGCGTTGACATTTCTCATAAGCTGTTGAAGCCTCCCTGTCGCTGACGGTACAATGAACACTCGGAAACTCTCTACGTCAATCCAAGATGCAGTGTTCTTCGAGAGCACTGCACTTGTTGGACAGTCAGTGCGCCAGCTAGTCATTGGAGTTTTGAGCGCCAGATTGTTGCACGCCTAACAGTAGGGAAGACTGTGCTGCTTATGGTGCCCAAGTGTGTGTGGACAGGGCTCACGTACTGCAGCGGTGTTAGGTTAACTGAAAAGTCGCGAGCTTTCCTGTGAAAGTCACATACGTCTGAAAACAGTTAAAGAAGGCTCTTGCAAAAGTCTAGCATGGTCGTCCCGTTTTGCTGGTCTGCTGTGGATGGTTAGGTTCAGTCCGCAGTTGTCAGAGGCGTGCTCTCGCTGGGCCCAGCGGATGGGAAGCATGTTTTGCTGTTGTAGACTAGTTCTAGGAATCGGCTTCTCCTCCGGTGCATCTGGAGTGCCTGCGGTGGCTTTTACAACAGAAGGAGGATCTCGCAGACTGCAGATTAGCATTGTTGTCGTGTGGGACCGTTTTGAAACGTGCGTGGCAGTATTGGGAAGCGGTAACTCATACACTGTCCAGTTTGCTGCGGAGTCTTTTGAATGGAGAATTTCGTGACTGGTTCTGGGGTAGACAGACAATTAGCAAGAGAAGCTTGTCGAGGTGGTATTCCTTGAGATGTGCCGTTGAACCGGGCGAGGAATTCGCGAGCCATGTTCAGAGTCGGGGGTGGGCAAAGTTGACTATGAGCGATTATGTTCAGTCAAGACCAACCTGGTTCATGGTGTCTTTTCTGGAGGCGCGAGCCTTTCTCATCCTTCTTTTTCTATGCGTCCTGTTGCGGATGCGGACTTCTGTCTGCATACAAGCAATCGTGGATCAGACTTTCCATCAGTCATAGGGCAGTCGAGCTAACCTGAAGTCCGTCTCTTTTCTCCAGGCCACTTTCCAGGCCCTTCTCAAGACGTACTCCTACCTCACCCCCGACCTGTGGCGCGAGACCCGCTTCGTCAAGTCTCCTTACCAAGAGTTCACTGACTTCCTGGCCAAGCCCAACAAGATCGCAGTCATTGAGGACCTTGGTGTCGAGAAGAGCGCCTACTAGGCGACACGCTGCTTTTTGTGAGCAACGCGCAAGGAGGACTGTCTGATCGTACTTCAATTGTATTGCATATAAGGTTGCAAGCTGCGTCGATCATCATAGAATGTTCCAGCATGTATTTCGCACGAGTAGATGTGGCAGAAGTGCGGCGTGCTTCAAAGCATGCCGCCCTTAAGCGCATGCCGGGTTCATATCTGACCCAGAATGACTGCATCTATGCTTCATATGTGTGTAGGTTGTTCGAATCTGAATTAAGGAACATCCACGCCATATGCAGCAGCTTGCTCAGTGAGCGAAGTTGGTTAAACCTTCAAGTAGCTTGGTGTCCAGCATCCGACGTTTGTACGCGACGCCCAACGGTCATCAATTATATCGACCTGTGGTAGGCATGGGCAAACTCATGTGGGGGCACTGCGGCAAGTAAACTCTGAACATGATATATAATTGCATATGCAACCATGTGACTACCTCTTTCATTGGTCCAACATGCATGATCCTGCATGTAAGCATGGTTCAATGAACTACGGCAGCCATTGAATCGATCAGCTCGTGATCATGAAAGATTACCGGTTGCTGTTTGTTGGCATGAGGGCGGCCGGGTCGTGTTTAGGTACACATGTGCCATGCATGTGTGGCTCAGTTGGTCGAACTTACTTTGTAGAGCAGCTGTCAGGTTGGGCAGAGCCTGGTAAAGCCTTTGCATGATCCGTTCAATTCGTTGACCGTTGAACGAGCCAATCTTGAGGACTGGCTGAAGGCCCTAGGCTTGCATACCGACAGAAAATCGTAAATTCCATGACTGATAACGTCACTTCCCATTCGAGCTACAGTAGCAGTACTTCCGCTGTGAGCATTACATCCCTGGTCGTCTGATGACGACTCGACTTGGATCTGGTGGTCTGCTTTGCATTCTTCCGATTCTTTGAGGGGGCCAGAGAATGTGCGACACCCGTCCTTCTAACAACGCTAGTGGCACCTGCAAGAGTGTTCCTGAGGCACGTCAGGTGCCAATATCCAAAGACGGCAATCGGAGCCCTTGTTTCATTGCGTCAAAAGCAGCATGACTGAACGGTGACTTCGCACCCACCATATCGTCTCAAAAAAGCTGTAGATGGGTCCTCAAACTGTGAGAGATATGGACGGCTGACCACCACTGCTAGCTCCATCGAACCGACTTTGAATCCAAAGCTTCGAAGCCAACCGTTCGGTCACGGTGTCGGATTGACCCTGAAAGCCAGTGAGCGATCTTTCTAAGAACCAGTCGCTCACTGACCAGGCACAATCTGGTTACGAAATCAGGCATAATTTACAGAAATCAACATGCAACAGAAGTCCTTCTCCTTCCCAGCGGCTTCGCTTAGTAATACTGAAAGCAGACTTCATTGAACGGCTAGGGGTGTTTCGAACTTCGTTTCTATGACCGACTTGCTGAGAACAGAAAGGAAAGACACTGGATGCTATTAACAGATTTGGAGCGGCCAATCTTTGACACGTGGCTTCTATATCCTATGGTATATGAGCAGACGAAAAAGTATCTGACAAGAAGGAACAGACGTGGCCGGATAAAACCAGCATATCAAGTTACAATCGTCACCATTCGAAAGAAGACCTGTCTGATTGAGTTGAAAGCAACTAAGCTCCTTTCATCAGTTCACATCAACAAAGCCTCAACGACCCAGGATAAGTTGAATCACAACATGCTTGTACTGCCTCTTAGCCTAGAGAAGCTCTCCGATCAAGTATGCTGACACGTTGACTGTCGAACTGATCAGATCATGGCCGACATGGACTTGCTAAGCCTCCTGAAACTCCCGAAAGAGATGGATATCACAGATATTTTTAGTACAAAGGACCAAGGGAACAAAGCACTCACCGCCCCATACTCCCTGGAGTCACTGCTGGCAGCAGCGTTGTCCCCTTCCACCCAGCACTTGCCGTCTGGGATGCGGGTCATGTCTTGGGTTTCAGGATTGCTGACCCAATCGCCCTGGAGGCCAATCAGCCGCTTCACCAGAAACTCGTTCGGCCGATCTGGCGCTCTGCAGAGGGAGAAGCCGTTCTTTGAGACGAAGATGAGGACCAAAGAAGTCAACAATAGACCTCTAAGAGTAACCAATGATGTAAGCATCGACCCGTGCCCTCAAGTTGTACAAACTCAATCAGGGACCGCGATCTCCTTCATTTGAGAGGCTGTGGTTGTGTGGAAGCCTTCTTTCTACAGCGTTTCGCTCGGTGACTGAAGTCGAGAATCCTACTCAGTGCCCAGCGATCTCTGGCTGTTCTTTCCAAGCGAGCCAGTGGTCGAGCAGGCTCAAGCAAGTCTTGGCCTCGGTGGCTTCTTCATCAAGCTCTGTTTCGTTTCTTCGTGGCGACAGAAAAACCCACGCCCAGCAAGGCTCCCTATGGGCGTTACAAGTGACAGTAGCAGCGATGACCCTAGTGGCAGAATGGATGCCATTCCGAAGTCGAGAGCGTTTTGACCCGTTGAACTGCGTTCACCACTACCCATAAGGAAGAAGTGTGTGACAAGTAGATACCCGGATTGAATCTGACCACAAACAAAAAAAGTTCCAAAGGGAAGTCACCCCACCACCGCGCATCGGCGGCCGCAAAGTTGCTTCTACAGATTGAGCTCCTCCCAGAGAGCCTCCTCTTCCAGGACTCACCTCAACACAACGACGTCGCCCCTGCGATACTTGTACCCCCACACACTGAGCTTATCCAACAAAATCCTGTCCTCAAAAGTTCGGTCGGGTGGGTTCAACGTTGGTTGCATAGACTCTCCGTGCACCGTGAGCCCCCCCGCAACAAGGTCATTGAATGTGATGATGATTGGCGTCACAATGGCGACCTGTTTCACGAATTGCCAGACAGAATCTAAGACTCTCGACATCTCCAAGCGCAGTGGCGCACCTTGGCGCCCTTTTTCTAGCCAGCTCACAGCAAGCAGGTGAAGCCTGCTCTGCAGTTCAGAAGGCGCGCATTTGCAGCTCGGTCGTTTGGCAAGAGCAAACCCTAAATCCTAATGCACTGTTCCTTTTACCTATGGGTTTAATGTCTAGGTTATGAACACAAACCGATGAGGAACTTGGGATCTAATATATGAGCCGTACGATCTCACAGCGAGAGTCATCCAAAGGCCCTTTAAATCAGGTTTCAAAAGACAATGTGGTTAAACAAGAGCAGCTCAGCCGTGCAATGCAGGCCAACATGTCATTGTTACGTACCTACCCACCACACAAAAGCAGACCTTTCTGCTTTTCTGCTTTTCTGCCCACATTTTGCCTTTCTCTTATCAAAAGCGCTTCAAGTTCAAGCATAATCTAGAGGAGTCTCTGCTTCGGTCTTTAGGCGCAGGCGTTGGTGATGCAGAGCGTTGCGAAGTCAGGTGCGCTGCGCACTGGGGCAGGCGCCCTGCTTCAAGGGGCGGAGCGCTCCGACTCTTTGGCCAAGTCCACTGGGAGGCCCTTCGCTTTCCTGCGGAGTTCGTCTTATTTGCGCCAGGGTAAGTGTGCATGCTACTCGGTCCAGCTCAACACTGTTATAGATCTGCATGAGGGCTCTGTGCAACAAGCTTTCAACCTGTCAGCAGCTGCATTACAAAACATGAGTACACAACATTTCCCCTTCAATTCATTAGACGAAGTCCCGCCCTCTGAGATGCGAATGCCAGACAAGGAGCTTGAGACGTCGTGCTGCATTCTACTAAAACCCTTTCTAAGCTTTCAATAGACTCAATAGCTGCTTATCATCAACGTCCTCTTCAAGTCATCTAATGGCATTTAGTGAAGAAATTTGGCCAGAGAAACTCATCATCATAACGAATGCTACACTTGTCAGCTGTTGGGAGCAAGCTTGACAACTTAGAACCATGAACTATCATGTCTAGGAAAGGACAGGAGTTAAAAACCGCACAAGGGATTCTGAGGTTCTCAGAATTGTTTGCCAGCCATCCCTGAAAAAAGGTAATCTGAGTAGCTGCTGTCTACATAGAGCAGTGCACTTTTTGCCTGCAGGTCAAGGGGGTGCTGCACAACTGCATAGGGAAGTGGCACCGCTGAAGAGCCAGCCTAGACAGGCATCTCGCGGTGCGGCTACCGCAATGGCGGCCGCCGTCTCTGCACCGGAAGGTGAGGCGGAGCTACTTTAGAGATTCCTAACGAGGAATATCCCATACAACCGTGTCTGCATAGAAAAGTTCCTGATAGACATGTTTTCTTTTAGAAAGAGGTATTTTATCAAAAAGAACCATCGAACAAAAGAGAAAAGATGTCTTTTCTGTATTTTAGGCTGATTGCAAAGTGCACACTTCTTCGATACATTCCCAGCTGCGTCCAACAATTAGTCTTCCTACCGGGTAACATTGATTCTTTATCTTCGACGCAGCCACCGGTGCGGCCCCTTATCTCGATGATCCAGCCAGCCTCATTGACAGCGTAAAAACCTTCATCTTTGACTGCGACGGTAAGCCCAATACTTCGGCCATCGCGGCTCTCTTTGACCTGCATTTAGTGAGCTTGAGGGAAACTCTGTCTCATCTGCTCTCCTCCTGATGTGGAGTAGTAAGATGCACAAGCTTGCTTAATAAAGGAAGTCAGAAGTGCGCTTTTCTGATCAGCAGAGGAGGTATGTCTATTCTGGTTAAGTAGAGGAGTCATGCATGTCTCCTATGGCACAGTTTAAGATGCTCAAATCATGTATGAGCTGAATGACTTTTAATCATGTATAAGCTGAATGGCCTGTCTGTCTCAGCAAGATTTCGTCCGTTTCAGCAAGAACTCTCCCAAAAGCCCTGCTCACTTTGCCTGAAAGGTATCCAGACTCCTGATATCAACTGCCTGTAAAGTGTGCTGAGACTTTTGCCGGAGCTGATGGAGAGTCCTAGATTAAAAAAGTCCCGCCAGTCAGAAAGGGTGTCTTGCTAATCATGATGCGCTCGGGCCTTCCTTGGGCCAGGCGGGGCTGATCAGCAAGATGCTATCATGTAGTGACGTACTGAAACTACGTACTTGTCACCAGGGGTCATCTGGAAGGGCGAGTCATTGATTGACGGAGTACCTGAGACGCTGGACAAGCTAAGGGCTGCAGTGAGTGTACCTCCCCGAGTTCCTTACTTGACCGCTCCCACGTAGCTGATAACATTCGAAGATGCCTGATGCTGTGGGTGAAAAGTAGTGAGCAGAACGGCTGCGCCGCGGCGGCCAGCAGGAGCAGTTTGCAAGGCGTAGTGAGGAGAGGTCTGGAGGCAGATACTTCGAATGGACCAGCTTTAAAAGCAGTTTGCAACGCCCAAACCCATCGAGATGTGGACTATCCAATTGCAAGGCCTTTCAAAGCAGCAAAGCTAGTCGTAATAGTCTCTCCATTCGAAGTCAAAGGGTGGCATACCTAAGTCGAGTGGGTGGAGAATGCTGAGAATCCAACAATTTGTTGTGGTTGCAAGGCTATCCTTGCCTAAGCTTCAACTCAAATGCTGTTTTTTCTCGTCGAACACATTGAGCCCCAATATTTATTTCTGGGTAAGCTGCTGAAATTCCTAAGTTGTGCTTGATAAGTCGCCTTTCGAAGGTCCATACACTTTGATCCTAAATGGACCTATCAAGGTCCACTCTGCATGTCGAGCGGTCTGCAGTTCAATATCAAGCACGTTTCGAGCTCTTGCAAACTCTGTCTCCAATCGGTTGGTTCTTTTACGGCAACGCGCTGGGGGTCACTTCGTCAGCTGCCCAAATTTTGCGCGTAAAAGTTTGATGACGCAGGACCTACGAGTACCACAGTACGAAGCTCTGAGGCTAGCTTCTCGACTGATACTGCGTAAGATGGATAGTATCGAGGATTTGGGAACCGTCCCATCTCACTGACTACTGCGGCCTTATTGCTCGGTGTGCAGGGCAAGAAGCTGATCTTCGTCACCAACAACTCAACCAAAAGCAGGAAACAGTACATGAAAAAGTTCACCGACCTGGGGCTCAGCGTCACGGAGGTAAAGCAGCGTACGCTCGTTTCTCGAACCTTTCCAACAAGGCCTGAGAGTCTGAATCAAAGCTGTGGCAGCTGGCAAGGAGGGGCCTAACGCTAAAAGAACGATGAGAAAAGGAGTAATAGCTGGGTCCGAGTCAGTTTATCTCATGATCTGCAGAATGATCACGGTGGGCCACGGCCGTGGGAAATTGCTGTTGCAGATTATGCAGCCATACGTCGAATTGCTGTTGAAATATTGATATCCTAAAGAGGGGAAGCCGCCGTTGAAAGGGCTGCTCACAGGCGGGTGCTCTTTACTGGGACCTCAACTAGGACTTACAGCTTTTGAACTGAAGCCCCAAAGGGTCTTCAAAGAGAGCTTCGGAGCCCGCCCTTCTAGGTCGCCTCAAAAAAGTGCCTGCCGCACTCGAAGGAAGGCTCTTGTCAGTCTAAGCACGTGGCTGAACATCAATCTGCTCCCCCCTCCCAGGAAGAGATCTTTGCATCGTCTTTCGCTGCTGCCGCTTACTTGAAGGGCATCGGGTTCAACAAGAAGGCGTATATTATTGGCGAAGTGGGCATCCAGAAGGAGATGGACATTGCGGGCATCTCCCATCTGGGTGGGCCGGTGAGTTACTGACGCAGCTTCGTTCAACCTCGTCGCCGTTGACTATGAGCACGTTCCAGGCAGTCACATGCACTCCAAGAGAAGCAACCGAGTGACTTACCTATTCCGCGATCTGAATGGGTCGTTACTAAAGAATTGAACCGTCAACTACGGTTGTAGGGGAGAGGAAAGCCCGCCGAAGCCACATCAAATGAGTCTCGCGAGAAGTGGCATTTAGCAGCGGGATCAAAACTGGGTCTTGCACAGAGTAGCGGTTGGAGAATTGAGGGGCCCTGATGTCGAGCACACCGAAGCTAGGGTTTCTCGCTTAAGTGCTACGTTGAGAGCGGATACCCTTTCTTGGAAGTTTGCGACCCAGAAAAGCTTTCAACTTGAACTCTCCCCTCGGATGAGGGCAGCGGTCGGACCGTGTGATGTTGTCATGAGTGAATACATCAAGACACATCCGACTGTACACAGAGGCTTTAGGATTCAAACCTATGGATCCCCACAACCGGTCGCTCCGATAAGGATGAAACACAATCCCGACTTTGGTCTCGAGTCCCTTACGTTCTCAACTCTTAACACGTCACCCGGGCGCTTCTGCTGACGTCGGACTTCCTTAGCTCAGGAGGACGGCCAAAGCACAATCACGATATGGGTCCTAAAACCCTAACATTGTGAAACCTACGGCCCTACACTCTCCTTTTCCTCGGTAATTTTGCTGAACGCCATACTTTTTCTGCGCAGGAGGACGGCCAAAAGACGATCGACCTGTCCCCCGGAGTAATGATGGAGCACGATCATGACGTGGGCGCCGTCGTGGTCGGCTTCGACCGTTACCTCAACTACTACAAGCTGCAGTATGCCACGCTCTGCCTGCGCGAGAACCCGGGCTGCCTGTTCATCGCCACCAACTGCGATGCGGTCACTCACCTTACGGATGCGCAGGAGTGGGCCGGTGAGCGGGGGCCTTGCCGTTAACCGCCCTTGTTGTTTGTCGAAGTGGCCAGCCCGTTGAATTTTTGGCTTCGGTCTTGGAGCAATATCACACCACACCTTGTGCGAACATTCGAGCTGGCTGTTCGTTGCTACCAACTGCAATGCGGTTACCCACCTCACGGATGGGCCGGTGAACAAGGGAGTCGCCATTATCCGCTCGCTTACTTATCCGGGTCTCTCGATCCGGCCAGTTCGTTGAACAGGAGATTTGAAGCTTTTATACATCGCATCTTGTTCGTGTGTTTCGGCTGCTTCACCAACTGCGACGCAGAGACGCATCCAACCGATACGCAGGCAAGGACCGGTGACTATTGACACGAAATTGTGCCTGAGGGCTTCTTTGCCCTGGCCTCTCAGTAGACTTTGCGGTGTCTGGTGTTAGTCGCTGTTCTTATTCGAAGGGGAAAGCCCGGGCTACCTCTCCGGTGCTCCTGGTTTTACCCTCGTGGCAATGGAGGATGCGCAAGAGTGGGTCGCAATCACGACAGTATTGGCAGCCGCTTACGGAAAGTTTGAACTTTGAAAGAGTGATTTGAAAGCGACACTGTCTGCATGTTCCCATACGCAAGGCAACAAGATGGGACCCTGGCAAAAGGACACCCTACTCAAACTCCGATTCACGGCGAGTCTAGGCGCCACGCCATGCAACCAAGAGCTGGCATTTTAGCAACAAGGGGCGTCCAAACGGTCTCTGAAAGATCAGACATTCTCTTTTGGCTGCTAGTCGAGAATTGGCTGCATTTTTTGGTTAGCAGCCACAAATTTCGGCTGCTGACCAGGCTGATTACTGGACTTGACTCTCATTGGCCAAATAGTCGGGCTTTTAACCTGGCTCCAAGGCTGGTTACCGCCCAAGTCTGGTATTAATGCTTAAGCGCTCTTTGACCAGTGCATAATCAGCCCACACCTTGGTGAAGGGTCAAGACTTTCCTGTGATCGCTTAAGCTGTCGAGCTACGTTACCGAAGATGCTCACTTTGTCTCTCGTCTTCACCATTGCAGGAGGCGGCTCGATGGTCGGGGCCATCAAGGGGTCCACTAAAAAGGAGCCATTTGTCGCTGGGAAGCCATCCACGTTCATGATGGACTGGATTGCCAAGAGGTGAGCCGGCCTTAAGACTTCTTCGAGCAGGATTTCATCTGTTTGAATTCGGCGTTTACTGCTTAAGCAGTAGTTTACTAACGAGCAGAGAATCACTAAATTACGTCGAGGGAAGTTTTGTCGGCCGCGTTCAGACGTCTGACTTACTATTAGAGATGACTTTGTCAGATGTTGTTTGGACAAGAAGTAAGCATTGTTCCTTTCAAGTGATTACGAGAAGGTTTCAGATGTTAGTTCAGCTTCCTGTTCAAATTCTCCTTTGGTTTTGACCGACTGCCCATTGGATCATGGAAGAATGGTCGAAGATGGACCCCAATCGAGGTTAACTCCGATTCTGCCGAGTCTTAAGAGAAATGAAGCTTTTGAGGACCAGGGAAAGGCGCAGTATGATGGATCAAAGAACCTGTTCTCCTCTTCCCGCAGCTATGGCATCGACAAGTCCGAGATCTGCATGGTGGGCGACCGTTTGGACACGGACATTCTTTTCGGACAGAACGGCGGCTGCCGGACGCTGCTGGTCCTGTCCGGGGTCACAAACCTCAAGACCCTGCAAAGCCCCGACAACCACATACAGCCCGACTTTTACGCCAACCAGATTAGTGATCTGCTTGGCGCCAAGGCGCCTGCTGGCGTGGCTGCCTAAGCGCGTTTTGCTTGTGGCCTTCTGAATTACGGGGGAAGGGGACCCATGGTGTTGCCAATCGTTGAAATTGGGCTGTAAGCCCTGAGGTATTGTATCAGCATTGTGCTTTGCCGCTAGCATCTGGCTATGCTATCACCGTCCAGGTGTTTAGGTCTACTGCGCGTAGAAATGGCAGTCTGCACCGCGAGATTGACGTCTTTGGACCAGAACCTCAACTTGTCAAGTTTACTTTGGTACTGTATATCATTCTTCATTTGTCAAGGAATCTGATGCCCGCAAGTTCATGCCCAACGTATTGCACTTTCAAGCGGTTTCTTTTTGTCAAAAGACTCTGCCTCTTTACATTTCCGAGGGTCAGACGCTTTCGAGTATGTTGGACATGACAAGGAATTGATCGGGTTACATAAGAACAACCTACATTTGTGAATGACATGCGGAGTTATGCAATTGCTGAACCGTGCATTTGGCAGCCGGAATGCCGGATATCATACAGTCGAGTCACTGGCATGCACCTAGTTACACCTGCCGCGGTCATCCACGTTGTATAGGTCACTAAAAGTATGAGGAGCATGAATGATGAGCAAGAATCTGTGATGTGATAGGAAGTATCCATGAGCAAGCTTTGAATATAAGTTTTCTTACATGCGTTAAAATATGCCGCCGCTTGCAGGCCCCATGCGCTACTCGAATCTCTCGCACCATGAGCCGCGCACACCTGGTAGGAATGTTGCATTGAACGGCAGCATTGAGTAGTGCATGGCAGGCGTGAATAATATTATTCTTAGTTACGGTATACTGTACGTCGGTATGTGCGGTTCGGTATACTTGCAGGGCTTGCATTCGCAAACAGGACTTAACCTATAAGGTCCAAAACCCTCGAAGCGACCAGGGCTAATCACTGGGCCCGAGTACGGGTGCTTCACAACCAGTCACGCTCGAATAATGGCAACAAATGGCTCAACTTTCGGCGCTGTTTCGGCTGGTTTCGCCCCTGGAACGCCTCAATTCGCCCTCAATTCGCCCTCCACTTTCGGCTACGTTTCGGCTGTTTTCGGCCCCAATCCGCCGGCAATTCGCCGACAATTCGCCGACAATTTGCCTCCAGATCGGCGGAAACCTGCTGCCGAAACCCCGAAAACCGGTACCGAATCTTGCAAGTTTGGGTTGCGAATCGGTCCCACTCGGCTGGACAACCGCGCAGAAACCTGTGAATAAAGGCCGGCGGATCTTAAGCCCCCGCGTCGCGCTTCGGCTGGAGTGCCGCCCACAAAGCAGCGGAGGAACGGCAGATAATGGACACAGATAGGCCGCCGAACTGCGGCAATAATGGCCGCACAAGCGCCGAAAGTGCCCCCGAAGGCCTGGAAAGTTGGTGTCAGGACCGCGGCCATCTGTTCGAACCTGGCGCGGTCGGCGGGTCTGTTCCTGCGTCAATGTGCAAACACTTCGAAACGATATGTACAAAAAACGTCACATAACCCTCTGAACCGCGTCGCGATCTGGGTCGAACACCTCCCCCGGCTGTGGTACGAATGCGCTGCAAATCTGCAAACACTCCGCTGCAACTCTGCAAACACTCCGGCCCACATTGGTTGCAGATTGCTTCACAACCGCTGCCAATTGGCGGACTTCTGCCGCATTTCAGGCGGATTTCAGGTGGACATCAGGGTGTAAAACCGTACCCGGCCGGACGCAACCAGGTCACAGCCGGACACGACAGGGGACAAAACTCCTTGGCCCGCTTGCTGGTGCGGGACAAAACGGGAATTCCCGCAATCGCCCGAAAGTCGCTCTGAACCGTGGTATGGGCCCCTCCAAGCTTCACCAATTCCGGTCCACTGACGGGTCGACTTTGTCTCAAAACACCTGCGATTCCGCGCCGATTCTGGTAACCCAGACGCATCCAGAAGCGTCAAGTTGAGGCCCACCGTGCTATTGGATAGGCAGATACTGGACCCGACTGGCCTTCCTCGGGCCCCCCCACTCAGCGTGCGGGACAAACGGTCTCTCAATCAGTCGCCCGTCTTGAGGGCCTACGTCTCAGTTTCGCCGCTGGCGAAATCCTGAACTGTCTCATTTTCGCCGCTGGCAAATTAGTGGCGAAATGTCCAACTTTCGCGGCGAAATGCCCGAGTTTGTGCTGGACCCTGTCCTCGATCCAACCCAGACGTTGCCAAAGTTCCTTCGAAACACGGTGGCATTCCGTCCCCTTTCGGCCCACAATGGCGTCCCAGATCGGTCCCAAAGCGCCGAGCAAACGGCGCACGATCGGGGCACATTCCGGCCATATGCTTCTTAACAGACCAGCGAAACGCTCCGGAAACTCCCCAAAACCACTGCCAGTTGTGCGCCGATCTGCCACAAGTTGCTGCCGGGGTCACCTGACTCTGGGCCAAACACGGCCGCATTCTGCTGCAATCAGCCTCCAATTCGCCGCCGTTCTGCCCCCACTCACCGCTTTTTAGCCTCCGTTCAGCTTTGCCTCAGCTTCGATTCAGCCTCTGCTCCGTCTCGATTCGTCGCATGTCCGGGCGAACCAGCGCAAACATTTGTCTCTGAAAATGGCCCACAATCTGGCAAAATCGGCCTGAAACCCGTTGTGAGGGCGCACATCATCGATGCAAATGCACACGCCATCACCGTAACACCGGTCCGGCAACCCAACTCCACACTCTCAGCAGATCGGCAAGAATGGCGAGGAGATTGCCCCAAACCGGATCAAGGTTGGGCCTCCGCAGGTGCACCAAGGTGAGAGAAGTGAGAGGACCTTTGCCTCGGATCAGGGGGAAGATCAGGGGGAGAATTCGGGAGACCAGGGGGAACATCAGGTGGGGACCTTGGTCGAAACGGTGGACAAGTTCAGGCGGACATCAGGCACCGTCGGCTCTGACTTCAGGCGGACATCAGGCGGTGATTGCTCAGGGTTCAGGCGGACTTCAGCTGTGCCGCTGGACCCACTTCTGATCCAAAGCGGTGCCCACATGGGCTCCATGGCAAGCGCAACCAACTCTTCCAAGTGTGTCACTAATGCGCCCCTGAGGGTGCACATGTGCCCAGGAAGCGGCTCCAAACGGCCACCAAACGCCAGAAATTCGTTTGGCAAGCAGCCGGGGACTGCGCGGCGGCTAGTGTTGAACAGTGGAAAAACGCGGACCAAATGCGGTGGAAAACAGCCACCAGCAGGTTCTAAGTCAGGCTCCAAATGCTCGAGAATTCTGCAAGAAAGCTGGGCAGATTGGGAGTCGGATGGGCAGAAGAAACCCGGAAAACTGGTGCCCGACGTGCTACAAAACGCGGAAAACAGGCTGCCAGATTCTGGATCAAACCCGCCCTTTCCCCGTCATACACGTCGGCTGCTTCAACTTTCTGCTGGCCTGCTTCAACTTTCGGCTATCCTACTTCAACTTCTCCTCGGCCTCAACCCAGAATTTGCCTCCGAAGCGGGGCACAAAATCGGCGGCACAGGGCCGGAATCTCCTTCGGTTCTTTGAAGCGATGGACCCAAGCACTCGGGGCCCCTAACAGGACGGAGATTCGGTACGCCGGTCCCCTATTAACAGGACGGAACGATTACGGGGGCCAAATGTGCGACGATTAACTCCGCAGGAACGCAGTTTTTCCCCAGAAACATCGACTCCAAACAGCAGCGAAAGGCAGAACTTGGGCAGCCAAATGGACAACGATCTTGCTGCAAAACCGTGCGGCAAAAAGTCCGGAAAATCCTTTGAAAATTGCAGAAAATGAGGCTCCAAGGATTTGAGGCTGAGGCTTGAACGGCTGCCAGCAGTATTGGGCGTCACCATACTCGGCGCCTTTCATAATACGAGTGAATGGTTAAACTGCGTGATTACCGCGCAAGCTCATGGTGGCTCATGGGGTCTCATGGATGCTTTTGGGAATCGAGGGAAAACATGTTGCAACCATGTCAACGCTTAAATCGTGTGTCGGACAATGTCGGAAGCTCCGAGGAAAGCTTGGCGAGTGCGCATCATACAGAATTCCATATAGACGGACTCACAACCGACCTTTAGCATTTTCACCACGTCCAAGCAATGTGGGGCCGGACAAGTTGGTCGGAATTCCAACATGATTTGCAGCGGCCGGCCCCACCGGATGCTCGACACAGCGCGTCAGTCGTCGACTCATGTCGTGCTTCAGAATTATAGCTACGGATGCATGGCATGCATATCATTGCAATGTGCATGCACCGGGAGTCGATCATACATGCAGCTGCGCCGCAAGCGGAAGATATATATATGGCCTCGTACGTGGGGCACATATATGCATGGTACACCCGTGCTCGCCAATCCTGCGCCGGAGCGTTGAAGCATTCAGAATCGGATTGCATCGATCTTTCAGCTTTCGATATCGGCATTCGGGTAGCTATACTCCGGCCTAGCTTTGTAATAGATTTTCATATCCCGTCATGCAATTCCAACCTGGATGCACCATGCATGGCCTCTCAATACTCGGGTTGCACTTGCATGTATGTGGTTGGCAGATCTCAAGCTGCAAATGCTGGCGCGTAGAGTTGACGAAGTCGGAAGAACGCAGTCATGCGATTGTATCTAAACCAGATCAGAAATTGATAGTGATCAGCTGTACATAAGTACAGTCGGATGCAATTGGCCCACAGATACTTAAGGATAGAGGGCGACGTGATCGGGTCGAATCGATCATTGTCAGTGCCCTGAGCAAAGCATTAAGAATTTCAAGTCAGACATACCGCGACAAACATTCTGTGGCGAGTTTTCAGGGTTTTCAGGGTTTTCGCGACTCCCGCTAACCTCTTGATTGAAAACCCCGGAGTATTTGAATCTTTCCAAATCTTCTACCTTGTCGTTCCTGCTTCCGCCTTGTTGCGTCCTCTTCCGGTCGGTATGTGCAGAATCATTTGTCGCCTCTCACACCAAAGCAATAACGGCCGGGCTGGCAAAGTAATGCTTAACGACGCGTCCCTTCGTGACTCTCTCTGAGGGGCCACGTGGCACGTCGAAGCTGGGCCTTGCTGTTGCAACCGTTGATCTGATAGCTCGGACGCTCAGGTGGCCGTCCGATACCAAGGAGTCGAGAAAGTCGCGGCCGCTTTGCGGCGTCAGGACCTCGACTTGGGGCAGCAGCAGCTCCTGTAAGACGAACTTGTGAATCAAGTCAAATGGCGTCAATGATTGCTAGAGAACGGTACGCAATGTCTGATATCAGCAAGTCTCACAGATTGAGTTGAGCCAGGTTGAGATGCAAATTTCGAACCGGGAGGACGCACCAAAGTAAAACCCTAGATACAAACTTGCCCGCTTCGTGCCCACCTTAACCACCAACCTAATCCCACCCGTTTCCCGGACGCTGACCTATCTCAATCTAGCTAAATCTCAACCTAAAATCGACACTAGTCTATTGGGCAAATCATAGATTGCAAGCGGAGGGCACGCAAAGAGAGGCCTGAAGCGGGCTTGGACGCTTAATCACAGCCATCCCAAAGAAGGCTGAAATTTCTATCATAGTTTGTTGCATTCTCAAGTGCGGGGCTGCTAGATTGTGAGAGAAGACCACCTCTTCCATTCAGAAACCTGTTCTTCGGCCAGCCTTGTGTAACAGGTCCCTTCTACATAGTGGCAAGGCGAGAAGGACGATCTGCTCTGCTTCGCTTATCGTTAATCATCTCGCCACGGACTTCCGACGCATTCGTCGGGAGTGAAGTACTCCTTCCACGACCTACCTCGTAACTGATCTAAGACTTGTTCTAAGCGAACTCCAGAATTGTTGCGGGGATGTCTTCGCTCGCAAGGGTTTCGATAAAAGTAGGAATTTGACCATGAAACGGCTCTCACAGTTCCCAGATCGGCTGTTCCCACGCTGCACGAATCGGAAGATACGCCGCTTCGGCTCACCTCAGGGATGCCCGGGTTAGCCATCACCAGGCTCACAATCCTCCTCCTAAGCAGCGCACAAAACGCCCGGTTCATTCCGCCCCGGGGGGTCAGCCAGGGCTGAATTCCAACCCCCTGGGGCGGCCCCTTTCCGCCGCTCGGTCCTGGTGTGGGCTCCGCCACTTGCAACGGATCTCCGGAACCGCCACGTGGCAGCTGCTGATTGACGCCGTCCGAAGGGACTGGAAGGAGGTGCCGTTCCGAGAATGGTGCGGACATTATTCGGACGGAATCCACCGAGTTGATCTGCACAAGCAGCGGTGGGCGTGAGGCTTCGTTAACCCGACTTTCTTTTGTTGAAGCTTGCTTCATCTTTTTCAGAGCTGAACAGATTCTCGACTTTGATCATAATTTAAACCTGGGGTGATGTCATCAGATCCTGGATTATAAAACACAAGTGTCCAGGTAGTATTTTGTTCGCATTGATTGCATTGCTTCGGACACGTGGCGAACCCAGCAGTGCTTTGGAAACGGGCCAACTCTCAGGACGAAGTCCGCTCGTCCGCCAGTTCCTCAAAGGATTCAGTGAGTCTACCAGTATCATAATCAACGATACTCAGAGAAGACTGCGCCGATTTGAAGCGTTCGATTCCATACATTGACCCTCTCATCAACGCGATTCAACTGTCTCCCTTCACTTCCTGTTTCTCGAAGGGTACAGAAGCCTGTAGCCTTTCGCCTGCTTTTGTCTCTGGTGAAGACCTCTAAGAAAATCCGCGCCGGTCGGTCTGGCTCGCCTGAAGCCTCGTCCGGGCCCTGAACCCTCAGCCCGTGACCCTAACACTCGAACTTCCTCTCAACGAAAGATGGTCAAAGCCCATCAACGTCAGCTTTCTTTGAAAAGCTTTCTCAAACACAAATATGCAAAGTCCTTACCCGCTGCACCAAGTCAAACATCTCCAGTGCCTCCACGTAATCCGCCGCCCCTGCCCGGTGCCCATTCCCACCGCTTTGCTGCCCCGACACTTCCCGGGGGAGAACACCCGCCCCCTCCTGCCCCGCCAGGATCTCGCTGACGTCATCGAACGTCAGCCCCTCGTCCCCTGCTGCTCTCGCCGCCTCGAACACCCACCACAGGGCGCGCCGATCCAGGCACGGCCGTCCTGATGTCACGGTGACGTCATCGGAACACCAGAGGCCGCAGCACAGCTCGAACGCGGCCTCGACCTCCGCCCCGGCATGGGGCCCCGCATAGGACTGGGGGATCTTCAGGAGATTGCTGACGTCCGCAGCCGGAACGCTCACGTCAGCACCGCCTCCTGCAGCATCGAGTCCACCGTTCCCTTCCGCAGGCCCTGTTTCTGGGGCCGGTACTGGGTTGTCAGTCTGGGGCGCGACAGCCCCCAGAGTCGCTTCCTCGAAACGGGGCCCCGTGTCGACGGCTGGCAAAGGCCCTGGTATCGCCTCAGGTTCATGGGTCGCAGAAGGCCCTGTTTCTGTTCCCGCAAACAGTGTTGTCGCTGCAGATAGCCCCGTCTCGGTCGACGGCCGCTCAACACGGGGCCTCTTGCCACGACTTCCCCCATGCTCGTCTTCCTCCATCCGCCTCTTCCCCTTCGCATCAGTCGACTTTTCGAGTCCACTTTCCAATGTACCCGGCCCCCCTTCCTGCATTTCCGGTGCTCCCCCCTGGTCCGCTCCTTCCTTCCGCTCCCGTGATTCCGCCGGACGGCTCACTTCAGCCGCTTCCGGGGCCTTCCCGTCTCGCCGTCCCCTCCTCCGAGTTCTCGGCCCGCTTCCCGCGGCCTGCTCCGAAGATTCCGCTAGCGCTTCCTCTGACGGCCCCTTCTGTTTCTGGGGCGCTTCTACAGCTTTCCCGGCCGAGTATGACGCTTGCGCATCAGAAGCTCCCCCCTTCTCTTGAACTCCTGCCAAACCGTGGTCCAAACCGGCTGGCAAACCACCCTCCAAACCTTCCGAACCCTTCGTTAACGCTTCCACTCCGTCCGACCCCCTTATCCGAATGCCCAGCTTCCACTCCGGCGGCCCCCGCTCTCTGGGGGGACCGTTTTCCAGGCTTTCTGACCCCCACGGAGCGAAACCCGGCTCGAAAGGCTCAATCTCCGCTTTGCCTTCGACGACCATCGCGAGAGTTTGTGCGAGTTGGCCTTCCGAGGGGAGGCTTGGCAGCGAGATCCACTTTCCGGCGGATTCCGCTTTCAGAGCGGACTGGAAGTCACGAGCGGATTTGCCGATGCCCAGCGGAAAAGGAGAGCTCGCGAGGTGCTGGTTGAATTTCTCGGCCATGCGGAAGGGGCGCGTCGGCTTGCTCTGGACCTGTAAGCAATTGTTCGGGAAAAAGATTGAAGTGCAATTGTTCGGGGAAAAAGATTGAAGTGCAATTGTTCGGGGAAAAAGATATTAAAAATAGTCAATAAAGTGGCAAAGTAAGAAGAAGCACTTGGAAGGCGCGACCCCTAGTGGACCCCAGCAATCATCGCCCAGATCAAGCTCAAATTAAGATCAGTACATTGCCTCAATTCAGCAGAGAGCTCAGGTCCTTAAATGGAAGGAGAGCTGCAAACTTTACTGGTTGAGCAATGGCTAGCTAGCTTCGAAACTGCTAGCTTTCTAGCTTGCTTAAAATGACACGACTTGAAGCAACACGACCATATCGGTTCGTTTGAAGCTAGACTGGTATTGTCAAGGCCAGTCAGGAGACTAGCACAGAGCTTTTTACCAGAATTCCAAAGGCTCCGATCACGGATCCAGGCGTCAAGCCTTTCCAGCACTCTTTTCAGATGTCAGTTCTGCTTTTGGGGCATCATCTTCATCCTATAATCTATTACTCAGGTAAATGCAACAACGTGAACCTGCATTCACCGACTGAACAACGTGTGCATCATAGCATCAGATAAGAGCACAGATCGTGATCTGACGCATTCCGGAGGTACCAACCTGGAACACGCTAGACCCCAGCATTAACTAACTAACTAACTGACTAACTAGCAAGAATTTAGCTAACTAAGTAATTGACAAACTCACCACGAACTTGCGCGCCTGTAGATGCTGCATCGCGCACGCCACGTCACCCTCCCCGCACCGCTTCAGCGCACGTGCCACCGTCTCCGAGATCGCGCCGTTCGGACGTGCGTGCAGCAACCCGATCTCGATCAGTCCAAGAGCGGACGCCACTCCCGGCCGGTCCTCCAACCTCTCAGTCTCTTCGACCGCGATGACGTCACCAACAGGCTGCCGAGCGATCCCTCTCGCTGGCCCCTCCTCGGTTCCCGGTCCGTGGGGGGCCGCTTCGACTGGCGGGGGCACCCCCCCGGAGCTCATCTGCGCCGCTTTCACCGCCTCGAAACACCGGGCGACTTCGTCCAGAGCGCGCGCGAGCTCCGGCTCGGTGACGTCATCCCAGGCAAACTCCGCGCCGCCACCTGGCCCAAGGTTGCTGGGGGGGAGAAGCACTCGGTCCATCGCTCGGTGCTCCGCTGTGCTTCTCTTCCCCTTCACTTTCGGTTCTTTACTGAACCCCCGATCCCTTTGCTTCTCATTCTCTAGCATGAGACTCAGTTCTCGAACGATGTGTTCCGACTCGCTCGGTTGCTCTTCTTCCGGGGGCGTATTCACAGCCTTCTCCTCTGACTGCGCACCCCCCTCTTGGGGAGGTTCCGCTGCCAGAGCCGCGGCGCGCCGATCAGCGACCAGCACGACCACATACGCTATGGCCTCCAGCGTCGCCTTATCGTTTCGAAGCTTCGTCATCTGGCGCTTGCAGCAGGGGACTGGGGCGGGGAGACCAGGGACCGCATCCCATTCGGTGGGCATACGCTTACCGTGGATGGAGTGCCATATGGCATAAGCGGCGATCAGTTGCCTGGAAGTAGAGAACAGGACGGTTGGTCAAACCGTGCGTAACGAAGTCAGCGGTAATGAGATTAAAACAGAAGGGTTAGTCGAACCGTATTTACGAAGTTAATTGTGGCGGATTTGAAGGTGAGAACAACTCTTAGTGATGTTGTTGAGAGCAGAAGTTCCAGGCGCATTGCCTTAGAAGTGTCTGATTGAAAGGGGCTGAATGTTGATTACGTTCACGAGCTTGTTGAGGCGTTTCAATTCATGAGACGAACAGGCGTTTTCAGTTGCTTGGACCTTGTCGATCGAAAAAGGATTCGAACATTTGTGCTCTCTTTGACGATGCATCGTTGAAAACAAGCTATTTTCTACAACGGCACAAGTAGGCCAGAACCACAATAAGGGACCGCAATGAGAGCTCAGCATAGCAATTAGCCAAGGAACCTCCGCGGAAAAAGGATGTACCCAGCTCATACACCTGTTTCAACGCAAGCACGCGCGAGACATCCGGCAGAGTCTGCATAACGGTCAGAAGTGAGTACAATTTTTCAGGGTTCTTGTACTAAACCTTGTCTTGTACTTGCACCAGATCTTGATAGGATCAGACAAACCAACGAAGAACGTTGTATTTGGAAAAACAATGAAGTTCTCACTTGGTATCCTCCGCCGTCCAGTGGAACCGCTTCCTCCGCTTCGCAAACGGCTTCTTCCTCATCCGCCCGTCCCGCAGCGGCGGCCCTGCAAACCCCCCCAACTCCTCGCCCTCGCTTTCAAACCCCTCGGCGCGAACCGCCGCTTTCGCTCGCGAGCGCTTTCTTCGCACCCGGGAGGGCACGACCAGCCTGCCATCAGCGTCGAGTCTCTCCTCTCTAGTTGGCGCCGCGAACCGGGAACGCTTCGCCGGGGACCGCTTCCCCGCTCCTCGCCGGGCGCCGTCAGCCCGACCGTCGGTGACACCAGCCCGCCCGAGGGTGACGTCAGCGAACCCGGTCCTGGTGTCGTCAGCAACGAGCGCGGTGACGTCGGCGGGAGACGCGCGGCTGACATCGACGTGTTCGACGTTCTCGCGGGCCCAGGCGAGGTAGGGGGAGTCCTTGGCGTGGGGCCCGGGGATCCCCCGCTTGCCGAGCAAGGGGGGAGGGGGCTCGGCGTCGGCGAGCGCTTGTTTCCGCTTGAACGCGCGGACGTGGCTCCGTTCGGTGGTGAGCGTTTTGCGCGCGCGAGCGCGCTGCACCTCGGCGGACTCCGGCTCGGGGGCCTGCTTCGGGGGCTCTGCAGGAGAGAGGCAGTCTTCGTTGTTAGAAGCAGGTCCAAGATTTGACGATGAGAGAGGGGCTTGCTTCGGGGGCTCTGCGGAAGAGAAGAGGCAGGGTTTCGTTGTTGGTCAAAGCAGGCTAAGTTTACACTCAACGACCAGCAGAAGGAGCGGCCAAAGAGCCTCCTACGATCAGGTGATGATCAGTTAAGGTATGACAGGTAGGATACGTACTTTCTTGACGATGAAAAGAAAGCTCCTGAAATGTCAGATTGAGGGCCCGAGAATTGCTGGAAAGGAAGGACAAGGCGAGAAAACCTGCAGAGATCACAAGTTCGGAACCCTGCATCTCGAGAAGGTCTTTGCGACTACTTGGCTCTGGGAAGCCCGTTTCAACCGGTCTCAATGATAAGCGTCCGGGACAATCACTGGCTGACAAGCCAGTACCTACAAGTTTCACCCGGACTTCATTAGAGTCTGGATTTCTAGACTCGTCGTTGAACTCTACTGCTTGGCTGGGCAGCATACGTCAGGGGAAGTATGACGTCTTGCCACCTCAGCTTAGTTTCGATCCAAGGTTGCAATCGAAACAACTTCTACAGGACACCGTGATGAGATCACAGCCAAACGCTTCATTATGCAGGCGTGCGGATCAGACGCCGTGAAGTCTGAGGCGTCTGCAAAGGGACAAGCAGGTCGACGAGATGCGAAGCTGGGGAACGAAAGCGAAGGCAGAAGCACTATGCTCACGAATCAAGCACTATGCTAACAACCCATAAAGGACACATAGGACGGGTCCCTGCCTTCATATAGCACGTGCAAACAAGCAATACAGCGGAGGCATCAATCGCATATTCAAATGTCCAGAGGTTTCACGGCAGACACTGAGCATAGCGGGTATATCTGAATGCCTTGTTTCTGCATGTCAGGATAGAATCCAGCAAGCTCGGAAGAAAGCACTTGTAGGGAACGCTTCTCGCTGGGCAAACGATGTTGCTACTTTTCTTGTTGAAGAGGCGAACTATTTATGCTCTTTCGAATTAATTGCCTTTGACTTGCAGCTCGTGAAAGAATTGCAACCTCTTGATACTGAACGCTGTCACTTCTTCTTAATAGACACATAGAGATTATGGTGATCATCGAAGATTGTCTGAAAGATCTGGTTTCAGGGCCAAGAACTGGAGACATCTTTGGACACATCCCGGAACCAGCCCTTTAGAGTTGTTTGCACATCAGAAGTGGCATGCGACAAGTGTCCAACAGCCAAGAGCTCCGACCTTTGCATACCAAGTTAGTTCTGAGTTGGGAGAAGACTTAGGTATCAGAAGGTGGGTGGATACACAATGTTTATGGAGCTGCAGACTGAAGCGACCTGCTAAATCAGAACCAAATTGGAATGCTACTAAGCTGATGCGTGGAGCATCTGCTAACTGTCGACCTTGCAAAGAGGCCCTGCAACTTGAAAATTTAAAGTCCAGCGCTTAAGAAAAACATCATGTGTACGTAAGTTAGGTGCCAACCCTTCTGAGATTGCTATAAAGCAGGTGAAATAAACCAGGACAACATGGTCGGATGCTGTTTTAGCAAGCTCTTTATACATCCTCTTCCGAGTTTGTAAGTCGAATTGGTGGTCTTTCTCACCTTGCGACGACTTTTTGGAGTCATTGAGCGCCTTCTTCTTGCGCAAGGCGGTCAAGACCTCCGTTTGAGATAAACCCAAGGACAGGAGCTTGCTTAAACGCGTCCGCCGAGTTCGCTCGTAGTACACTTTGTAAACCTGCAAAGTGAAAGACAAGCACTTCAGATGCGCATCCGCCTAGACTGATCTGCCTGTAGCTACAATCATGTGTTGAAAGCTCTTGTGCAAGCAACCTGAAAGACTTCGAGCTTCCACTGACCAGGTAATACTAGGATATTGAAGGAAGCATCATTGCAAAGAGAGTGAAACCACAGTTATGGTTGCTTTGACAAGAAGCAAGCCTCCTGATGCGCAACCTCTCACTTCAGTGTCTTTGGTGTCACTAATCAACAATTTTGCTTACACGCTTGTGACAAGCTCCTCAGCGCACCTTTACAAAGGAACAGAATTTCTGGCTCACAGCCACCAACCATCAATCATTAGATAGAGAGCGAGTTGCTCGAGCTGAAGCATCAGTGAGCAAGTGCAATCTACCAGCCAAAGTCACCTCCAGAACCTTGTGCATCAGGTCCAAGGATTAAAACTGTATCTCGGAGACTGTCTAGATTGCGGTTGTGAAGTCTGCGCCATCATTTGTGATGGTGTACTGGAGTTTGCGAAGAGAATGTTCTGCTCATGAAGGAATTCGGGCACCTCTGCACACTGTCCAACATATATAAGTAACCTGGTAATAGCCAGGCTCTGGACGACTCAATTGCCCCTGCTGAATATTTGCAGCGGTGTAGGTACTCGATAGACTCGGTGCTGAAGGCTCAGTAGGGCTCAAATCAGCAAGAGTGCATGGCAGGTCTCCCGAGCAGACCCGCCCTTCGAGGCCGCAAAGTGCTCAAGAAGTGGCAACGCTTGGCCCAAGTTTCGGCTGTTTTTCGGCTGTTTTCGGCCCCCAACCAACCACATCCCGACCACATCCCGACCACATCCCGACCGCATCCCGACCGCAATTCGGCCTCCAGATCGGCAAAAACCTGCTGCCAAAACCCCGGGTTTCGGTAACAAATCTCTCAATTTTGGGCTGCAAATCGGTCCCAATCGGCCGGAAATTTGCGCAGAAACCAGCCACCAATTGCCAGCAGATCGCTCCTGAGTTTCACCTGACGCTTCGCCCCTCCCCTCACACAGAGCTGAACACCTTCACGCCACGGCCCCAATTTGAGGCGAGCAATGTTCGACAGATTGGCAGAGAAATGCTGCCAAACAGTGGCAATCATGGCCGCAAAAGCGCCGAAAACTGCCACCAAAACCCTCAGCCCAGCCACAAACAAATCCTATCCCCGTGAAACTCCCGTGAAACTTGCAAACAATGGCCTCCGCACTCTGTTGCTTGCCTGGTCAAAACGGCCCCAAAAGGCTGCGATTCTGCTCTGAGGCGGCTGACATTGGGTGCAAGATCGAGCAAACAAACGTCGCAGATCAGCGAAAGTCTGCTGCAATGTAGGGCACAAAAGCTCGCCTGACCGGACGCTTCCGGGTCTTAGCCGGGCACAAAGTCTGCTCCAAGGGAGCATGAATTATGGAGCAAGAATTCTGTCCACAGGTGACCTCAAACCGCGTCAAAGTGGTCTGATACAGCTGCACTTCAGCCTCAATTCAGCCTCGCTTCAGCCCCAGAAGACGGAAAACTTGTTCACAAATGATTCGCAAAACGTCTCAGGTTGTCAGGACTGGCCTCACTTTCGCTCCCACACGGGCTCCCCCTTTCCGGGTGCGGGACAAAGTGGTCCCTCAAATTGCCGCCTGTTCCGCCGGCCATTATCTTATTGCGCCGGTGGCAAAACCCTCACAATGTCTGCCAACTTGTCGGCGAAATGTGAAAAGGTTTGTGCTGGACCCGTCCCAAATTCAGCTCACAAGACGCCAAAGGGCTCCGAAATACAGAAACAATCTGCTCAGCCTTCAGCCCCAATTGCGCCCCAATCGCTTCAAAAGCACTGGAAATCGGGGCGCTTTCTGGACCCAACCAGGACTCGGAAGGCCTGCTCGTACCAGGGCGAAATTACGCAGAAAACGCTACCGTTTGCGCGCGCTTCAGCCAGCACTTGGCCACCAGATTGCCCCGGAGTTCAGTGCAAGATCAGCGTCATATTGGTCGTTGTTCAACCAAATTTGTTGCAGTCCCGCCTAGGATCGGCGCAGGCTCAGCCTGGGTTCAGATGCATTTCAGACGCAAGTCAGACGCACTTCAGACCGCGGGTTGAGATACAACGGGCTAAAATGCCCTGGATTTGGCCAGCAATCGGTGAGAAATTTGGTCTGCAACCAAACATTATCGGGGCACATGCACGCGCCATTACCGGAAAACCGGCCTCCCGATCCGGCCCATCCACGCGCAAAGCCCGACACAGTTTGGGTCCAAAAGAGGTGGGCGGGAGTCAGGAGCGCCCAAATGCAGGCGGCGTTCGTGCAGTGGAGACTCGAATTTCGTCTATGGATCAGGGGGAGATCAGGGGGAAACGTTCAGGGACCTGGGCAAAAATCAGGCAAAAGTAAGGGGGAAATCAGGAGGACCAGGGCGGAGTTCAGGGGGAGTTCAGGTGGACATCAGGCGGCGTTGTCTCCAACTTCAGGCGGACATCAGGCGGCGTTCTTGCAACTTTCAGGCGGAGATCAGGCGGACTTTAGGCGGACTTCCGGCCCGCACTCTGCCTCAAAACGGCCCCCACATGGGCTCCACTTCAACTGCGAATGTCACGTCCAAAGCGTCCCTGCCTAGAAAGCTTGCACCAAGATGGTCGTCCCTGAAAACGCATTTGAGAGGTCTCGACTCTCATGGAGCCTGGAAGGGCGGGGAACAGCGGCTGATGCCACCCAGAAGGCCGGGGAACCAGTAAGCCAAAGCTCCAAAAGGCCGGGGAATAAGGGCGGGGACCGGGAAGCGATAGCTCCAAAAAGCCGGGGAACAAGGCCGGGGAACATGAGCCAAAGCTCAAAAGGCCGGGGAACAAGGCCGGGGAACAGTAAGCCAACGCTTTAGAAGGCCAGGGAACAAGACCGGAAACCAGTAAGCCAAAGCTTTAGAAGGCCGGGGAACAAGCCGGGGAACAGTGAGCAAACACTCCAAAAGGCCGGGGAACAAGGTCGGGGAACCAGTAAACCATAGCCTCAAAAGCCCGGGGAACAAGGCCAGAGAACGGTAGGCCAAAGCGCAAAAAGGCCGGGGAGCGAGGCCGGGGAATAGTAAGTCAAGGCCGCGGAACAGCAAGCCAATAACGCCAAAAGGCCGGGGAACGAGGGAAGACAGAGGAAATTTGTTGCCCAGAAGGGCCGGAGAATGGCGGAAAAATGTAGACCGCGGGCCCGGCAGATGGAGTAGAACAGTGGAAAAGTGCGGACAAGATGAGCAACAGAACTGCAACATCACGGCAAAATTTTGCCTCCTAAAAATTTTGCCTTCAAATGGTCATGGAAGTGTGCAAACGAGCGGAGCAGAAACGGCCGTTAAATGGGCGAAAGCAATGCTGGAAACTTTGTCGCCAACGTGCAAGAAGAGAAGGAAACCCCCGAATCATCGGCTACCAGAACTAGAAACCAGCCCGAGTTTTCCCTCTGGGCATGGTTAGATTCTTCCCCGAAAGCAGAAAGGGAACAACCGTCAGACCCCCTGGTTCCTTCCGGATTGTCCAAAATTTCACCTCAAAACCACCGGGCCATGTCCCCAGATGGGCCAAAAAGCAGCCGTCAAACCCCGTGAACTCCTGCCCTATCCGCCCTGGATTTCCACCAGAATCCACCGCCAATGTCCGCCATTTCCCCTGACATCCACCAGGAATGTCCGCAATTCCCCGGCCAGATGCAGAAGAAAACAGCGGTTAGAACCCGTGGATCCTGTCCAATTCTGCCTTAGGATCTCCCCCTGAAGCCACCGGCAATGCCCAACATCCATCCCAAGATGCAGAACAAAACAGCCGTGAAAGCATCCTTTCTCTGAGGCCTTGCAAGGGCGAAAGTGCTGATTGACATTGATACAAACACTAAGACAAACATGCAACGAAACCACAGACTTCAGCAACCGAACGAAGGCCGAACTGACTTGAAAGAATCTGCAGCATATCGGCGCTGGCCACGCAACCGTGGGAAACTGGTGTCCTCGAACAATGGACAAAACCCGGAAAGTGCCGAGCTTTCTGCTAGAATAGGCATAATCGTCACTGACAGTCAGAATGTGCTAAGTGGAACCAGATGGAGGCGAACAAAGTCAGAATAAAGGCGGTCGTCAACAGGCAGGGTTAGGCGCACGGGTCAGCATCAAAACGCTCTGGCCAAATCGTTGCAGACCGACTTGGAGAGATGTGGATGCACAAAAAACTTGGCGTGGCCGAGAAACGAACCTTGGATCAACAAAGCTCAAAAAGGTCTGTGGTTGAATCCTCTGTTCTCAGCAATCAAATTTCGTTTTATTCGAAAGACAAGCTGCTTTGTTCTAGAACCGCTGCAGCATTCAGCAACGTAGAGTGCACAGCAAGGCGCGGGACTGCCAAAGGCGGGACTTCAAGGTAAGTAATGCATACGACAGATCGCCTACATATTAAGGACACCGAAATTGGGTTCTCGTGTATCCACAGCTACCTAACTCCGAGCTTGTACATGTCAAAAGCACAAGCCAAGCATGCCGGAATCAGACTTTCTATGTATGCTTTGCACCAGAAGGATTTGTAGGGCGATGCCATCAACTGATTGAACACACCATTCACACAAACACTCAGAAAAGCAGAGAAGACGTCTTTAAAACGAACTCCCGCTCCGAATTTGTTACCGGCGCAGATCCGTCACAAACGCAAGTAGAAGCAAGCAATAACACGTCAGCTCTTGGTTCCGCTAGAATCAGCCAGTCCACCTGCTTGTAGATTTTCCGTTTCCTTGAAGCACCGGACAGTTCGACCCCAGAACTGACCCACGGCTCGGTAGATAACAGCGGTTTGCGCGGAATCTGTCACGGAGTTTGCGAGCGGAGCACTTTCTGTGCACTATAAACCGGTGCGACACCCGTGCACGATTTAGTGACGTCACCAGCAAAACGTTAGTTCTCAGCCCGTCGAATCCCGATGAACCGAAGTTGATGGTTCCGATCGGCGCTACCGGCGCTTATGACGTCACTGATCGTGCAAGACAAGGCTGCTCCGATACCGTGCACACCAATTCGATCATCAGCGACTCCGTGACACGTTTCACGTACATGGCCGTATCCCGTCTCCTGGAAGCACCGGAACACTAAACCCCCGGGGCTACCAGAGAACTGACCCACCTGCTCGGTAGATTTTCCCGTCTCTGGAAGCACCCAGGATTTCGACTTAGAGAATCGACCCACCTGCTCGGTAGCAATCCCCGTGTCCTTGGCAATCTTCTCCACCTCTTCCGCGCTCAGCTCTTTTTCCGCCGGAATCCGCCGCCCGAGCTCGATCCGCTGCCCCGGGGTCAGCTCGTGCCGCGTCGCCCAAACCCGTCCGACGATTTCGGACGCTACAACTCCAGGGAACGCGGCCCGGGCGTCCTCTTTTCTCAGCCCGCTGAAGCAGGCTTCGAGGCGATCCCAGTAAGACAGGACGTCGGACTCGTCGGATGTATTGAAGGAGTGGACAACCGGGCCGCCGTCTGCGGGGAAGAAGTGGTCGGGGCAGCGTTTCAGCAGTATGACGTGTTGTATATGAGGATTTAGACAGCACTTTCTCGAAGAGAGGAGCAGGGGCAAAAGTGGCTGGGAGTGGTTTTGCACTAAACGTTGATCGAGATGCTACTGATCACATGTGTAACCCGCAGGTTTGGAGCCCTCCTAAACATCGGGTGCCCGACTCCTCACGCTAAAACGTCTTTTAGCAGACAGGAAAGCCCTCGCTAGAGAGATGAGGTAGAGAACTTTTCTTCAGAAAACAAAATGAAGACTATATCGGGAAATTGACCAACCATCAGATGCTTCTGGAAGTATTGCAAGAAGGGAATTGTCTATCCTTGTTTTGAAGAAGCAGAGACTAGGAACAAAAGTCGTCAACAGATGAAGCAAGAAGACGTGCAGACTGAGTAAGCGGTTATGATTTCACAGCCGAAATCGAAGGCAACAGGAAGTGGAACCCCACAAAGCCCATCGTCAGATCCTGACCTTTTTCTGAATACTCAAGCTACGCTCGAAATCTTGTAAGACATTGTCCCGAGTCAGGTTTCCATGCAGGATCCGAACACAGATTTCGAGCCCAGTTGTCAGGTTTGAGTCATCATCACTCGTTCCAAGAAGGGTTGTTTCACCTACGGACTAAGCACGAACTCAAGTTTGGTGTAAAAGCGAGACAACCCCCTATGTGCAACCGATGTTTATGAAGCGCACTTGCCAGTTTTATTAAAAACGATTTTATGAACACGCTTGAACTTCTAATTTGATCTAACTGCTTCCACCCTATTTTCCGTCTTCTTACCTGCAATACAAGCGTTTCTTCTGATCTGCCGCAATAGTTCGTGCGAGTGCCCCTAACCGTGGATGCCTATCTGGCTTCCTCAATGAATTCGAATCCCCACTTTGAGACTGGGTCCGAGACTGAGCTGTGGGCTTGCAGATTAGGCAAGGTCTGAAAGCGAAGATAAAGTCCGAAAAAACAAACCTGCGGGCTCCTCAAAGTAGATGGTGTCATTCAGCTTGTACAGAGCCCCCAGCTTCTTCAGCCCAAGAGACGGACCGCCGTTTCCGACTTCACTGGTTTCGAGAGTCTTAGGGGTCACCAACTGTAAAGAAAGGGAGTTGGAGAATCAAAAAAGCTGCAATCAGGTATTAAATGGTATGTTTTGCTTCTTTTTGAAAGATATAGGTGTGAACCTGAGAACTTGAGAAGGCCACTGGTAGGGCCCAGGTTCACAACAAACGTCTGTGGAATTCGAACGTTCAGAAAGGCCCTTACTAATACGGTGAAGAGTACAGTCAACCCAGAGGATGAAAGCCAGTAAGAAAGCCAGGAAGAAGGATAAATAGAAGGCACACAAGTATAATCTGAAGGACCATTTGACCATAGAGAACAACGAAGAGCCAGATAACGAACCCTGCCCTTTTCCCGCCACTCACGGTGCCACTTTCCGGAGGCAAGCAAACCTTCAAACCTTCTTGGTTTCTTCGGATGCACATCTGCCTTCTCCTTCCACGTACTCACAAACCAGCCTTTCTCCCAAGCACTGTTCTTCCGGCTCTCCTCGGAGTTAAGCACTCCCCCCAATCCCTCTTATCCAATCACATCCGAGCAGTCTGCCCCTCCCCCGGGCACTCTGCCCTCTTCCCCCGGGCACTCCACCACTTCCCCCGCGCACTCAACCACTTCCCCCGAGCACTCAACCACTTCCCCTAGTCACTCACATCCATTCTGCGCAATCTCTGCCCCTTCCCCTGAGCATCTCATGGGTCACTAAATCACTCATAATAAGCTGAACTTACAATGAGCTCAAGTTCTAGTCTTGGAACGGGTAGGATTAGAAAGGGAGTTTAAGGTGGGCGGAGCAGGTAAGGCCAGCAAGTGGCCGGAAATGGCCGGAAATGGCCGGAAATGGCCGACCCTTCTTCAAAAGAGCTCAAAGGGGGGAGAGAGGCTAATGTTAGGGTTCGGTCTTAGCTTCGTTCATACTATCAATTAAGCTTATGACGATTGTCCCAAAGAGATTTTGAGCACTCCGCCACTTTGCCCAAGCACTCACATCCATCCTGCGCATCATGTCGACCGTGTTGGCCAGGCGCGTCATCGCCTGCGGACCCAGGATCTCCGTCCGCAGCTCGTCCGGCGTGCAGTCCCTAACCCGGGCGCCGTTTTGGGTTAGCTCGTTAACCCGCTCCAAAGGCAGCGCGGAACCCACGATCTTGATGTAAAGTTCGACGGGCATGTCCCGCATGATCTCCAAAATGTTGATCCACTGGTCACCCTACAAACAAGCAAATTATTTGTTTGGAAACCGAAAATTTGGATTCAACAAGAAAAGTGTTGTAAGGATAAAAAGTGGGCGGATCGGACTTCTCCTGTCAGCCTCTTGGTCTCAGAATCTTCTTCGCGCTTCACAAAAGAAGATCCTAATCCATAAAGCCTAAAAAAAAGTGGTCAGAAGAAATTAGTCGCGTCAGGTCTCTCGTATTCCTGCAAGAATTGTCACGACGGATCGTGAAATGTCACGACCAACGTTATTCTGCGGTGTGCTTCTAAGTTCGTTCACTCACAACTGAACTCCTTCCGTTCTCCCGGCACCTACATCAACTACCCAACCTCGTCACGTGGACTGAGTATGCACCTGCCAGAGGCAGAGAATTGGACTTTCGCATCGCTTTGGACTCTACATGTGGCGACGTTTTGGAACCGCAAGAATATTGAACCAGCTTTGAAGGAAGATCGACTTACTCGGTTTCCGTTGTCCCCCGCCACCATTGGGTTTGAGTTCTCATCCCGTTGCACGCGTTCGACTGCCGCCGCAACCGCTCCTTTCAGAAGAGCCTCCCCCGCAGAAGCAGCCCTAAGGGCCTGTAAGAATGAAGTGACGGTTGGGTTCTTGAGTGACACAGCCATTTGGCTGACGTCAGAGCTAACATCAAGCTGAAGCAGCGCGGCAAGCAGTTGAATAGGTTCAGTGAGGTTAGGATTGAAGCACGATTGACACGAACTTGGCGACTCGGAAGCAACGTCTATTTAAGAACGTCGGAAGAAAACCTCAGAAAAATCACGCATAAAGTCTCTTGTTGAACGATCGAACGGCCATTTTGTACCGAAGCCTAAAAGAGAATCCAAGACAGAAGAGGACGGGATGTTGGATCCCTTGAAGCGAAGATTGACACAAGTTTCAACGGAACCGAGGATTTCCAAGCTCAATAGCCAAGAAAAGAGAATTCCAAACAGTACGCAATTTTGGCACGAGACTACCAAGAACACTCGATACCGCAAAGTAAAGCATTACCAGCCTCGCAACAGCAAGCAAGCTCAGTCTTTCCCGCAAGGCTTGACAATCAACTTCCACGCGGAACCGAACACTTACCGCCGCGCCGGATGCCCCCCCGGCAACCACCTTGAACCGCAGGTACTTTTCCAGCGCCGACTCCTGCTCCGCCTTCGCGCCTTCCACCAGTTTCTTAACCCTCTCCACAACTTCTTGCGCCGCCCCTAAACCTTCGCCAAAAGCCGCACGGGGATCCTTAACCGAGGGCCTCATTCCCCGAACCTTCCCGGCCCACACTCCTGAGCTGCTCGGAGGAACGACATTTGAAGGTCCCGGTTTAGAGGATTTTCCTGCCCGGCCCCCAGGGCGTTCCCCCGACCCGCTGACGTCATCCAATTCCGAAACGCCTCCTTCCGCGACTCGGGCCCGTGAGTCGCCGCCAATCTCAGGACCCGCTGCCGCTCCCAAAGCGTCGCCACCTTGACCAAGGAGGTCCGGAAACATGCCGACGTCAGCATCTACGTCTGCCACGTCAGCCGGGGCTGGCTGCCCCTGACGAGGGCCTGTTGCTCCGGCCGCAAATTCTAGAGCTGGCGCATCTCCGCCGAAAACGGCGCCTCCGATGCTGACGTTACCGCCCAGTGCGGCCCGCGCCAGGCTCTCCCGGATGCTCTGCAGCGTCTCGTACACGTCCGGGCGGCAGATCCGCCCCACCGGCCGATCGAAGTCACGTGCCCGCTTGGTGACGTCAGCAGCGCCTTGGGATTGCCGTTGCTCAGTGCCCGGAACTTCGCTGGCAGTCTCTCGATCCTCCGCTGGGGTCCCTGCCTCTCCTTCGACTGCCGGTTCGTTTGCTTCCCCGTCACTAATGGGCTCCGTTCCCGTTTCCAAACCGACGGCTCTTCCATCGGCCACCGCTTCGGTCTTGTTCGCAGCAGGATCCATTGCGGCCGTCACTGGAGAACCGAAAACGTGTTGCCAAAGATACAAGTGCAGCGCGCGCGCCCGGAGCGCTTTCGAGTACAAGTACCCGTTGTGCTTCATCGCGTTCTGCATGTCCAGGTTCTTCTCCGCCGCCTCTCGTTTCCGCTGATGCAGCGCCTTGTAGTTTTCCAGACGCTCCACCGTCACCGTTGCCGGGGCCGTTACCGCCTTCTTCGTCTGGAACCCGGTTTGGCGGCTGATGCGCTCGACTCCCCGGGCTGTCTTACCAATAAAATCGGCGAATTCTTGGTCGGGCTCGAAGTCCCCGGGGATAACGACCTCTACCGGTCTGCTTTTCGAGGGATCCCCCGCGTCTGGGACGGTTATCAGGACGCCCTTGACGAGGCCCTCGGTTTGGAGGTCGGTTAGCGTGCGGGTTACGAGCTTGAAATCGAGCGGCTTGTCGCGCCCCATCTCGAGGGCGAGCCACCGGCTGAGGGTGCTGCGGATGATGAACTTGTCCTTCTGCGGTTGAGAAAAGAGGAGATGATGATGCGGTTTTCAAAAAAGGACTCGATTGGAATGATCAGCGTGTTGGCAGAATCTGAAATTGCGTAGCAGTTTCAAGCCATCCCGAATCCTTTGCCGTTTCGGCGAAATCGGACAACATTGAACGCCTGTAGCTTGGCAATAGCAAGGGTTTCGACACTGAAGGCAACGTTATGGAAGAAAGTGGTGAAGACATCGTCCACATGGCATATTGCGTTTGAGGACTCAGAACCAGCTTCCGTTCATCATCTGGCCCTTGGAAAGAGAGCGGCAAGCCATCTACTCAGGTCAGAAGAACCGTCACACCTTAGACTGCCATACTGGTCGTAATCGCTGTACTCTGTTTTTTTATAATTGCAGGCGACTTGAATCGAAGCGAGACGTGCTCGACAAAAAGGGTGCAATCTGCACAAACCCAACGCCGAACTCTGTGCCAGCTATGAACCTCCAAATGCTTGTGGCAAAGTGACCCCCTCGCTGTAGCTGTTGCTCATTCCTTGCAGACAGAGTGCGCCAGCAGCACTGTGGGGAGCACTGGAAGCTTCGTTTTTACCAACGGATCAGAGCAGACAAACACGAAATCGGAAAGGCTCTCCGTTCGTCACCTCAAGCTTCTTCATAATCAGCTCCTGCCGCACGCGCGCGTCGCTGGTCACCATTTTGGACGTCCGCCGGAAGCGGCTCACGTGCGGGCCCTGTCCGAGCCCCTCCTGCTCCGCGCCCTGGTAAACAACCAGCGCCGTATCGCGAGCTCCTTCACTCACAGGGCCTTTCGCCGAGCTTTCCCCCTGGCCGCCACGTGTCCCCTCCTCTTGCTCGCCACGCGTTTGCTCCTCCGTTCTCCCAACTTCGGCTCCCTCCATCTTCTCATCGTCCATCCCCCTCGTTTCCGCTTCCGGGGGCGTCTCCGCCCGCGTCTCTCTACCCCCCCGCACGCTCTTCTCCGCTTCAGGGGGCTCCTGCGTCTGCTTCTCCGGCGCCCCCGGAAAGTTCCCTGCCGTCCACAGACGATAAAGCACCGCTTTTTTGAGCGTCTCCGCGTGCTGGACGATGCTTCCGCTCTCGATCAGAGTGGTCGACCATTGCGTGTTGTTCTTCCGGTTGAGGTGCAATCGTTTCCATAAGTGGTTGGAGCGAATGCCCTCCCGCCCAGCATCGCGTACGCACTCGTAAATCTGTTGGTCGACCGGCACGTCGAGGACGACGCCCTCGGGGCCCTCTTCTTCTTCCATCTCGTCCTGCAAGAGGAGTATTCATAGTCCTTAATCTTTCTAAGATGGCCCCAATTGAAAAATATAAATCAACTAGAATCACGAGAACTCTGGAAAGTATGCTCAATCGACCGGCACGTCGAGGACGACGCTCTCGAGGCCCTCCTCGTCTTCCATCTCGACCTGCAAGACAATTTTCTGTATAGCTTTTGAGTTCTCGACCCGCAATTTTGCTCGCTGTCTGTATTGTGGAGTATTAAAACTGATGGCATAACGAACGCCCTGTGACACCGTTTCGACCGGCACGTCGAGGACGACGCCTTTGGGGCCCTCCTCTTCTTCCATCTCATCCTGCATGAGGAAATCTCCATTAGACTTAAGTTTCTCCGAACTCACTATCTTTTCTACGGACCTACATCGACTTGAATGACGGACACACTGGTAGAGCTTGTGTCGACCGACACGTCGAGGACGACGCCCTCCTTTTCCTCTTCTTGTCCTGCAAGCATATGATGCAAGTTCGTAAATCTGAAATCACCCGCAAGCTCAGACTGCTGTTGGGATAGAAGGGTCCTGAATCGACGGCGGCCGCGCTCGTAGCTGTGATGGTCGATGAGTGAGTCGAGAACGACGCCTTTGGGACTCTGCTGCTTTTCCACTTCATCCTGCAAGAGGCGCTCTAGTGTGCATCCATTTTCTGAACGGTCAAGATTGTAAACGGGAAGCAATCCGCGGTCTGCAACGAGAGGCTTTGTCACAACGCCCTCCTCTTCCATCTCGCCTCGCAACTGTTCCCAGTGCCCTACGATGTTGACAGAAGGGGCGACAGCAGATCCGGTGGCAACAATCAAGGCCACATTCTAAACAAGAAAAGGGAGGGGCGAAGCGGTATATTTAAAGCATGACAAAATGAGAGAGCGTTTAGACCCATTGTTGGTGTTTCAACCCGTCGCAGACCCCTGATATACGTCTCGAGCATGCGGAAGTGCGAACAACACAGCGAACGATTAGCGCGCACAAACCGAGACTTTCGTCCGGCGGCTTCAGGAACCCCGACTCTACGATGTCCACATACTAAAGTAAAATTCCAATAACGAGCTGTAGTTTCAGTTGGCCAACCTCCGCTTGGGGCTCAAACATCACCCAAAGGAGGAATCAGGAACTTTAAGAGGCCTATTTTTATTTTTTCATGAAAAACCGTCCTTTCAAGTTTCAACCTTTAAGACACCGGCCGGCACGGGTGTGGCGAGAGCTTGACTCAGCGTATTGCAGAGTAGCAAAGCAGTGTAGTTCACAGCTGACCTAAGCATGCAAAAACCCATCCGATTCGAAACCAGCTTGCCATGATCCCCCAGTCAACAAGATCCTCACAATCGTTGTACGAAGTCCTCTGTGACAGATGCGAAGCTAGCTGACTTTGTGGCTCACAAGTCCTTCAAACTTATATTTCTGATTCAACCCTAAACGCTCACCTCCGGCTGCGGCTCGGCAGCCTCGTGGAAGCCCCTCTTGAGCTGCAGGCACGCCTTGGCGCGCCCGTTCACCTCCGCCTGGAACTGCCGCACGAGGCCCTCCGCCTCCAGCCGCCGCACGAGCGCGCGCCACTCGCGCTTGTTTGTGTACCCCATGCTCGCGCGCAGCTCCGGCTCTACGAGAACGCCGCCCCGCGCGGCGCCGAGGACCCCGCAGATGTCCTCCAGCTGGCGTGTCAGGTCGACGAACTCGAACTCGTGTTCGGACGGTCCGGGACCATCTTCAGACGCTCCTGCGCCGGCTTTGGACGCCCCAGCTGCTTGGTTGAGGTGTTCGGACGGCCCTTCTCGCGGTTCGGACGGCCCTGCGCCTGATTCGGACGGTCTCCCGGGGGCTGACGCTTCCCCTGGGTACGTCAGCTGCTTCTGGCCCCGTTTCGTGTCGCTTGGGCCCGTCCGAAAGTGCGTCCGGTGGTCGATGTTCACAGACCGTCCGAAGCGCATGAGGTGGACCAGGTTTGTAGGTGCAGGGAAGCTGCCTGCGGCAGCGTGGAAAAGGACTTGGCGCCGCGTGATGAGGCCACGTGTCTCCAGCTGGCGTAGGTGGTAAAAGTAGTTGGTCGGCGCGATGCCGAAGCTGCGGGCGAGGTCGGTCTGGAGAGCGCCTCGCTCCCTGGAACGGACAGGTTTGCAACCGTGGAGTTATTCCTCAGTATGGTAGCGAAGACCGCCGTATCGAAGCGAAGACCCTCAGGGTGTTCGGACGTTTGAAAAGCTGGGACGCTAGTTTCTCGAACGGTCTTCACACAGAGCGAAAAGGTGAGATGGGAGTTTGTTGAAGAGCTTGACAACATATCTGGTCAAGAAAGATCCGCCACTGGGACTGGATCGGCTCAAGGGGATTAGAAGCCATTTGAAGAGGGCATGACTTTTGAAGCAAGAGCCTCCTAATTCGTCGTTGGCAGCCTTCAGTATCTTTAGTTGTCTGGGTCAGCCGGCCTGACTGCAGAGCGAGATTAAGAGGGACCATGATCAGATCTCAAAGTCAACTCAAGACAGTCACGGCGGAATTGATCAGATTTATCTTCTGATGACGACTCTATATAGTGGTCAGAGCATTTGATGTCAAGAGAGTGAATTGTTTGTCCTCACCTCGACTGCCCAATCCTGACGAGCGACTCATACTGCACCGCACTGAGTTCGTACCCAGAGAGCACCCTCTCATACAGCCCCAACGCACTCTCCCGCAGCCTCAGCGACGCCTGCACGCGCACTGAGCCCCCCCCCAGCGCAGCCGCTTCTTCCCAAATCTGCAAACTTGGCTGCGCCTTCTCCAGAAAGTACCTCGCTGGAACTTTTTGTCCTGTGACCGGGGGGGCAGCTTCTCCGGTAGCAGGTTTTGAAACATGGGGGGGTCTCCTGGGAGCTTCTCCTGTGCTGCTGAGAGTGCTTTTGTCCAGGGGGTGGGGAGAAAACAGGTGGATTTCGGAGGTGTCGAGGAGATAGTTCCAGATGAATGCGCAGAGGGGGGGGTCGAGTGAGAAGCCTGCAGTTTGAAGGGGCTCCTGAAGGATTGTCCACAGTGTGGGGATAGAGCAGCCTGCAGAGTGAAAGATGTGAGAGTCATGAGAGCCTGGGGAGGGGGCAAGCTACGACGCTTTCGCGTGTAAACTAAGAACTACTGTAGATCTCATTCATTGGGGCGTGCTTTGGTTTACTGAGGGGCGGTTGCGCATGGAAAAATCCAGTAAAGGCCAATTTGAATCTCTCACCAGCTCGCCTAGGGGCCGGGGCTACGTAAGTCACACACAATATCAGACAGACTTACCTTCCGGCCCTTCCAATGCAATCTGCTCCACTGCGATGGAAGTCACATCATCCATTGTGCCTGTGGCGCTCCGCTTTTCTCGGGCCTTGCTTTTTACCCTTGTATGATATCTTAATAATGACTTCGTGGTGAATTTATACAAAATCTTAATGAGCTGGTATTCTGTATGCTGCCAGATGGTACTCCCCTAGTTGTTGCTCAGTACCTCAATCTATTTTTCACCTTCAAGTCATTGCACAACCTTGGCTTACGCCGAGCATGATGGTTGCTGTATGCTGCTGCCTCACAATTCATCGTAATCGAGGACAATGCTGACAAACATCGATCTCAAACAAGGAAATAAGAGGGGCCTGTCGCCAGAGCCTTCTAGCAATCAAGAGGCTTCCATACGCAAGGCTGGCATGATTTGTCTGCTCCTTCATTGCTTGGGGGCCTCTTGGTCATTGTGAGAGCAGGTTATCCCAGCTGATAAAGTGCTGAAGGGAAACTGTCACAGTCTCAGATCTCAATTTCCATCTCCTCCTGGCTGGCTCGTCTTCAGCCTTCACTTTTGACATCCGACAAGTTTGCCAGGTTTTGGCGCCCGGACAGTCCTATAGCCAGAGAGGGTTCCCTCGGACCTTGTTCTCGCACTCCTAGTTTCAACCCTGAGCGACTGCATGGTTTTCCAGCGTTGGATGGAGTACCCAAGATCCACCCGGACGGTTCGGAAGCGTCTTGGTCAATCTGACGGTTGGGAAAAGTTTGCCATCCACTGATCCAGCTCGGATGTTTGCAGCGCACCGTTGAGTCTGTGAAGGTTGCTGATCAACAGTGAAGTTGGCATTGGATTCTGGCTCAAGGAAGAAGCAGCTTTCTGGGCAATGTCGCATGCCTGGGCGCAGAGAGGCCGCTGTTCGCAACGAGAGGGCCAGCTCTACCGCACATGCAGCTTCAGGGCCTGCATTGCAGCTATTCATTTGAAATTGCTGCGTGCTTGACCGTGCTTCTAGTAGCTAGTAAGGGTCCTGTTTTGCGGCAGCGTTTTGTCTCCTTGCAAGGCGAGATGGCCGGTCTTCCGTTGACAGATCTGTGCCTCGAGCACATCGCTTCCCACCTGCCTGCATTTGCTCCGGACTTACCCACACTTCCTCTAGACCTTGCGGAGCGCCTCTTCAAGCACGTTGTCTCTAGCCACCCCCGCCTTCGGCCTCAGCCTCCTTCCGGGAAAGATAGGTATGCAGTCTTGAGCGGTGGCCCCCCCTCGACCCTTCTCAACCTTCATATCCTAGCTGACCTCTTCTGGCAGCCTTGGGAGATCAAACTAGGGTTCAGTAACAATCTCTCCAAGTATAGCCTACTGCCGCTCTTCTCAGAGTCCCTGGTCCGGCTTGACCTGTCGGCAAGTGGCAGGCTAGAGGACCTGTCCTTCCTATCAAGCCTGCAAAAGCTGCAGTGCCTCAACCTCAGCCGGAGCTTAGTCAAGCTTGACAATCAGCAGGTGTCACATATTGCGAGCATACCTAGTCTGCGGTGCCTTAGCCTTCAGTACGCCCAGTTTACCGCCGAGCCCCAGCTGCAGAAGGAGACAGTTGAGCAACTTCTTGCAGGTATGTCAAGGGTAGGATACTTTGAGTCGCTGTCTTTATTTTGGGATTGTGTTTGCATCCAGCTGCTCGCAGGTGTCCAAGATGACTCAACTTGCATAAGGGAAGGTTCGATGTATACGAGTTCGTTGAGAGTCAAGTGGCCAAGCACGTCTGGAAACATTTAGAGTTTGAAAAGTTGCGTGGGCTTAGCTCAAGATACAAGTGGGCAAGTCGTTTAGATTCTTACCCGGAAGTAAAGTCAGCAGTCCCAGCTTTTGAGCGAAGCACCGCCGAGTATGGCAACACATAGACACGAAACGCGAAACGTTCTGACTGCTTCTTTTTGTCATAGGGCTGCAAGTATGTACCTGAGAATAGAACCTCTTCTGGTTTCCTTCTTCACCCATTCTCTTCTATTTGCAAACAATTAAGCCAGCTAATCACCTGAGCCCTGTTCAAAGAGCAGCTCAAAGTCTTGCACGTATGACCTTACCCTTTTTTCTGTCCCTGTTGTCAGGCCTCCCCAGCCTCCGTGCTCTGGACATCTCCGGCATCCCCTCTGTCGATGACTCTACCATCAACATCCTCACGTATGGACACCAGTACGCCCGTTGGCAAGCAAGCGTCCAACAGGCCTACGAGTGGAGAGCGGCGCGGCGACGACCGCTGTTTGGACACACCTTGGATGCTGCAGACAGCCTGGATGTGTGGTCGGACGGCCTGGGCCTGCAGTACCCCCTCACCGCCTTGGTGTACCTGCGGGTCGCGGAGTGCGAAGGCGTCACCGACAAAGTGGTGGAGTATTTATCTGGTAAGAAACCAAACACACTCATGTTCAGATTGCGACAGTCTTTGCTGAGAGAAAAAACGTTCGTTTTCCATTTCTCAATCCTATGTTTCACTTCAGGTTGGAAGCCTGATTGTTTTTCATGGAGCTTGCAGCCAGAAACACAAATTGCTGGGCCGTTCAATTGTCAAACAGCAACATGTGTTGCACCTTTAGCCATTAGTATAGCATCCAAGGAGTCTAGAGGGGCGTGGCTAATTGAAGGGGCTTACGAAATTGGAGGCGCTGCATCTTTGTTGCTTTCTTACATGTCTGGATGTATAAATGGAGCGGGTTATTCTGTTCTAGCGAAAGTTGACAAGATGGCATACGTTTCTTCCGAATCACTATTTGTCAAGGGTTTTCGCAGGCGTGGTGCGAATCTACTCCAGCAAGGTTGGCTACCTGCAATTGGGGTTTAAACATGGAAACGGTCGTTTTGCTCGGACCATGCCAAAGCCTGGCTTCTCTCTTTTTGCAGCGCTTCCTGAGATTGCCTTCCTGGACCTGCGTTCCACGCCCCACTGCCGGGGCTCCTCGCTCATCACTCTCAAAGGTACATTTCCTTCTTCATGATCTACTGCGTTTAGTTTGTTGGAAGACTGCGTCTCCTGTGCAACGTCTGTGGTTCTTCGAATCAGGTGGCTCCTTCAAAGTTGAGAAATAAGCGCCGCTGTTCAGTCAGAGATGCGCCGCTGTGAGTCACCTGATTGCTATGACGATTGCAGGGCGTTGCAACCATGTTTACCGAGCTGTAAAAGCGATTGCGACATCCTGGAATGCGAAGTCTTTTTCTTTGCGCAGTCTGCCAGGTAGATCCGGGTTTGTCAGAGAGACTGCTTTTCTGGAGACTATCTGACCACAACACTTTGCGATCGCTCGGAGCATTAGAAGAAGCTCGTGATGAGATCTTTTGGTGTGTTGATCCTTATAAAAATTCGCTTGATGCTATGTAGCATTTGCTCTCCACTTGTCTCCATAGCAGTCCGTCTGTTCGTCTCACTTCTGAGCACATCCGCCCATCCTTTCAATTTTCGCGCCAAGCCTGCGATACTGTTTGCAGGTCTTCTCACAGGCCTTCATCGCAATTTTAGCACAACCCAGGATTTTGAGATTGTTTTCCAAAGATGACGGGGGGCAAGATATGGATATATTCCTTTTCAGAGAATGTACTGGGGATGAACCGAGTGCCACGTTCGAAGAAACGATACTTACATCGGCTGTTCAGTACAATGATACAGTAAACTCGGCTTTTGTGAACAGCTGCACAACTTGTCCCTGCGTTTTTCTGCAGCGAGGCATGGCCTCACTTCAATGCCAAACAACTCGAAGCTCCTCTTTCGGTCAAACGCCACTGTCAAGGCCGCCTTAAATGGGTGTTGCGGCTGCCGGGCGCTCGCAAGTGGAGGAGTCCACATCCTGGAGAATGAACCGAGGGGCGTTTCGGATGCTCTCTCCTTTGAGCATCCAGTCAGGGACTCAAAGGGACAGAGACGGTGGGAGGAAGAAGGTCTTAGCTTATTGTTTGAGGCATAGCTCGCTTGAGTCTCAAGCAGCATGTACATAGTAAAAGCACTCCACCTCGAAGAGGGTCGTTTGTGGAAGCAATGACAGGCACTTGACCTCATGAAGTGATGGAGGCTGTGGCCGCCGCCACAAAATGTATATCAGTGCCCTTAGAACCCTGTTGCACAGCAGTTTGTACCATATTTTGGCAAGAGTATCCTATTCTGATGGTGCAAATGACCACAATTGGCGCTCGATTACGGGGAGGGTGTCATGCACGTAGCCTACTTCCTTTGAGCATCCGGTCAGGGACTCAAAGAGACAGAGACGTTGGGAGGAAGAAGGCCTTAGCTTATTGTTTGAGGCATAGCTCGCTCGCGACAGTCTCAAGCACCATGTACATACTAAGTAAAAGAATCTTAGAATCGTTCGTTAAGGGCTGGCTGCAATTATGACCCAACGTACCATCCATGTGCCCAAATTGCTCACTAAGCGAGCCAGAGCTGGGTCACGTCAGAAATGTAACGAATTTGCATCTGCCAGCTATAGCATGCCGGGCCGCGGGCCACATTTGATATAGAACAAGTTTTTAGTAGCCACTGTGCACTGCGTGCAGGCAAACATGCGCACGTCACGCATCTGCATGTGCTTACATGTTGGCTCAAATTTTCGATACGGAGAATATTTTGTAGTGTATTGTGACGCCGGCAGGCCAGTGAGCTGCAATTTGCTGGCATGTATATGTGTATCATCATATAACATGATTCATGCAATCGTATCAATGCAAGATTCGACCTATGTGCACGCGGCAAGTGTTTTTGGTCATGGCAGGAGATGCTTATATGATATGACTCACGTACCATGTAATTGTCCATAGCGGATGCATGCCGCCACGATTGCAGGGGCCGCCAGACTATCCTGGCTACTCGGCAAGGAAAAGGGTTGATAGCAGCTTGAAGCTGCATCCAAATCTGGTGACTTTTCATATCCTTGAATTGAGGCGGTCATCCAATTTACAGGGCAGGTTCAATCAGGGATTTAAAAACACACGTGAGACTCTGAGCTAAGCTGAATGTCATATCCATCTTACTACAAAAGAATTGGAGATTGATTGGGACCCAAAGCAAAGCCATCAATGTCCATGATCTACGTTCTTCCCATCCTTCTTTTCTCGCGCCTTTCGAGCAGCCTCCTTGTTAATAACATTCATACGTGCAAACTGCAAATGCAAGTGAGAGTATTTGAGTGAACGTAAGGAGGTACGAATGTGAAACATCCACGCAACGTCTTTCCCACCCAAGGAACTAAACCACAAGACCTCAAGCAGTGCACAAGCTTATTACCCCTGCTCTTCAGATGCCGTATTCAACATGACAAGAGAAATTCAGTCCACAAGATTGACAAACCAAACGCTGAGGAAAAGCAGCGATAAGCGGCTCGTTGCTCAGATCAACAACCCCAAGGCCACATCAAAAAAGATGAAGTTGTGTTCTCTCTTTAATTTGCAACCATTGTTTGCTCTCCTTCTTCGTTGAACGTTAATCTTGTTACCAGGCGGGCTCTGCTTTAAGGTGTGTCTGCATTTGCAAAGCTGTATGCAATGTTGTTTGAGCGGTACCTCCCCTTCTTTCTTGGAAATAGGACACAGACACTCAAACGCGCCAGCATTCCGAACCCGATCCAACCTTTGTTGTTCAAGCAACGTCTTGCATCCTTGGACGTGCACTTGAAAATCTACAAGCCACTGGCAGTGCTCACCTCTTTTCGATGATGCAAACATTCCAGGTAGTCTTCTCTAAGGAGCCTGCAGTCCTCTGGCGTCTCACATTTGGTCATGCATTCAGAGAAATCCATCCAAAGGGGGTAGCACCTCCCTCTCATGCCATTTATGCCAAAGCCAGAAGCCATCTAGCCCCAAATTCTTGATAAGCCGCAGCTCTTCCAAGTACGATCCCCAAATCCGCCCTTTCGTATTCTCTCCGTGAGTGATGTATACTGATCCTTGAGAAATCAACCGCCCTCAAGCATAGCGTCAGAAGTATCAGCGACCAGCACGTGCTTTTTAAGAGACACTCGTGAATACCCGTTTTCCGCTGTTGCAAAACTCCACCTAGCACAGCAGCCACGGAGGGGCGCCTCCTTACAGCTGGCTCCACCTAGCTGGAGGACCTACGAATTACAACTTTTGCACATTTCCAGTCTTTCCTTCTGGCAAATTTTGAAACTAGGTGTGGACCGAAAAATAGGAAACAATCATCGATAGCAATTTGGGTTAAAATGCAGTAT